TCCAGCCACTCAAACACAATTCCATCTGGCCGCACAGCCAGCCAGCACCCCCCCTTTCTTCCATCCATCACCCCACTGCTAGGCAGTACTGCTCTTGCCATGTGGAAGGTCCCAAAAGCAGAGCTAGTCCCCTGCACCCAGGCTCAGAGAGCTCAGAGCTCTAAAATGTCTTCACCTCTGGCTGCCCATCACCCTCTGCAGAGGCCACTGACCCTTCTCCTGCCTCCTGAGGCCTCTGCCCAATGTGCTCTGACCTACTGATCCTGGACACCAGAGCTGGAACCTTAGTTTGACTAAGTCACTGAGAAAGTTGAAGTCACCAAGGCCTCCAGAACACTGCTCACAGAACAAAGGCCAGGAGGGATTTCAAGCCAAGGACCCTGACTGAAAAACCTTGCCCACTAACTTCTGGCCAGTTATTATTCCAGCTACCCTTAGATGCAATTTGGGACACATATTTCTCACCATTTCATATCTTCCTAGAGGCAGATACAAGATCAGTAGATACAAGGTCATTAGATACAAGGTCAATAGATACAAGGTCGGTCGATACAAGGTCGGTCAATACAAGGTCGGTCAATACAAGGTCGGTCGATACAAGGTCAGTAGATACAAGGTCAGCTCCCATTTTTTCAGACAAATCTATTGAACTCACTGGGTGATACAGGCCTGTAATCTCAGTTACTTGATGAAAGAAAAGGAAAAAGAAAAGGGAGGGGAGGGGAAAGAAAAGATGAGAGTGAGGGTGGAGGGAGAAGAGAGAAAAGAAAAGAAAAATGGCCAGAGATGTAGCTCAGTAGAGCATTTGCCCAGCATGTTGGCAGCTCTGGGTTCAAGCCCCAGTACAGGCGAGTGGGGGGAGTAAAAAGGCTCAGAAAGGTAAAGTACTTCACTAGAGGTCACACAGCAAGTGTTTGAGGGAACCCAGCCCTATAGGCCCTAAGACCTTGAAGAACATAGAATTTTCTCTGAGGAACATTTTTTTAAATATTTTATTTATTATTTTTATTTTATGTATATGAGTGTATTGCCTGTACGTAAGTATACCTCTGTGATGCAATGCCCAAGGAGGTCAGAAGAGGGTGTCAGATCCCCTGGGACTGGAGTTACCAAAGGTTGCTAACTGTCACGTGGGTGCTGGGAATTGAACTGAGATCCCCTACAAGAGTAGACAGTGCTCTTAACCACTGAGCCATCCCTCCAGCCCCTCTGAGGAACATTTTCAGGGCTGACTCTGTCTGTCCTGGAGTAGAGGGGATGAAGAAAGTCACAGTAAAGGATCACAGTGAGCCCTTCCTACCCTTGACAGCATCCTGGTCCATCTTTGTTCTCAGATCTGTCTCCAGGCTGTGTAGATTGTCCCCTCTGCATGGAGGCCACCCTCTCCCTGAACTCAGTCACCTTATCCTGTCTCCCTCACAGCAAGGTCTCCCTCTAACTGTGCTTGTAATTTCCCATCAACTGTAATCCTACACTGCTGAAGGTGTTCCCACCAGGTGGAAGGTTCCAGAAGCAGGGCTGGTCACCTGTGCCTAGGCTCAGAAGGCTCAGCACTGACATTTAGCAAACCCTAACCTCTTAAGTCTGGCATGACCGAGTTGGGCACACCTTTGACTCCAGCACTCAGGATGCAGAGGCAGGTGGGTCTCTGTGAGATCGAGGCCAGCCTGGTCAACTTCCAGGCCAGCTGAGGCTACAGAGAGACCCTTTCTCAAAAAACAAAAACCAAAAAAAGAAAAAAATGAGGCTAGCAAGTTGGCTCAGCAGTTAAGAGCACTGGCTGCTCTGACAGAGAACCCGGGTTCAAATCTCAGCACTCACATGATAGTTAACAACTGTCTATAACTCCAGTTCCAGGGGATCTGACACCCTCTTCTGACCTCTTTGGGCATTGCATGACACGGGTGCATTTACATACATGCAGGCAATATACTCATACAAATAAAATAAAAATAATAAATATGAAAAAAAAAGAAAAGTTTGCATAAAAACTGCCACCTTATCATGGCAGCAGACTCATACATGGCGTGTTTATTGTGTCCCCACACACACACACACCCACACACACACACACTTTTTAAAAAGTGCTTTTGTAGATCAGCCTCTGCCTCTGGAGTGTGGGGACTAAAGGCATGAGCCAATAAACCGGGCCTACCTTTTTTGGGGGGCACTCCTGTGTTCAAGAGACCCTCCCACCTCAGGGTTTTAATCGTACACCTCCACGCCAGGTTTCTCATGAATAAAACAAGAGGGACTGGAGAAATGGCTCAGTGTTAAGGGCACTGGCTGCTCTTTCAAAGGACACCCACATGGCAGCTAACAACCATCCATATCTCCAGTTCCAGGGGATCCAACACCCTCTTCTGACCTCTATGGGCATTGCAGTGACACGGGTGCATTTACATACATGCAGGCAATATACTCATACAAATAAAATAAAAATAATAAATATGAAAAAAAAAAAAACAATCACTAATCACTACCCTTTGAAATGTCCCCATCTCTTGCCACCATGCCCTCTGTAAAGGCTAGCGACTCCTTTCCTTCCTCCTAAGGCCTCTGGCAAATGCTCCCAGTGAGTTCAGGCACCCAGACACTGTCAGGTCACTGTTGATCACTGTCAGCCTCATGGAGGGCCAGGCATAGGTTAACATTGGTGGGCACTGCCTAGAGTGCTGTGCTTAACCTTCACCTGCCTGGGTCTGTGTTCCCAAGCACACAGAGACTCCTAGTGGCCCTTGTCTGAATTAGATACACCTGGGAACAGCTGCTGGTCTGGGGCTAGATACCAGCCTGCCTGAGATCTTTGTTTCTTTGTTTGCTTTTTTGAGACAGGGTCTCTGGCTAACTCACTAAGTAGCCAAGGATGACCTTGAACTTCTGATCTTCCTTCCTCCACCTCCTGAGTGCCGAGATTACAGGAATGTGCCGCTACATCCAGTTTATACAGTACTAAGGATGGAACCCAGGACTTATGCATGCTAGGCAAGCGCTCTACCCACTAAGCCACATCCCCAGCGCCCTTCTCCTGGGCCTTAGAGGTTCGAAGATGAGTCCTTGAATGGATGGCAGAGCACCGGCTCAGGTAGCAGACAGGTTGTAGGATCTGGTTGCCTGGGACAAAGGCTGGTGCAGAGGGCAGGTGAATAAATCATGAGGGGCCCAAAGCGGGCCTGACAGGACAGCTGACCTCATTCTGGAAGTGAGGAGCAGGCAATTGCGTGGTGAGTGGCTGGGGAGGGGTGAGGGGGAAGGGGACTGTGTGGCACCTCCACCCTTGTTCCTTGAGAAAAGTTTGTGGGTCAGGGGACAGGTTCCCCAGGAGGTAGAGGGGTGGGCAGAGGTGGAAGCACAGAGGTACCCTGGGGCGCCGGTGGTGGGGAGGGAAAAGCAAGTGATGTGCTTTCTGGAATCTTAGAGCCATCAAGGGACAGGGATGGTAAGGGAGTAGGAATAGCAAAGATGGACAGACAGACCAAGGTGAGAAAGAACCTCTGGGGAGCCAGGCATGGTGGCACATGCCTTCAATCCCAGTGATCAAGAGGCAGAGGCAGGCAGACTTCTGTGAGATCAAAACCAACCTGGTCTACATAGTTCCAGGCCAGTTGGGGCTACAGGGAGACCCTGTCTCAAAAAAAAACCCCAAAAACCAAACACCAAGAAGAACCTCTGGTTAACAAGGAAGGAGCCAACAGAGGCTGACAGCAACAAAGCGGGGCCGAGGGGAGCAGGCACGAGCCAGGGGAGCACACAGAGGCTGAGGGTAAGAGAGACTGAGCGGACCTGAAGGCCACGGGAACACTACTAGACAGACAAAGTGGTAAAAAGGCTGATGCCACGGAGAGTAAGGAGGGCTCAGAGCAGAGGCAGCTGCCGGAGCATGAGCCATCGGGGTGGAGGTGGCATACGGGGAGAGAGGGAGGCCAGCCAGGTTGGAAGACAGGCTGCCTGGGTCTGCCAGGAGCCCCAGGGAAAAGTCTAGCCCTGTGAAGGCTGGAGGGTGGTATGGAAGGAAGGTGAGGGGTTTCAGAGACAGGCAGTGAGAGAACTCTGTGGGAAGGTAGTGACCTTGGAGGTATAGGGCTCTACTAATCCCCAGAGCAAGGAGAGAGGTCTCACCTACAGATGCCCACTGACCTGCCCTATCTACAGGACAAGGAAACCCAGTGTGGCCAGGAGGAGGTGCCACATCCTTATATCCATGGCCCTGCCCGAGGGCCCAGAAGATGGCAGCTTCCCCTCAGGTGACCCCAGCCCCTCTGCAGGCTCTCCAGGACCCAGCCAGGACCTAGCCAGCCCTGTTGCCCGCAGGCGGGCTCTCCTCCATGAGCTGGAGGCCCAGGTGCAGGCTGCTTATGGGCAGGTAAGGGGCAGGGGCTGTCATTTACTGAAGGATCCTACAGTCCAAGTGAGACCACCCGTGTAAGACAGTTCACACATAGGTGGCCAGAGGGTTCAGGAGAGGTCAGGGGACTTATCTGCCGCCTCTGTTGACATTAAGGAATCCAGTGCCCAGAGTTAGCTGCTTATGCAAGGACAGGTCCGAACACGGGGTTTCTACCCTGAACCTAGGGTAGAAACAGTATCCTGACAGGAAGTGACTTCAGACTGGACCAAGGTAAAAGCTGGTAGCCTCTCTCCAAGGATCCACAGATCCCCCAGACCCAATGCTGTTCTGGAGGGGGAGGCTCAGCAGGCCCTGGTACCAAGTGCCTATTTCCTCCTCAGGGACTCCAGCCTGCTTCTGAAGGCTCTGATTGAGAAAGATTAGCACAGGGCTAAGGGGAACAAGGCTGGAGGGGATGTCAGGAAGACCCTCGTGAGGAAGATCCGGGAGGCTGCGCCTTCCAGGGGGCTCTGTGTACCTCCCCGCTTCAGAGATGCTCAGAGATAATCCTGGATTAGGGCCCAAGCCCTGGACCCAAGGCCCCCCCACCTACCCACAAGCCCCTGATCTTGCCCACAAAACCCCAGGGAAATCCTCTCCCGTTCTCCCAGCCTGTTCTTGGGAATGGCTGGGGGCTGGCAGAATCCACAGCATCCTCCCAGGACTCAGGGCCTGGCATGGTTCAGGGACCCATGGGGAACTGTGCCAAGTGGCCTCGGCGCCGGGGGCATAAGGTAGGAGGCTAAAGGGGGGACTCAAAGCCCGGAGCCTGGGTAGCCCCCAAGCATCAGACAGGTGGTGGGATAGAGGCTTGAGGGGCACTCGGCTGGGTTAGAAGTGGGACATGGGCTCTGGATGGGATAAAAAGGCCATCTGTGCATTGTCCTTGAAGGAGATGTTTTCCTGGATGCCCCCAGACTTTGCTGGGTCTGCCCTAAGGTTACCAGCCAGTTACCAGTCTTGTGCTAGTTCCAATCTCTCGGCCTTAGCTAGGGTGACCCAGAGCTGGAGGCTGGGTCGTGCTCTGCCACAGGCTATCTCAGTGACCCTGTCAAGTCCTTTGCCTTAGTTTACCCAACTGACAGTTGGGGTGAACCCTTTCAACCTAGATTGTTAATTGGGTCTTATGAGCACAGAGCTTCTCCCATACTGATAGTACTGGGCTCCAGAGAAGAGGGGCTGAGGAGGGGTCCGTGGACCACTGCTTCAGCTCATGGCTAACTTTGCTGCAGGACCCCTGGCAGTGGCCTGGCTCCCCTCTAGGGAACTCCAGCCCCAGTCCCAGCCCCAGCCCCAGACCTGAGGAGCAGGGGGGCACCCAGGGTTATTCTGTGCTCGGCAGCCTGGTGGGGCCAGCCTGCATCTTCCTTCGGCCCAGCATCGCCGCCACCCAGCTCGTATGTACGGCCACTTATCCACAGCCTGCTGTCCTTGTCCCTTGACCTCATGGTTCCCTGAATAGGAGGGAAAGGCTGAAGAGGACATCATAGGAAAGACACTGGACCCCAGGGAGTGGGGCACAGTGGTGACTTGGGAGACCCCAGAGTCATCCCTAGCAAGGGGAGGGTGGGGACCCATGGAAACAGTCACCCAAGGATTGAGGGTACAGTTCAGTGTCAGAGTATTCACTTAGCAAGCCCAGAGTTCCATCCTCAGTACTGCAAAGAAAGAAAGGAAAGGAACAGTGTCCAAGGAGGGGATGGACCAGGGAAGAGACAGGGCCCTTAGGAGAGGGACAGAGAGCAAATCCAACCTGCAGTGATATTGAGGCCAGCAGGGCTGCATCTGAGGCTCTGCCCCAACTCAGGATTTGCCTCTGTCAAAAAGAGCTGTAGGCTTCAGAAGAGGGGGTGGGGGCAGGGGCCTGGGAGTCAGTCGCTTGGCAGGTGGCAGGGAAAGGGGTCCCCAAGATGTTCAGGAAGGTGAGCAGGACCACGCAGAATCAAGCTTAGGCCCTGGTGTGCTGTGAGGGAGGGCTGGGTGGGGTGCCCCAAGAAACGGAAGAAAGGTACAGAGGCCTGTGTGGGCCAAGGAACTCCTAACCCATCTGTGCACCCCAGGACCGGGAGCTGCGGCCGGAGGAGATTGAAGGTAAAGGGTTCAAGGAAGGGTGAGTTGGGGTGGGACTTGGGATGGAGATGTAAGGAGGGGAGTCTTGGGCTGGGCCTCTGCAGGGTCTTGGAGAATCAAGGACAAGCAGGCTGTGGGGACCAGGCTAGCAGACCAGGGAGGGGTGGCAGACCCTTGCCCTCTCCTGCTATCAACCCTTTGGTTTCACTGACCATGCTGGTCAAGGGCTTCTTTCTTATTTATCCATCCAGCTGCCACTTCCTTGCTGCCCAGAGTGGGCCCAGCCCCTTGACAAGCACCAGGAAACATGGCTGCCTTTGTAGATGAGGTCCCTGCCCCCTGGGAACAGAGGTCAATGTGCTGGCTACAGCTGCTACTGTGGGAAACCAATGAGTGGGCTGGTGGGGAAGAAATGTGGAGGGAAGTCTTCCTGTGTAGAACCAGAGGAAGGGAGAATGTTCTGGAATGTAACCTCCTTAAGGTCAGAGACTTGGTCTCTTCCCTTCTCCCTCCCTCTCTTCCTTCTCTTAATAATCATCTAGGACAGAGATCGACACATAGTAAATGCTTCTTAAACATTTGTTGAACAAAATTTTACAACAGCATGTGCAAAAGCCCTGGGGCAACAAATAGGAACCGAGGTTTAGCAAGGAAGGACTAGACCAAAGGGAGAAAGGCTGGTACCAACTGGGGTCTAGGGAGGGTATTAGGAAAGGCCTGACCTCACCCTGCCCCACAGAGCTGCAGGTCGCCTTCCAGGAGTTTGACCGAGATCGGGATGGCTACATTGGATATCGGGAGCTGGGGGCCTGCATGCGGACTCTGGGCTACATGCCCACTGAGATGGAGCTCATCGAGATCTCACAGCAAATCAGTACGTGCTTCAGACCTGCCCTGTGCTCCAGCCCTGACTGAGTCCTGAGGTAGCTGTATGGGCTGTTCCCAGAGCCCAGGACATGGCTGTCCTTAAGGGGAGCTCTGCCTCCTGAGATTGTCACCAACTGCTAGGAGAAGTGGGGAGGCTGCCATGATCTCCCTTCATCAACAAAGAGTTGAGGCTCAGAGGAATGAAGTGACTTCTCTAGGGTCACACAGCAAGCTCATGGGGACTCAAAGCCAAGGAAAGCTCCAGTGTGTTTTAAGAGCCTGGCTGAGGGTGATTCCCACCAGGAGCTGCAGCTGATCCAGCCCCCAGTGCACAGAATGAAGGGACTCATATATTGCCACAAGAGAGGGGGACAGAGGCAGGAAGGAGGCCAGTAGTAGGCAAGGGAAGGTGGGCAGGCTACAAGGCTGAGGTCTCTAATGAATGGACATACCCTCAGGTGGTGGGAAGGTGGACTTTGAAGATTTTGTGGAGCTAATGGGTCCCAAGCTGCTGGCAGAGACGGCAGACATGATTGGCGTGAGGGAGCTGCGAGATGCCTTCCGGGAGGTGCACCTTGGGTGGAGGGGGCAGAGGGTGGAGAGGGACAGAGGGGCTGCAGCAAGTGAGAGAGGGAGTGGATGTGAGCTCAGTCGGTGATCCCACACCACCGTCAACATTGCCACAGTTTGACACCAATGGGGACGGCTGCATCAGTGTCGGGGAGCTCCGGGCGGCCCTCAAAGCTCTGCTAGGAGAACGCCTCAGCCAGCGGGAGGTGGACGAGATCCTGCAGGACATCGACCTCAATGGAGATGGCCTGGTGGACTTCGAAGGTACCATCTGCCCTGCTTAGCCACATATACCCTGGAAGGTCCCTGTGCAAAGCACGTCCCTGTCCTTCCCTGGTTAACCATCGCTGAGAATCCAGAAGGAAGGGCTACTTTCCCCACTGACAACAGAAGAAATTTTTGTTAGTTCTCAGGAAAGCTCAAGTTCTTGCTCAGCAAGAGGGAAATAGATGGCATCGGGTAGGCAGACCTAAAACCTTGGCTTTGTCCTGGCAGAATTTGTGCGGATGATGTCTCGCTGAGCCTGTACGGGAGCTAGAGGCAGTGGACCAGACTCAGGGACCACAGCCTCTGCCCTGCGCTGGATCCAACACATTCCTTGAAGCCCGTCGTGTCCAACCAGGACCGTGCCTCTCCTCCCCATCCCTGCCTGAGCACAGTACCGCCCCCCACCGCCTTCACCCCTTGCCCCTCTCTGGTTCTCTAACAATAAAGCATCTTGGAGCTTGTGGAGAAGGTGTTGGCCTCTACTCCCTCATCTTGGAGACCTGGCATTTGACCCCCAAAAGGTCTTTCTACCCACAAGCCACCTCAACTGTGATCTCTGGAGGGGTGGGGACTCCCTCTTCTCCCTCTCTGGATTCTGGGCCTAGCCTAGAGGAAGTCTCAAAAAACATCCCTGGGCAAGGTGTGGTGGCACAGACCTTTAATTCCAGCACTCTAGAGGCAGAGGCAGGAGGATCTCTGTGAGTTTGAGGCTAGCCTGGTCTACATAATGAGATTCAGGCCAGCCAGGAAAACATAGTGATACCCCGACTCAAGAACATAATAAATTCCCTGGGCTTGTACACACACACACACACACACACACACACACACACACACACACCAGGGCTTCTGCAGCCCTGCGCTTGAAGTGCTGAGGACTGAGTCCTTCTCTCTAGCTCCAGCACCCGTATTTCTGCTGCAGCCTGGCAGGATGCTGCTCAGAGCTTTGATCCAGAACTCAGCCTTCAGCTTCCAGGACAGTGGTGCTGCAGACCAGCTTGCTGACCCCTTCAGGAGGCACCTTATCTGAAAGATGACACCTCTTTCCCTAGGAGTCCCTAGTACTGGATGCAGGGGAGTGGGGAGGAGAACAGCACTGGCCAGCCCTGCCTGATGCAAGGCCCCTCAAACAGACAGTGTGTTCTGAGGCCTTTAGGTCAGCCACAGTGTAGGACCTCCAGCCCTAACCTGTTCCCTGCCCTTTTATTTGCTGGCACCCCTAGACTCATTGCCTCACACTGAGCCTTCATAGCCCTTGTTTCAGCCCTTGTTCTAGAAAGCCACAAGTCTCCACCCGTTCCCACAGTAGTAGGCTGGGTAACTTAGAGACAACATGGATTTATCACACCATTCTAGAGGCTGGCAAGTCCAAGATCAAGATACAGGAAGCGGCTGTGTGTGGTGACCCACACCCGTGATCCCAGCATTCAGGAGGCTGAGGCAGGCAGATCCAGAATTTGAGATTAGCCTCAGCTAAGATTCTGCCCCCCAAAAAAGTGTGGGAGCTAGAGAGATGGCTCAGTGGTTAAGAGCCATCACTGGCTGCTCTTGCAGAAGTCCTGAGTTCAAATTCTAGCACCCACACGGTGGCCAACAACTGTTCTTAACTCCAGTTCCAGGAGATCCAACGCTCTCTTCTGATCTCCATGAGCATTACATGGCATGGGTGCACTTACATACATGCAGGCAATACACTCAGACACATAAAATAAAAATAAATAAATCAAAACAATTTTTCTTAATTTTTAAAAAATGTGCTAATGAGATGGCTCCATGGGTAAAAGACCTTGCCATGAAAGCCCGATGACTTGAGAACTTGTGCTAACTGTCCTCTGACCTCTAGGCATGTGCTCATATACAAATGCAATGCTGATAGTAAATAACTAAAATTTTAAGTTTTTTATTTTATTGGGTGTATTTATTTCAGGAGGGTTGTACGTGTGTCATGGCACAAATGTGCTAATCAAAGGACAACATGAAGGAGTCAGTTCTCCCCATCCACGATGTGGGCTCTGGGAATTGAACTCAGGTTGTCAGGCTTGGTAGTAAGGGCATTTACCCACTGGGCCATCTTGCCTGCCCCCAACAAGTATAATTAATTGTTTTGGTATTTTGGGGGATTGAATCCAAGGACCTACATGCTAGGCAGGTAAGAACTTCATCCCCAACTAAAGTTGAAGAAAGAAAAGAAGGGTCTGGAGAGATGGCTCAGCAGTTAAGAGCACTGGCTGCTCTAAGAGAACCAGGGCTCGATTCCCAGTACCCACATAATGGCTAATAACTGTCCATAACTCCAGTTTCAGGGGATCCAACGCCCTTTTCTGACCTCCATGGGCATTGCACGACACAGGTACACTTATTTACATGCAGGCAATACATTCATACACATAATAGCTTTTTTGGTCTTTTTGAGACATAATAATTTTTTTTAAAGATAAAATAGACACAAGAGGTTCTGGGTGATGATGGACTCATCTCCGCGTCCAGCTGCAACCTGCTTGCTCCAGAGGGCTGAACACTGTGGCCCCTCATGACAAAATGCCAGACAGAGCCCTCATGGACTAGTCACCTGTAATGGGCCCATCCTAATAATGTTGTGCTGGGAGCACAATTTATTTTTTGTTTTTAAAGAGTTATTTTATTTTTAGTTTTGTGTGTCTGTGCATGCACATGCGTGCCCACGTCACCCAGGCCAGAAAACGGCATCGGATCTCCTGGAGCTACAATTATAGGCAGTTGTGATCCACCTGATGTGGGTATTGGGAATCAAATTGGGTTCTCTGCAAGAGCAGCAAGTGCTTTTAACCGCTAAGCCATCTCTCCAGCCCCTTCTTGTCTTTTGTTTTTTTGTGAGATAGGATCTTGCTGCGTAGCTATGACTGGCCTGGAACTCACTATGTAGCCCAACCTGACCTTCAACTTTTTGCAACCCACTTGCCTCTGCCTCCAAACTTCTGGGGTTACAGGCATGCACACCACCACCATGCCCAGCGAGGGGACTAAGTTTCAACAGGAATTTTTAAAGGAGACAGGATTTTTTTTACTGATTGATTTTTATGTAGATGAGTGTGTGATATCTGCATGTATGTAAGTGCACCTGTGTCATGCAATGCCTGTGGAGGACAGAAGATGGCATTGGATCCCTTCTGGAGTTATAGATGGTTGTTAGCTGCCATGTGAGTGCTGGGATTTAAACTGGGTCCTCTGCAAGAGCAGCCAGTGCTCTTAACTGCTGAGCCATCTCTCCCCAGGATCTTTTTTTTTTTTTTTAAGCTTAAGAGAAATTTTTATTGATTTTTAAGAATTTCATACAATGAATTTCTCCTTCTCCTTCTCCTTTCTTTTGTCTTTTTTTGAGACAGAGTCTCCCCGTAGCCCCAGCTGGCCTGGAACTCACTATGTAGAACAGGCTGGCCTTGAACTCACAGAGATCTGCCTGCCTCTGCTTCCCAAGTGCTGGGATTAAAAGACTGGCATGAATTTGTATTATATTCAGACCTCCTCCCTTACCACCACCACCCCACCCCCAACTTCATGTCTTCTATTAGCAAATGAAAAACCCCATCCATATTACATAACATCTCTGAGCTGGGTACCAGAGAAATCATATCTCTATTAGAGTGTCAGTAATCTATAATTCTTACACACAGATGCACCAAAGTCAGGGTCCACTCCCTTTCCTTTTTACATGACTTGGGGTCAGAATATGCCCAGGTTTCTTGGAATGAGATTTTCACACTTGTTTTCTGTCTCTCTTACACTCTGCTTGGGAATGTCAAGTAGGAATTTCTCTTTTTCTCAGTGTTTGGAAACACTGGTTTTCCTCATCAGAGATGGTTGTTCACAGGCCTTGCATGCGGGTTGTACTTGGGCTGTTTCCAGACGTCACTCAGCACAGTGACCCCACTGTGGACCAACCAAGGTGTTCTCCAGTAGGGTAATTCCCCTGACTTGGGGTTTCACTGTGGGTAAAAGCAGAAGCTGGTCCTCACAGCAGGCAGCGTTAGCTCACAGGCCTCCAACCCAAGATTCTCTGAGAGGCAGTTGGGAGGTTTCACAGCTGCACCCAACAGCTTTCTACCAGTGTCCTCTAGTTTATTTTCTGAAATCTGTAGACTTCTGAGTTCTAATGCTGTTGAGGACGGCAGCCAGGTCTTGACAGCCCCTGGGTGATGATGATGACCAACTGACCATAGGTGCCACTGGGGTGTGTGTGACCAGACAATCCCCTCTGTCATTTTGGCTTCCCAGTTATTTTCCCTCTGACTTGCCAAGTTCTGAGTTCAGGATTTTTATTTATTTTTAATTTTTATTTATGTATGTATTTATTTATTTATTTGTTTATTATTGATTTTATTTTATTTTTTGTCTTTTGAGACAGGGTTTCCCTATAGCCAAAGCTGTCCTGGATGCGCTATAGAGACCAGGCTGGCTTGGAACTCACAGAGATCCGCCTGCCTCTGTCTCCCAAGTGCTGGGATTAAAGGCATGCACCACCACGCCCAGTATTTTGTGATCAATAAGCATCAAAAGTCTTAATAAAATGAAAAGGTCTGGAGTCATGTTTTAAGTCCTTGTACTGAGAGTCACCATTACCACCATTGTGCTGGCTATGCCGACATTTTGGCTCTCCAGTTAATTTCTTTACTTGCCAAATTCTGAGTTTGGGGCCCACCGCACAACCTGCATTCCAGCACATCCTTTCAGCACCTGGTGATTCCCATTGCACCCCAAAAGCCAAGGTGTGGCCATTCATCTGCCTATAATCCCAGCACTGGCAAGGCGGACAGGAGGGTCTCAGGGGCCTGCTGCCCAGCCAGCCGGCCAGAACAGTTGAGTCCCAGGTTCAGTGAGAGACTGTGGAATAAAAGGTGGATGGGGCTGGAGAGACGGCTCAGCAGTTCAGAGCGCTGGCTGCTCTTGCAGAGGGCCTGGGTTCAATTCTCAGCACCCACATGGTGGGTAACAACCATCTGTAACTTTAGTTCCAGGGTATCCAATGCCCTCTTCTGACCTCTGCAGGCATTGCATGACACAGATGCACATACATACATGCAGGCAATATACTCATACACATAAAATAAAAATAATTAAAAAAAATATTATACATACATATATGGTGAAGGAGGCTGAGAGATGGCTCAGAAATTAAGAGAACCTGGATTTGGTTCCCAGCACCCACATGGTGGCTTATAACCAGCTGTAATTCCTGTTTCAGGGGATCTAGCACCTTTTTCTGGCCTCCTAGGGCACTACACGCATGTGGTTCACTTAAATACATACAGGCAAAACACTCATTATGATATATGTATATGGTGGAAGGCAATTGAGGAAGACACCAGATGTATGTCAACATCTGACCTCCACATGTACCCACACACACAAATAAGTAAAGAAAGTAAAATAAAATGGCTAGGTCCTAGGGGCCCCCTGGACCTCACAAGGTGGCCTCAGGCTGAACAGGCAGGCAGGCCCAGTGTCCTGAGCAGCAGTCTGGACATTGAGATACCAGGTCTCCCTCAGCACCACCCGCCCCGCAGAGCCCAATTAATCCATAATCCTCAATTAGGCAATCCCTCCTGCCAAGCTAGCAGCTTCCAACCACAATAAGTTGCCCCAGCCCCAAGGCTTTTCTGGAAGCCTTACAGCTAGCACAGACAGTATCACCCATGAGAAAAATGACTCTGTGACCACCAGGAGCCAGGGGTAAAGAGAACACCAGGGATCAGCTGCTCATGGCCCCCCACCCTGCACAGTGACACTTTCTACATCTGTGACACAACTGGATTCTTTGCTTCCTGGACTCCATGGTGGGACCCAACTGCCTAGATTATTTTTTAAGATTTACTTTTATTATTTTTAATTATGTGAATATGTGTGGGGGAGTATGTGCATATGATTGCAGGTGCCCAAAAGTTCAGAAGAGGGTGTCAGATCCCCTGGATCTGAAGTTACTGGCAGTTTTGAGCCATCAGATGTGGGTGCTGGGAACAAAACTCAGATGTCATCAACTGCAAGACCAACAACTTGCTTTTAACCAGAGTCAACTATCCAGACCCCTAGATTTTTTAAAATTTACAGTTTGATCAAATAATGTCTTCCAATCCCCTCAGAATCACACAGAAGTTTCATTCTCCTAAAACACTGCCTAGGCTTTAACCATTCAACTCTGTCCCCCTGACAGCTAGTAATCTGTCTTCTGTATAATTTTCCATTTTTTATTATTTTTTTAATTTTATGTGTATGTGTATTGCCTGAGTGTGTGCAAGTGCACTCCTGCTATGCAATCCCTGTGGAAGAAGGAAGGTGTTGGGTCCCCTGGAACTGGAGTTACAGACAGTTGTTAGCTGTCATGTGGGTGCTGGGAATCAAATCCAGGCCTTCTGCAAGAACAGCCTGTGCTCTTAACTGCTGAGCCATCTCTCCAGACCCTAATTTTCCATTTCCTAAGATGCTGTACGACTGAACCATACAGACTGTAGTCTTTTCAGACTGTTTTTTTTCTTTTCTCTTCTTTTTGTCTTTTTGAGGCAGGGTCTCCCTGTAGCCCCAGCTGTCCTGGAACTCTCTGTGTAGACCAGGCTGGCCTTGAACTCACAGAGATCCACCTGCCTCTGCCTCCCAAGTGCTGGGACTACAAGTGTGCGCCAACACACCCTAGACTTTTACCATGCTAAGTGCCTGAAGCACTGGTCAAGAGGCCTTGCCATCTTCCCCCACATGAGCAGAGTCTGCTCATTGGGACAGATCACAGCTGCCCTCTCTGACCTCCCTCAGGACAGTCTGCGTTCCTCAGCCACAATCTGCTCTCCAAGGAGGAGGGACATCTAGAATTGCTATAGTACAAGGTTCAGCCCCACTGTCGCTTCCCTCAAACACGGTTTTAGGATGTCTGTGTGCCCCCTAAACTCATACGGCTGTATTTGGAGGTAGGCCTCTAAGGAAGTAGTGAAAGTTAATTAAGTCAGAGGGCAGGGCTCTGAGATGGCTCAGCGGTTAAGAGCACTGGCTGCCCTTGCAGAAGACGCAGGTTCCAGTCCCAACACTCACATGGCATCTAACAACTAGGGGATGCTATTGCCCTCTTCTGACCTCCACAGGCATTGTATGACATGGGTGCACCCACCAATGTTTAAGCAATACACTCATACACATAAATAAAATAATTTTTTTAAAGCTGGGCATGGTGGCACACGCCCGTAGTCCCAGCACTTGGGAGACCAAAAATAATAATAATAATAATAATAATAATAATAATAATTTAAAAAAATAATTAATGGCATCAGAGAATCTTCTTTTTTACCCAGAAAGGCTGTGTGAGGCCAGGAAAATAGCCATTACCAGAAACCCACGATACGGACCTCAGACCTCTAGAACCTCCGGGCTGTGGGAAAATAATCTTCCGTGGTTTGAACCTCTGAGTCCAAAGGTCTTTGTTTTATCTGGGTCTTAGTCAGCCCCAACAGATTAGTATATGGGACAATAGGGAAAGCAAGAAGGCTTAAAGAAAAGGGGACCGGAGTTCCCCAAAAGCAGAGTACCCCACAGTAGCTCCCCGTCACACTCTGCCCACTAAAGTCTTTCCCACAGTGCAGGCTTACTGCCATGTAGGGAGAAGTTTCTGGGTGACTTCATCTGCATCCCCTCTCCGGTTTCTTGAGGCAGGATCTGTGTCCCCTGGGATGGCATCTGACCATCTTCCAGCCTCAGCTTGGTGTTACAAGCCTTCACCACCATGCCTGGCTCTTATTTTAATTTGAATATGTATTAGAAAGCTTTAAAGAGGCATTGATTAAATGGCATTCTGGCTTTCAGTTTTTATTTGAGGTTTTTAAAAAGGGAGTTGATTTAAAAGAAATAGAAACCAGACGGCCAGACCCACATGGGAGTTTCAGTAATAAAGTTAGAGCGACATTAGACTGAGCGAGGAACTAAGCTGCCTTACGAATGAGACGGACTGTCATCTCTACACTTCACCTTCCAAAAGTTATTTTCTCCATTTCTCAGATGGGGAAACTGACGCATATTAAGGCGAGAAACTTTGTGGCGGGTGCCTGTAATCCTAGTACTTGGTAGGGGGAGGTAGGAGGGTCAGGAGTTCGAGGCCAGCTTGCACTGGACAGGACAATCCCACTAGACCCTCCCCGGGAAAATCACTGGGGAGGGGCTGAGACTCCAACCGAGCGGAAGGAATGACCTCACAGTGCTCTTTCCCCGACGCGTCATTAACAATCATTAATTAACAATCATTAACGATATGACGCCCCGTCCTTGCGTGTGGCGGAAGCGCGGGACCCCACACCTGTCGAGACCTAAAGAACCAAGCCAAACCTGGAAGATGCATCGCAGCGATGGCGTTGGTAAGGGACCCGTTGCCATGGCAACAAATGAACCGCCCCCCCCCCCGAGAGGCGCGCGCGTGCGTTTGCCATGGCAACAAATGAACCCCCCCCCCCCCCCCCGAGAGGCGCGCGCATGCGCACCCCCGGAAAAGGTTGCTGAATGGGTGAAAGGTGACGTAAAGGCGCTCGGGGTGGGGCGGAGGGCTCGGAACGACGGAACCCGGGTTCTTCGGTCTGCGGAGCCCACGCCGATAGCAGCCCCGGCCACACCGAGGCTGGCCCAGGGAGCGCAAGGCGGTGCCAACGAGGACGGAAGAGCAGAGGAGCCGGACCGAACCTGACCGTATCAGACCTGACCCAGGTCCGGCTGCCCAAGGCCCCGCCTCTCTAGCCTGGGGACTAATCCGATTGAAAGCGCGCCGGCCCGGGCCCCGAACTCGCCAATTGCGGAGGGCGGCGGCCACCGCCCAATCCGGAGCAGACAGGTGCGAGGTCCGGAAGGCGCAGGCCAATTGGAAGCGGTTGCGGCCTGCGGGGGCAGGGCTCAGCCAATAAGCACGCTGGAGTGACAGCTCCGCAGACCAATTGGGAGTGAGCGGCGCTCATGCCCGCCCGCCCTTCCGGCCCCGGCTCTATTTACCAGGGGCGTGCAGCTCGCTTGCCAATCAGAGTGCGGCTGAGCTGCCGGACAGCCAACCCCTGAGCAGCGGCCGGCGGACCCAGGAGTTGGGGATGTCCTACAAACCCATCGCGCCCGCCCCCAGCAGCACCCCCGGCTCCAGCACCCCGGGACCAGGTACCCCGGTCCCTACAGGTGAGGATCCAACTCCACCCCCTGCTCGCCTGGCTCGGGCAGTGGAGGTGTTGAAGAGAAGACGGCCTGAGTTCTGCAATACTTGGGCCTGCACGGCTAAATCTGGCTCAGCCTCAGTTTGCTGGCCGCTGAAGTGGGTGTGGTCACAAGAGGGGAGTGGGGGAGGAGTGTGTCTCTGAAGTGGATCTGGATGGAATGAAGCATCCCCTTTTGGAGGAAGTCGGTCGAACCCGGTCCGGGGCTTGGAAAGGTGGCTCGAGGCATCCCTGCTGCACTCTGACTTGTTACCCGCGCCTGTTGCAGCCGGAAGTGTCCCATCGCCTTCGGGCTCAGTGCCAGGAGCTGCTGCCCCTTTCAGACCACTGTTTAACGACTTTGGACCGCCCTCCATGGGGTATGTGCAGGTGAGTGTGGCCAGGAGCTTACTTCAAGGATGGGGACAAGGAGCCCCCTCCGGGGCTTGAGGTAGCTTTTCTATTTTTATTTTTATTTTTATTTTTATTTTTTTGATGTAGGCAATGAAGCCACCCGGTTCCCAGGGCTCCCAGAGCACCTACACGGACCTGCTATCTGTCATCGAGGAGATGGGCAAAGAGATCCGGCCCACCTATGCCGGTAGCAAAAGCGCCATGGAACGCCTGAAAAGAGGTAAGCCAGGCTGGGGCCACCTCACCCTGCTCAGAACACAGACACTGGACTTCCCTTCCTGAATGAAGGGAGGACATGTGGACTCAGTGCAGAACACCTGGGCCAGGCTGTCCTCAGCGAGGCGTCCTGAACTGAATTGAACTTGAGTCAGTTTCCAGGAAATACCAGGGAGTTCAGGGTGAATATGAGGGTTATTAGCCAAACCCTAATCTCGTCCAACCTCCTTAGATTTGAGCTGCTCTTGGTGAACCACAAAGGGGTGGGGAGGGAGAGGCTGTGGAGGGTGGAAGTTGGGGCTGTGGAGTGTCGCTGAGACCCTGTTTGTTACTTCCCCATCCCCACCTCACCCCAGGCATCATCCATGCCCGGGCACTAGTCAGAGAGTGCTTGGCAGAGACAGAACGGAATGCCCGCACGTAACAGGAAGCACCTTGTCCTCCTCGTCGGGACCTTTCCGGCCACTGCAGAGCACCTGCTTCTCCCTGGCCTTCGCCCCAAGTTGCTTCCTATCCTGGGCTTCCTATCCTGTGTCCCTTGGTGGGTGTCCTCCAGGAACCAGGTAGCAGATCTCCCTCCGGTTGGCTGTACAAACTGGGCTCTCCCCGCTGCAGGAGTTAGGGCTATCACCAGCCCCTCCTATGACTGCTCACAGTGCTGGTCTAACTGGAGCTGGCTCCTCACTGCGGGCACTTCACACTTGTCACCACTTTGTCGAAGGCTGGGTACTTCCCTGCCTTGTCCACAGCTGACTCTTTTCTCGGTGTGTCTTTTACTAAATATGCCCTTTTTATATAAATAAAAGATGGTTTGGAGTTGTTCTCTCAGCACTGAGCCTTTCTGGGTCTGGTCCCTCTGGGGAAGCCAGAGTGGGCCAAGCAGAGGGAAGGGAGGGCAGATGGGGAAGGGGAGGCTGCCCGAACCTGGCTTTGTCTTGCCGCTGCTGTTGGTTACCCACCTCAGGCTGTCTCTTCCCAGCTGGGAGCTGTAGTTTCAGAACTACAAAAGAGGGCAGATCCAGGGGCCAGGAAGCCTGCATGGTGCAGTGCCACCAGGGGGCAGTGTGGCCTTGGCTGCCTTCACAGCTGGAGGCTTCATTGGCCAGCCTGAGCCTGGAGGGCCCTTCCTCTGGATTGGCAGGCATGCCCAGCAGGGTGGAAATGCCAGTTCATTTAAGCCACTCCCTTGGAAGCCCTAATGCCCCAACACCACCCTCCAATCTAAATTGGCCTTGGAAGGCTCTAAATACACTAAGTCTCTGACTCAGGGAATTCCAAGATGCTCCTGCCCCCCTCCCACCCCCTGCACCTTGGGCTGGACGCTGCCCTCCGCGTCCCAGCCTCTTCCACCAGGCTGGATGTGGCCCCATGCACCAGCCCTCAGTGTCTTGACCTTTGCCCAGGGTCGGGCAGCTAGCTAGGTGGCCAGATTTGAGGGCTCAGCAGGCATAAGCAGGGAGGGCCTTGGGCTCCATTAAGGGCCTGGCCCACAGAATTACAGTGACATGCCTCTACTGGGGTGTGTAGCAGAGTGACCCTGTCACCCTAGCCCTAGGCAGAAGCAAGCCAGAGCTATCAGCTTCTGGGTAGACTTGGAGTGCTGCGTTCCCTCTACCCTGGGCCCCAGGTTCCAGGAGCTACAGAGGGTGAGGAACTAGGGAGGATGGCCTGGGACCAGCCATGTCACACTCCACCCCTCCAGCGCACATAGGAGGGCTAGGCCAAGGTGGAAAAAAGGAACCAAGATCCCTTAGTGGGGGGAAGGAGGGTCCCCAGACAGCTCAGAGGTAAAGATCTCCGGCCTTCGGGGACCAGCCTCTTCCCCAGCTGCATTGGGGAAGGAAGGCAGGGGCCTGCCCTGCTCCGCCGCGGGCGGGGCTGCCGGACCCCGCAGGGGTGGGGAGGACCAGCCAGGCCCAGGAAGGGGGCGGGGCGGCCGCAGTGACGCGACGGGGAGGGACCGTAGGGGCGCTGGCGGGCGGACGGGGGGAAAAGGTCGTGGCCATGGGCCCGTGCTGCGCCTCCGGAGGTTCGGGCTCCAGCTGGGATCCGAGGCCGGGGCTGGGGGCGCTCCGGGTTCCCACCTTGGGGCCGGCTGCACGGGCTGGGTGAGGGGCGCCCGCCCCAAGCTAGAGGTGAGCCGGGACGTGGGTGAGCGTGCGGGCCGAGAGCGCGGCGGGGGACTGGGGCTGGGCGCAGAGGGAAGTGGGGACCAGGGCCTCTCGCCCGCGCGCTGGGTGCGAGCTGGAGACCGAGGGGTGTCTGCAGCGGAACCGCGGCGCCCGACTGGGGCGCAGGTGGGCGGAGCGGGCCCTCCCAGGGCGGAGGCTCGTGGGACACCCGTGGACAGCTCCTGCCCCAGCCCGAGACGGGGCAACCTCGCGGGAGGATGATGGGGTGGCTAAGACGCAAGGAGAGTCGGTGGAGATCGGGGGTCCAGGAGAGCACCCGGCTATCCGCTAGGGTGGTGAAAGCAGGTCTGGGGGGCAATGGGGTTATCGGGCACTGAAAGGCGAATTCCCGCGCGGGGGGTGGGGAGTACCCCACCCTCTGAGAGATGCTGAGGCGCACGAGTGCCGCTCCCCGAGAGGCACCTTGGGCTGCTCAGGAGTTGAGTACGCGGGACCCCACCGGCTCCGGGAAAGGGGTGAAGGGGGCGGGTCCCTAAGGGACTGGTCTGGGAAGGCGGGCCCAAAAGGAAGGGTTTCCTAGGGGCACTGCCTGGGTGGGATGCTGTTCCGAGGGCGGGGGTCAGGACGCGGCAGCATCCGAGACGCCAGGATGGCCCTGCAGCGCTTCGGCCGGCTCCTGCCGCTCTAGGGGGGCCCGCGTCAGCTCGCGGTTGCCATGACGACAGGCGGGTGGGGGGCGGGGGCTTCTTGAAAAAGAGGTCAGCGCTCAGCCTTGCAGCGGCTCCGGGCGCGGGAGGCGGCTCTGGGCTCGCCTCGACCTCCCCGGTGGCGGGCCCGGACATGGGGTACGGGGACCCGAGCCCCTCGGCGGGCGCGCAGGACTCGGGACCGCGCACCGCCGCCCTGCACTGACGGGCGCGCGGTGCCCTGCGCTAGGCAGAGCGGAGGCCGCGCGCACGGCCAGCGGAGCGTCTTCAGGATGCTCATCAAGGAATACCACATCCTGCTGCCCATGAGCCTGGACGAGTACCAGGTGGCCCAACTCTACATGATCCAGGTGAGGACTGTGGGGCGGTCTGGAGGGGTGGGGTGGTGGCAGGAGTGCGCAGGCCGCGCAGGCTAGCCCCGCTGGATGCCCTGCCAGTCTGGTTAGAGGAGTCTGGAGCCCAGAAGAGGAAAGAGATGTTGAATATCCTCTTTGGATATTCAAGCAGAAGGGAGGGACAGAGGGACAGAAGAGCAAGCAGAGCCAAAGGGTACTTCCTGTCCCCTAAATGTCCAGCCTGCACAGCCCACATGTAGTCTCCTTTAATCCTTCTCAGAATCTGTAATCCCATGGGGGAAGGGAAAGTAGCCTATGAGGAGGCCAGGGAGCCAGGGACACTAGGTGGCAGGTAGTGTAAGCTGGAAGGGGTTCTGGACAAAGTGTAGGATCCTGGCATCCTCATGATCCCACAGATCTGAGAGATAGAATGTGGATCAGACCCCAGTGCTGTGATAGGGACAGGGCAGGCAGGAACCAGAGGGTGAAGAAAAAGATGGTGGATCAAGGCAAGCACTCAGGGTTTCAGGGAGTCTGAGCCAGATGGGCTCCCCAGGCCTGTAGAGGAGGAGTCTAGGAGGATAGGGCCAGATCCTGCCTCATGGGGTTGAGTGAGCCCCATCAGGGCTTCAGAACTACAAAAAGGCAGCTAGGGGATCTCAAGCTTCCTCCAGAGAGGAAGGGGGCAAGGCGAGTTTGGTTTTCTGAGAAGTGGCCTCCTCGAACACACACACACACACACACACACACACACCATCTACTGTTGCAGTTCCCTGCTCTTGGACTTTCACTTGTCTGCTTTTTCCCATAGCTTTCACTGTCTTACTGTTTCCTACTTGCCTCTGTGGCAGTGTTAAGTTCCATAGTAGCAAAGGCTTTAGTTCTGTTTGTCAACAGATCTCAGTTCTACATCCCAATGATTGATCAGACCAAGTGCTAGGTTGCAGAATCCTTGGGGAACTAGGCAGTGATCCCAACCCCAGGGAGTTGCAAGGAACTATGTCAAAGACCAGGGCCAAGCTGGGGACCCAGGAACTAAGCTAGAGGCTGAGCTTCCCATTCTCTGTCCTGGGCTGCAGAAAAAGAGCCGGGAGGAGTCTAGTGGTGAGGGCAGCGGTGTGGAGATCCTGGCCAACCGGCCCTACACAGACGGGCCTGGAGGCAGCGGGCAGTATACGCACAAGGTGTACCACGTGGGCTCCCACATCCCAGGCTGGTTCCGGGCACTGCTGCCCAAGGCTGCTCTGCAGGTAGAGGAGGAATCTTGGAATGCTTACCCTTACACCCGTACCCGGTGAGTGTGTGAGGTGGGTACAGGCCTGGGGTCATGAAGGAAGCAATACCAGTGAACCCAACAGTGATTCTCATCCTGCCCTGTGCCAGGTACACCTGTCCCTTTGTGGAGAAATTCTCCATTGAGATAGAGACCTATTATCTGCCTGATGGGGGACAGCAGCCAAACGTCTTCAACCTTAGTGGGGCCGAGAGGAGGCAACGTATCCTGGGTGAGGGCTCTGGCCCCCGGTTTCCTCTGGGTAGTCTCAGACAAGCCCTAGTTCTTGCTAAGCCTCATCTTCCTATCTGTGAAAGGTTTTCCTCTCAATCCTTGGGGAGGGCTTGGGGGAGGTGCTCAAAAAGGGGCTGGGGTTACTCAGTGTTTGCTGAAACTCCTTCAGACACCATTGATATTGTGCGGGATGCAGTGGCCCCAGGAGAGTACAAAGTGGAGGAAGACCCCCGGCTGTACCACTCAGTCAAGACCGGCCGAGGGCCACTGGCTGATGATTGGGCCCGGACAGCAGCCCAGACAGGACCTCTCATGTGTGCCTATAAGCTGTGCAAGGTTGAGTTCCGCTACTGGGGTATGCAAGCCAAGATTGAGCAGTTCATCCATGATGTCGGTGAGCACCCAGATGAGGAATACCCAGCATGCACCAGGCCCCACATTTGGAGCCAGGAATACCCTATCCACTAGGGACACAGCAGCATGAAACCATCATTTCTATTTGGGATAGGACACTCGGGCAGGGGGGACAGTGTTGCCTCATCAAGAATCAAGAGAACTTGCTTTGAGTTAGGAGGGCAAGAGGCTGGCAGCCAATCTCTGAGGCCTGTGCTGTCCCTGACACTCACAGATGCTGCTTTTGTGAAGAGTATAAGAGTTGGGCAATACTTAGAGAATCTCAGGAGAGTCACCAGCCGTCATAGTATGCTGAGGATTACAGGCTGAGAAACACTTCAATCCTAGGACCATTTTCACTGGGATGCTCTCTTACCCCCCAGCTCCCAGGGTCCCAGCCTGAGGCCCTGTTGTCCAGGAGCCCCTCCCTGTCCCACACTTCTTCCAAACCCACCCTCCAATGTTGCGACTTATCTCCCTGATCTGGGGGTGGGCTACCTGCACATAGAAGGACCATCCCCAGGTAGTAGAGTCCCATAGCCTGGGTTCTACTCCATCCACTGCTGACTCTCCTCTCCCAACCCCCTCGGTTGCCCAGCAAGCCAGGAACCATCTCAGTCCCTTAATGTTTCTTCTGACATGAGGATGAGGTAAGGATGGAGAGTGACAGCTAGTGCTCAAGTGATTGACATGTACCAGATCCTTCACAAATCATTCAAAAAAGTTATGTGTGTATATGTCTGTGTGAGTATAAACCACATGTATGTGCCTGTAGAGGCCAGAACAAGGTGTCAGATCCCCAGGAGTTGGAGTTACAGGCAGTTGTGAGCCCCTTGACATGGGTGCTGGGCACCAAATTCTGGAAAGCTTCCCTAAGCCCTCTTAACAACTGAGCCATCTCTCTCTCTCTATCCCCCTGTAGATCACATTTACTTTGGGATCTCCTTTGGCACCCATGACACCTGAATAACACATTCCCATTTTACAGATAAGGATGTTGAGCATACAGAGTAATGCAGACTTCCTGTAATGCACCTGGAAAAATACTAAAAAGCACAAGCCAGAACATTAAAATCACCCACCTGTAACCTCTATCAAGATGCTAATGTATTTCCTTCCAGAAGTTTATGGTTCAACCATTATTACTTTATTTCCCAGATACTTCAGAGTCTTCTAACTTTATTTTTCTTCCTAAGATGAAAATATCCCAGTTTTCATGGAGGGCCAGTACTTCCATTAACACCTTCATTAACCATGACTGTTTCATTAACTGTTAACACCTTAATTAGTTAGCTCCCCAGCAAAAGTCAGCAGGAAACCAACTGAAAACAACAAATCTTGGTTCCTGCTGCTGGAGTGGGGGTCAGTGCTCACAGAGAAACAAGCAAGAAAGCAGGGACAGGAAGACGAATGCCCCTGTCTCTTCTGTGCCCCCCTGCCCAATCCCAGGATTCTTGGTGTGCGGTTAGCCTAGGGGAGCCATTACCCAACCTTGAAGATTGGGTGTGTGGGAGGCACAGTTCTGACGCCTGGGGCATCTGCAGGTCTACGCCGGGTGATGCTTCGGGCACATCGCCAGGCCTGGTGCTGGCAGGATGAATGGATAGAGTTGAGCATGGCCGACATCCGGGCCTTGGAGGAAGAGACTGCTCGAATGCTGGCCCAACGCATGGCCAAGTGCAACACTGGCAGTGAGGGGCCTGAGGCCCAGACCCCTGGGAAACCCAGCACCGAGGCCAGGCCTGGGGTCAGCAATGCCGGCACTCCCGATGGACCTGAGGCCCCCCCAGGTCCCGATGCCTCACCAGATGCCAGCTTTGGAAAGCAGTGGTCCTCATCCTCTCGTTCCTCCTACTCATCCCAACATGGAGGTGAGGCTGGGGCACAGGGACCAGGGATAGATGGTAGCTACTCTCTCCATCTGGGCCCCCAGGCTGAAGCCCAGGTGGTCCTGCAGGGGGAGTGTCTCCACAGAGCTTGTCCGAGTGGCGCATGCAGAACATCGCCCGAGACTCTGAGAACAGCTCTGAGGAGGAATTCTTCGATGCCCATGGTCAGCAGGGGAGGCTGTGTTTGTGGAGATTGGGGCGGGGGGCAATTGGAGAGTTCCTGAGTCACTCCTGTCCCATGACACAGCCCCCTGTCCTCTCAGAAGGCTTCTCGGACAGTGACGAGGTCTTCCCTAAGGAGATGACCAAGTGGAACTCCAATGACTTTATCGATGCTTTTGCCTCCCCAACTGAGGTGGAAGGGGTGCCAGGTAAAAAGAATCTCACCTCAGAATGCCAGCCACCAGTGCTCTGTGTGCAGCAGGGCCTCAGAACAGCTCAGCCATAAGTTGAATGGGACCTAAGGGGAGTGTCAGTTGGGAGAGGGCTCTCATTAACACTCAGATGGCGAGTGGGTCAGTACAGGGTGGAATGATGGATGGATGAAAAGTCTGGACAAGCCAGATGGCACCAGAAGGGACTCCCTGGGAACCCAGGAAGATGTCCGTGGGGGCTGATGTCTACTCTGAGTTTTGAAGGATTGGCCCAGTGCAGTCAGTGGAAATGTTCTAGACCTGTGCAATCCCATATGGTACCACTAGCCCCAATGTGGCTAACACACACTTAAAATATGAATTCTTTCTTTTCTTACACTTAAATAATTTCAATGTAACTAGCCACCTATGGCTAGTGGCTGCCATGTTGTCCCCGTGAGGTGGTTGTTAATGTTGTTATGGTCTTTTTCTGGGGTGGCACTGGGATCAAGCCTAGGGCCTTATGCTTGCTAGTCAAGTGCTCTGCTTGATTCATTAAATCTCCACCGTTGTGGCTACCATATTGGGTGGGACAGAATTAGAAGAAATTTGCCAGATATTATGTGGTAGCATCCCAGGGTCAGCATGAAGAAAAACCTACAATGTGAAATGGCCTGGAGGAGTGGGTAAGAGTAAGATGCGGGGGGCGGGTGGCGGAGGGCTTAGGCAATCCCAGTGGTCCTCTGGTCCCCCTCACCAGCTTTCCCTTGCCCTAGATCCTGCAATCGAAGCTACCAAAGGCATTGAAGATGGGGCCAGAGTACCCAGGGACTCAGAGGTGAGTATGGTTAGGTATCCCATGTCCAAGTTCTGCACACTGCTGACTGACCACCGCTTTGACACCCCATACCCCATTGTGTACCTCAGGGTCTGGATGGAGCAGGGGATCTAGGGGCTGAGGCATGCTCTGTGCACGCCCTCTTCCTCATCCTGCACAGTGGCAGCATCCTGGACTCGGGCCCTGGAGACGCCAGCTCCAAGCAGGCTGATGTGCAGACGTTGAGCACGGCCTTCGAGGCTGTTACCCGCATCCACTTCCCTGAGGCCCTGGGCCACGTGGCACTGCGACTGGTGCCCTGCCCATCCATCTGTGCGGCTGCCTATGCCCTTGTCTCCAAGTACTGGCCAGGGGTGGAAGGGCGGGGCACACACAGGGTCCCCAAGGTGCAGACAGCTATTTGGGGGACTCTTAAAGATCAGGGAGGTCCTGGGGGTGGGGAGAGGGACCACATATCTGGGTTAGCAATGGTCATGAATGGACCTATTTCTTTGTTGTTTTGTTGGTTTTTTTTTGAGTTTTTAGTTTTAGTTTTTTTGAGACAAGATCTCCCTCCAGCCCAGGCTGGCCTGAAACTCACTATATAGCTGAAGTTGGCTTCAACTTGTGCGAACCTCCTTCTCCAGCCTCCAGAGTGCTGGGATTTCGGGGTACACTATCATGCATGGATACGAATGGACCAGTTTCTGATCAATGGTTTCATCTCAAATGCCTTTCGGGTCTGACAGTCCACAAAGGACTAGAGGTGCTAGGGGTGCTTGGTGGCAGTGGTGGAATGGAAGGTCTTTATCCACCCACCACACCCTCTCCTCCTGCAGCCTGAGCCCCTACAGCCATGACGGTGATAGCCTGTCCCGCTCCCAGGACCACATCCCACTGGCTGCCCTGCCACTGCTGGCCACTTCATCCTCCCGCTACCAGGGTGCTGTGGCCACTGTCATCGCTCGCACCAACCAGGCCTACGCAGGCTTCCTGCGCTCATCAGAGGGCACAGGTTTCTGTGGGCAGGTCAGGGATTAAGCACTCCCAGGAAGCATCCCGTGCCCTCCACCGTAACTGTGGCCCCACCTGCGCGGTGACAAGACCTCTCAGTGATGTCCACCCTCTCACCCAGGTGGTGCTGATTGGAGATGGAGTTGGCGGCATCCTGGGCTTTGATGCGCTCTGCCACAGTGCCAGCGCAGGCACAGGGAGCCGGGGCAGCAGCCGCCGTGGGAGCATGGTCAGTGTGGCCAAACCCCTCCTCAGGAGGGGGGTTGTCTCCATCTCTAGGTCTCTGCCCCCCTGGAATATGGCCTCTCTGCATGTGGGCAGGTCCCCAGCTGCCTCTTAAGTTGGGTCTCCTCTGGGACTCTGCCCCACCCAGGCCCAATCCTGTTTCTTGCAAATTAATAGAAATCATATAGTCTCTGGCCTAAGGATGCTTCTGTCCTGTGCTCCATTTAGAACAATGAACTGCTCTCTCCAGAGGTTGGTCCAGCCCGGGACCCACTGGCAGATGGGGTAGAGGCACTAGGTCGGGCTAGCCCAGAACCCTCAGCCCTGCCAACTCAGCGCACCCCTGCTGACATGGCCAGTCCTGAGCCTGAGGGCTCTCAGAACAGGTGACATCCTTGTGCAATCACCCCTGTCCTGGGCACAGGCTGGACCTCAGAGGCAGCAGCACTGAGTGTCCCAATCCCCCGCAGCCTGCAGGTAACCTCCACAGCCACCTCTTCTGGGGAGCCCCGGCGGGCAAGCACAGCCTCTTGCCCACTGGCTGCCAGTTCTGAGGCTCCTGATGGTCCCACTAGTGCTGCTCGACTGGACTTCAAGGTTTCGGGGTTCTTCCTCTTCGGCTCCCCACTGGGCCTGGTGCTGGCTCTACGCAAAACTGTGATGCCCGCCTTGGAGGGTGAGCCTTCGGGGTGAGGGGGTGCCCCTAATCTGTGTTTTGTTTGTTCCTTCCCCATCTTCTTGGAACTTTTGTCTCACCTGAGACAGAGGCATTTTAATTGACCTTCCTCACTGCAGATGCCACGGCCTGGCTAGAGGAGAGGAAGTGGAAGGCCCAGAAAGGATATGACAAAGCTGTGTCCCAGAGTGGATCCAGGGCAACCTCCGGGGGTGGGGGTTTCTGTATGAGGCCCCACAAAGCAGAAAGTGCTCCATCCCAAAACACAGCAGCCACTGAAAGCCAATGGGTGTCCATTGCTGCCTGCAGAGGAACCCTGTGCTGCATGAAGTACAGTACCCAGATGACTTCTCCAGGAGGCCTTGGCTGACCTCCTCCCCACTTTCTCTGTCTTTTGGGTACTCAGTGGCCCAGATGCGCCCAGCTTGCGAGCAGATCTACAACCTCTTCCATGCCGCTGACCCCTGTGCCTCCCGCCTGGAGCCCCTGCTGGCCCCCAAGTTCCAGGCCATTGCTCCTCTGGCTGTACCTCGTTATCAGAAGTTTCCCCTGGGAGATGGCTCATCACTGCTGCTGGGTATACCCTGAATCAGAATCAGTGGGAGAGGGGGAGACAGTAAAAGACAGGAGATAGATCCCGCATTGTAGGTAACCTCTCACAGCACCACTCCTAGGTTCAGGGAGCCCTCATCGGTCCCCTGGGAAGTAGGGAGCCCAGGACATTTAAAACATTTTATTTATTTTAGTTTTTTATGTGTATACATGTATTGCCTGAATGTGTGTCCAAGTGCACATCCATGTCATGCAATGCCCACAAAGGTCAGAAGAAGGCGTCAGATCTAGAACTGGAGTTATGGATGGTTGTTAGCCATCACGTGGGTACTGGGAACCAATCCTGGATCCTCTGCAAGGGCAGACAGTGCTCTTAACCAGTGAACCATCTCTCCAGGACCAATTGATCTATTATATTTCTTGTGTATGTGTGTTTTGCCTGCATGTAAGTGCACCTGTCTGTGCTGTACCCACGGAGGCTAGAAGAGGGCATCAAATCCCCTGAAACTAGAGTTATGGATGGTTGTTAGCTGCTGCCATGTGGGTGCTCGGAACCGAACCCAATTCTTCTAGAAGAGCAGCCAGGACTGTTACCACTGAGCTAGCTCTCCACCCTACCCCACCCCTCAGAACCTTTTGACCCTTCTGTGCCTAATAGGAACTAGTGACCAATCTAGAGAGTGAAAGCTGAGGGGCATGCCAGTGTGCCTGTGGTTGCTGTGTCCATGTGTAGGGGTGTACCATGGGTCCATGTCCTGGTGGGGGCATGTCCACATTTGCACGTTTTGATGCTGGCAGGCATTCTGATAGGATGTAGTTGACTGCTAAGGACAACACTGCCCTCCCCCAAAAAAAGCTTACCTTCCATTCAAATATGGGGCAGTGCATCCTCAGCCCAGATCTGAGCCCTGATCTCAGGGAAGATGGTGGAAGTTCAGGAGTGGGGCTATCCTGGAACCTCTGGGAGAAGAGACAGGAGGCCCCTTGGCCCAGCCTGTTGCTGAGGTTGGCCCTCCTCCCCAGCTGACACTTTGCAGACCCACTCCAGCCTCTTCTTGGAAGAGTTGGAGATGATGGTGCCCTCCACACCCACTTCGGCCAGCGGAGCCTTCTGGAAGGGCAATGAATTGGGCAGTGAACCAGCAGCCCAACCATCAGCTCCCAGCACCACCAGTGAGGTGGTTAAGAGTAAGTCCACCAGCCACTGGCCTGCACAATCAACCTGTGTAGACGGGTGTGAGTCCATGAAATAAGCACACATTCTCTTAGGCTGGGAGGAGAGGAGGGTGGGAAGATCACCCAGAGGCCAGGCAGATGGACAGTGGGCAGCAGGCCACCCTGACTCACTGCCCACCGTGGCTGTGCAGTCCTGGAACGCTGGTGGGGAACCAAGCGGATCGACTACTCGCTGTACTGCCCCGAGGCGCTCACCGCCTTTCCCACAGTCACGCTGCCCCACCTCTTCCACGCCAGCTACTGGGAGTCTGCTGATGTTGTGGCCTTCATTCTGCGGCAGGTGAGTGGAGTGGGGTTCTGGGACAGAAGCTGGGAAGGCTAGGACTGGTGGCAGGTGGGGAGAGGGGCTAGCATTCACCTGCCTTGTGTCCTGGGCAGGTAATTGAGAAGGAGCAGCCACAGCTCACCGAATGTGAGGAGCCGTCCATCTACAGCCCTGCCTTCCCCAGGGAGAAGTGGCAGCGCAAGCGCACACAGGTCAAGATCCGGGTACGCCCCCTTTTGCAGCATCACCCCAGCGTCCGTCCATTTGTTAGCCCCCACCCCCAGGGTCCTGGTCCCACCTCATTGTCTTAGCCCTGCCCCTGGAAACCTCAGCTGCCTGCCTCTCCTTGAGTTGCAAAATCCATTCTTCCTCCCCTCACCTTGTCTGCATCTTGTCACAGCCCTGCAGTCCCATCCTACATCTATTTTAATTTTCAGTGGTGAATACAGGTCTTCCCCACCCCATAGAAAGGTCTCATATTAGGTAAACAGCATAAACAGTTATAACTGGCTCAGTCTAGAACAACATCTGCTTCATGCATCAAACAGAGTCAAGGACCTTTGACCTCCGAGTTTTCCTCTGGCCCTACTACACAAGGACAGGGTTCGTCTACACATGCAGGAAACTCACTTGGATGTCCTCCTTCAAATGGACCGCCATTCTGTTCTCTGAAGAGGTCCAAGGGTCAATCATGCCTATGTGGGCCAATTTGAATCCACCCTCACGGGTCCTCTGCCCTTGGAAAATGTCAAATTTTGTTACCAAATCTCCATTGGCATCAAACATAATCTCAGTCCCATCAGGAGTCTTGAAGTGCACCTTCCTGAGGGCGTGAAGCAGCTGGGAAAGGAAGGGTGACATTGGAGAGTGACCATGGCCAACTTGGGACTGGCCCAAAGTGGCATAGGCTATTGGTGTCTGAAATGCACCAGTGCCAGTCACACACACACACACACACACACACACACACACACCACACACTACCCCATGTTGCACACACACTCTCTCACACCCCCTTATGTTGCTCATGTTGGGGCCACAGATGTCCCCACGCTCAACCTCACTTGTCTCCCACAGTGGCCCCATTTCTTCCAAGCTCTACCCTCCCTGTGGACCTGGACACACATCCCCCTTCACTACCTCTCCCTCCCACATCCCCATCCTTATCCGACCCCACATCACCTTGTCTCTTCCCCATTAGAATGTCACTTCCAACCATCGGGCAAGCGACACGGTGGTGTGCGAGGGCCGACCCCAGGTGCTGAATGGACGCTTCATGTATGGACCATTGGATGTGGTCACACTCACTGGAGAGAAGGTTAGGACCAAAAACCTAGGCTCCTGGTGTTTCCCACCCTATCTCCTCTCCCCTGATAGCTGGTGTTCTGTGGGTTGAGACCCCTCCCTGGCCTACCCACAGCAGATGCCCAGATGGCCTCTGCTCTCACTTGGAGGTCAAATGGTGGCCAGGAGTTCTGCCTCCATAGCTCTTTCCACCCCACCAGGTGGACATCTACGTCATGACACAACCTCTGTCAGGCAAGTGGATACACTTTGGCACTGAGGTCACCAACAGCTCAGGCCGTCTCACCTTCCCAGTGCCCTCAGAGCGCATGCTGGGCATTGGTGTCTACCCGGTACGCATGGTGGTCAGGTGAGCACCCGGGTGGTCAGGTGAGCAACAGGTGATAGGACTCCTGTGAGGTGGGGCCCTGACAGCCTTGCCCAACTTTACTCATACTCCCTGAACCACAGGGGTGACCACACCTACGCCGAGTGCTGTCTGACTGTGGTGGCCCGTGGCACAGAGGCCGTGGTCTTCAGCATTGATGGCTCTTTCACGGCCAGTGTCTCCATCATGGGCAGTGATCCGAAGGTGCGAGCTGGCGCCGTGGACGTGGTCAGGTAGGAGCTGCAATCTGCTGACCACAGTGACTGGTCACCGCCCTGGTCTATGGAGCTGACCAGCCCCCACCCCCACCCCTGCCTCCCATCTTGCAGGCACTGGCAGGACTCAGGCTACCTGATTGTGTATGTAACCGGCCGGCCTGACATGCAAAAACACCGTGTGGTGGCCTGGCTGTCACAGCACAACTTCCCCCATGGCGTTGTCTCCTTTTGTGATGGCCTCACCCATGACCCACTGCGACAGAAAGCCATGTTTCTGCAGAGCCTGGTGCAGGAGGTACTTTGGCCAAAAATGGTCCCATTCCCCCACTGACCTGGACTTCCAAGATTGGAGGGGGTCCTTGTAGTCTTACTCTCCTGGGAGCCCTTGTCCTTAGGGCCACAGGGGAGATTCAGCTCTGTTGACCAGGACCATGTCCCCACTTCCTCACAAGTAGTCCTGCCCCTAAATAGGACTGCCCACATGCCCTGCCCCCAGCCCTGTGACTCTGCCCAGGGCTACTGACTGGCTTCTTTTGCCACAGGTAGAACTGAACATTGTAGCCGGATATGGGTCTCCCAAAGATGTTGCTGTGTATGCAGCACTGGGCTTGTCTCCAAACCAGACCTACATTGTGGGCCGTGCTGTGCGAAAGCTGCAGGCACAGTGCCAGGTGAGAGCCAAGAGATGGCGAGGAACAGGACCCCAGGGCCAAGGCTAAGGACCACACATTGTGTTGAGTCCCATTGGAAAAGGCAGCTGTACAGCCTCAGTGGTCTCAGACTGCAGTCTTCCTGGGACAGGGGTCAGAGGCAGCCTAGAGCTACCCATATACCTCATTGTGGACAGCCTAGACGAGATCCTACAGGCTGTGAATGTTCAAGGCCTCAGATACTGATTCCCCTCACCATGCCTTGGTGCCAGCCTTGACTTTTCTGAGCCACTGATGTGTGTTGTAGATGCTGCTGGTACTGACAGCACCCATTAGCTTATAAGGAAGATCTTAGCATTTATGGTAGGCCAAAGGCTCAGGGCTGGGCCTGAGTGCTTGTTAAATGCTAGCTGCTGTTTCCTCAAGATATCAGCTCGAAGATGAGTCAGGTCCAGAGAGAGGCAGATTTGAGAGTAGAGCCAAGGTACCTGGCTCGTAGTGTGGGGCTGCTACATATGCAGAGAGAACCTGCCAGCATTCCTGGGTTCCCTCACCCTGTACAGGAACCTAGGGAAGATACAGCTGGGGATGGGCCCCAGGCTGGCAGTCCCCTCACCCCTGTCCACTTCTGCCCACAGTTCCTATCAGATGGCTATGTGGCTCACTTGGGCCAGCTGGAGGCTGGCCCCCACTCTCATGCTCCCACGGGACCCCAAAGGGCTGCCCTGGCCAAGAGCAGCTACGCTGTGGCTGCCCCTGTGGACTTCCTCCGTAAGCAGAGCCAACTGCTTCGCTCCAGAGGCCCCAGCCAGGCTGACCGTGAAGGCCCAGGGACACCTCCCACTACCCTGGCACGGGGCAAGGCCCGAAGCATCAGCCTCAAATTAGATAGTGAGGAGTGAGCCAGCCATGGCTGGACCTGGGTTATTTATTGATACTCAAGGGGCTCAGTGGCTGAGTGTGGAAGACTGGGGGCCTAGACCTTTGGCCCCAGCCCTGGCCCTAAGCCCTGTATCTGTCAGCCCCTCAATGTTACTTCTCTTTCATGGGGGGACCCAGTCCTTGGGGGGAGGGAGGGGGGAGTGGGCTAGGACTCAGCAGCTTTTCCAGTGTGTAAACCAATAAAAATAAACAACTGCATCCCACTGAGTGCTCACCTGCCGGCAGTGCTGGGCAGCCGAGCTCTGCTTCCAGTTCATTGGGACTCTGAAGTACGAAAAGGAGCCAGGACCTGCTCAGGGTCACGAAGCAGGGCCAGGCTGGCTCCTGGCAACTTCCCTGAGGGTCATGGCTGCTCCTCTTCCCAAGGTCACCTCCTGGACAGTCAGTCTACTCCCCCCACCCTTGTCCCCAATCTCAGTGTTTGAATTTACAAGAGTCACATGGCTTCTTGTTCTGCAGTACCCCCTCCAAGGAAACCTCTGCCTTCAGAAATCAAAGCCAGGGTACCTGAGGCTGGCCTGCACTAGCTACTGCTTAATACTGGATGTTCCTGTGGCTCCCCAGCACTAGCCAGAAAGAAACCCTCCCAGTGATCTTGGAGCGGGGGTGGGGAGGTGGGGGGGTGGCTAGGATGAGGGCCTGATCTCTTGCCTTCCAAAGACTACTGAGTGCCCAGGCAGATGGTGACTGGCCCTCCAGATGGATCACCTCTACAGACCCACAGAGAGATAAATAAGGCCTTTATATATACACAGAAGCATGAAGTGGCAGTTGGAGGTGGACAGGCTGTGGCAGCAGTGGGTTTGGCAGGGTAGGGCAGGACCCAGGACCCCATCAGTGCGAGAAGATGCCCCGGAAGCGGGCCTTGTCCTCCTCATCCTTCAGCCGGAGCCGCATCTCCAGGGCCCGTAACTCTCGGGTCACCACAGGTGCCAGGGCAGGGTCTAACTCCATCACTTTGGCAAAGTCAGCCTGGGCTTCTTGGGCGTTCCACACAGCTGCATGGGCCTTGCCCCTCTTGAAGTAAGCCTTGACATTGTCTGCAGGGACACCAATGAGCAGAAATCACACAGCAGTGTGAGAGGGGACCCCAGGCACCTAGGCCTACCAGGGGAGGGTGGAGGGTGCCCTCCCTCACCAGTAGACCAACGCCATGCCTGCCCCATCATGCCACTCTGTGAGCACAGCCCTGCTTGGCTGGGGCATTTGGCTGGGTTCCTAGGGGAACTCAGAATGGAGAGGTGGCAAAGCTAGGACCTGAGCGCCAGGACCCAGTGGTGATGCATGGAAGAGGCCACCGGACTGCCCCGGGGCCCGGTGCTCACCATCATACTTGTTGAGTATGGAGGAGCAGTGGTCCAGCACCTCATAGTACTCCTCGGCCACCAGCTTGCACTGGCAGTAATTGAGCAGCAGTGGTGTGATCTGCAGGTCCAGCTGGATCCAGTCAGGCGACCCAGGCTGCTCCTGGGGTATACCAGGACAGAGAAAATGGAGACTGAGACCCAGCCCTGCCTTCCCCTGGGTCCCCCAGGTCCCCCAACCACAGCCTCCAGGCACACCTTCATCTGCAGGTTCTTGAGACAGGCAATGGCATCGTAGTACTTGGCAGCGGCCTCCTTTACCTGCCCCTCACGGTATAGCCGGTTGCCCTCCTGGTGGATAAGTGGCACCGCCTTTGCCTTCTCCTCATCTGTCATTGCCCATGGGTCCTGCTGATAAGTGCCAGGACTCTCCACCTGCCAGGGCAGGAACCAAATCAAGGCAGAGCCCAAGGGCACCTCAGAGTCCTCTGCAGCAAACCCGACTCGCACCTAGGTTGGCCAGGCCTCTGGACCCCCAGTCACTTGTGCATTGGCCACTCAGCACACCATCCATAGGACCTCTGTGCCCAGCACCATACCAAGTACCACAAATACATGATGGCAAACACCCTTGCTCTGTCATAGCTTGTGTTCCATGGAAGACTCCCTAGATGAATGAGGAACTACCTAGACTAATAAACTCAGTATGGTGGGCTGCAGAGGAAAAGGTGGGCTTGTGGACAGAGGAAGGAGTCAGGGTGAGCAGGCAGTCCTCCCCACAGAGGCCTGAGGAGGAGCATGGGGCCCCAGGAGGTCCCACATAGTTCCTGTCTCTGCTCCCTCCCCTAACAGACAGGCAGGGAGCAGAGCTAGAGCCCACTTTGAAACAGGGCAGTGCAGAGAAGGGGCAGCTCACCTTCAGCATCTCGATGTGGAAGATGAGAGGCTGAGGGCTCTGCTGCAGGGCGTCCAGGTCTGCGTGGCCCAGGGAATTGTGCTCGTGCATCTGAGCAATGCCACAGCAGTGCCTCTGGCCCTCCAGGGGGTCCTTGCCCTCAGCGATGTTGCGGAGGCTCTTAGCTACCAGTGGGTACAGGACCACATGCTGCAGAAACAGAAGTGAGCACCAGGGGCTCCATCAGTGTGTGCTGGTGCTGGCTGGGCACAAGAGACCCCTCATCATCACCATCCACAAAGGACAACTGGTTCAAGCCCCAGCCTGTTGAAAGGCAGGAGGGCTTTTCCCTCTAGGTGCCTCTGCCCTCTCAGCCCTCCATGCCAGAAAAGCCCTCAGCTTTGCTACTATCTCTAGTCACCAAACCCAGCACCTGCTTCACCCACAAACACACTTCTGTCTCCCAGCCTCCAAGAGCCAGCATTATCCTCTTCCTTCTCCCCTTCCCCTCCCCTCCCCTCTCCTTCTAGGGTATGAAGCCCACAAGAAAGGCTCCTTACCACATCTGTTCCTAACACCACCTCTTCCTTCTGACTGACTCCTATCCATGCCAGGGCCTATCTCAGAGCTGGGCCCGGGTCAGCAGCTTCAAAACCCCAGGGGTGCAGTCTGGTGCGGTGGTGCACCTGCCATTCCACCTACTCAGGAAGCTGAGCCAGGAGTTCAAGAGCAGCTCGGGCAACACAGAGATCCAAAACAGAAAACCAGGGAGCTGAAAAGGTGGCTCAGTGGATAAAAGGCAGGAGGACCTGAGTTTAGATCTACTCAGCTGGGCGACCCTGTGCACTTATAACCCCAGTGCTGGAGGGCAGAGACAGGTGGATCCTGGAGCTCATTGGCCAGTCTACCTGCAACAGCAAGCTCCAGGTTCAGTAAGAATCTGTCTCAAAAAACATGGTAGAAAAGGGCTGGAGAGGTGGCACAGAGGTTAAGAGCACTGGCTGCTCTTGTGGAGGACCCATGTTCGATTCCCCGCACCCACATGGTAGCTAACAACCATCTGGAACTCCAGTTCCAGGGGATCTGACACCCTCCATAGGCACTGCATGACACAGGTACATTTACACACATGTAGGCATTACATGCAAACACATAAAAATTAAAAATAAAATATTAAAACATATATGGTAGAGAAGGATAGAGGGAGACACCTGATATCAACCTCTGGCCTTTGCACCCACTCACATGTGCACACGCACGCGCATACACCACATACACCACACATAACATAGACCAAAAACAAACAAACAAGGGGCTGGGGCTGTAGCTCGGAAGCAGAGCACTTGCCTGTCATGTGCAGTGCCCTGGGCTCACTCCTCAGTGCCACAAAAAAACAAGCAAACTCTCGGGGAAGGTGTGTACAGGCGACTGAACCTAGAATTCTTCCTTAGAATGGATGGCGGGATGGTGGGGGTCCACATACATGATTCCCTACTGCCCCCTGCTGTCAGCACTCTGTGGACCGCTGGTCATGCTTCGGGACACAGGGCTCTGGGTAGACTCCATTTGGAAGCAAGATGTAAGTTAAAAGGCTGGTCTCCGGCAAGTGGAGGGTACAACCAGAAAGAAGGCCTGGTCCTGACTGTGCAGGGCATGAGGGCTTCCCAGGGGTGATGACCCAGGAACTAGAGTTGAAGCGGGAGGGAGGGGCCTGGCCACAGGCAGTGAAAGAAAGAGAGAGGTCCGGGGTTGCACAGGAGGGGACACCAGCAGGGACTAAACCAAACAGCTATGTGAGCAGCCACATTGCACTCCATCTTGATGGTGACCAGGAGCCATGGAGGTGTGAGGCAATGGGTTATATGGGCCAGTTGCACTTAAGAATGAGTGCCCTGGCTGCAGTCTGGCTCATGGACAGGAGAAAACAGGATAGAGGACAACCACAGGACCTCTGTGCCCAGCACCACACCAAGTACCAGTTAGGATGCCAGTTTGGAGACTGCTGGTGGCCTGGAGGTGGTTGGTGATGGCCAAGCCAGGACTGGGGTCCTGGGGATGGGATATAGGGCATGGCTAAACAGAGGCTTCAGACCACAGGAACGGTACCTTGACGTCACAGAGGAACTGGGCAATCTCTCCCTCCCGCATAGTGCACACGATGGTCTCCCACACAGGCAACTTGAACTTCTTGCCGATGATGAGCTCCATCGGCTTGCCACGCATCCGGCTGTCATCCAGTGTGGTGCCTTCACCATCACCTCGCAGAGTCCGATAGTGGAAGGTGGCCTGTGGGACCACACGGCTATCAGACAAGGGCACAAACCTCCACCAGACCCTAAGGACAAGTCTAGTCCTGCTTCTGAAGATGTGACAAGGAACGAAGCTCACCTGGGTCACCAGCTGACCCTGCACCTGACTTTACCCCGCCACCCCAGTGAGGAAGCTAAGCCACAGACAGGAAATGAGAGGCCCAAGGCACATGGCTGGTGGGTGGCTGGGCTGAAACTTGAGCCTTCAGTCTGGTTCCAAGCATGCCGTCAATAAATATTTACTGCACTCCTACTGTGCGCAAGACACAAAAATTGTAACAGTTAACCAAAACGGAAGCCACAGCCCCATGGAGCTCCCATGGACCTTCTAGAATAACAAGACTCAGATAAAACACTGTGCAAAATTAGATGAAGCTGAGTTTGAGCAGAAAAGCGCAAGGGGCTAGTTTAAACAGAGCTAGAGGGTAAGGGTCTCTCCAAGGAATCAAATTATAAGTAGAGATCTGAAATGAACAATGAAGAAAGAGAGCCAGGCAGAGACCAGGGTAAAATCTTCTAGGTCAAAAGAACAACAGAGTCCCAAGGGTTGGCAGGAATGAACTCCACACAGACTATGTGAGGATCTGGGTTTTTACTCTGAGATGGGAGCAGTGGCTCCAGGCAGAATCAGAACATGATCCAACTTGGGCGCGGTTGCTGGAATGTGATCACTTGCAGAGGGACAAGGGCAGAGGCAGGGGGCAGAGTTGGGATGTCTCTATAACTTGGGGGAGAGATGACTCTTCCTGAAGTAATGAGAAGTGGAGACGGCTCTTCCTGAAGTAATGAGGTGGAGCAGGCTGACCTCAGTGCCACAAGGACTTCAAGGCTGGGAGGGAGAGGAGAACCAGAGATCCACAACTGGGAGTAATCTGGGCACGGAGGCTTTAAAGAGTTGAGATTGAGAGAGGATGGAGAGGTGGCTCAGCGGTTAAGAGCACCGATGCTCTTGTAGAAAACCTGGGTTTGAATCCCAGCACCCATGTGGCAGCTAACAACTGTCAGTAACTCCAGTTCCAGGGGAATCAACACCCTCTTCCGGCCTCTTCAGGCATTGTACGACATAGGTGCACTTACATATATACAGGAAAAACACTCATAATAAAATAATTTTTTTTTGTCTTTTTGAGACAGGGTCTCGCTGTAGCCCCAGCTGGCCTGGAACTCACTATGTAGACCAGGCTGGCCTTGAACTCACAGAGATCTGCCTGCCTCTGCCTCCCGAGTGCCGAAATTAAAGGTGTGCACCACCACACACAGCAGAATAAAGAATATTTTTTAAAAAAGAGTTGGGACTGAGGCTACATGTGGTGGCCCACACCTTTAAACCCAACTCTTGAGAGGGAAAGGCAGAGGGATCTCTGTGAGGTTGAGGTCGCCTGGTCTACATAGCCAGTCCCAGGCTAGCCAGAGCAGCATAGTGAGACCTGGTCTACAAAAAAATAAAATAAAGAGGTCATGTCAGAGTGAGGGCAGACAGAAATGGGCTTTAGATGGAAATCTCGACAGGATATGGTTAGCTGAGCCCACGCTCTTTAACTGCTGCAAGCCATGTGGCTTCTCTGAATTCAGTTTCCACATCAGTAAAATTGAATCAACAATATCCATCTGGCATCGTGGGAAATAAACTTACAAAGCACGCAGCACCATTCTCACAGGCTGAGCACTCAATGTCAATGCTGTGGCATGGTTTTTTCTTCCTCCTGCTGGATTTGAAATCCAGAGCCTTGCTACCTTCGAGACAGGTGTTCTCCTACTAAGCCACACCCCTAACCCTGGCAATTTTTAAAAATTTATTATTTATTTACTTGGGGGGTGTGGGGCTGGGCACTGCAAGTACCATGGTGCCTGTGAGGAGGTCGGAGGTGAGGAGGTTGGAGGACAACTTGCAGGAGTCAGTTCTCTCCTTCCACTATGTGGGTCGCGGGGGATTGAATTCAAGGCATCAGTCCTGGCAGCAAGTACCCTCACCTGATGAGCCATCTCACAAGCCTGTGACTGGTTTTCCTCTCCCCTGTGACTTTGCCCTGTCCCTGTTCATTGATTGGGGGCTCTTACTCAGAGCCTCTCTGCCTTTAAGTTCCTTTCTCCTAGTTCTGGCCCACCCAGAATCCCTAGGGTCCCGCCTTCTTCCAAGGCCAGCCCTCTACCACTGAGCTATGTATCTCCAGCCTTCATTAACTTCTTATTTTGAGACAGGGTCTCACTAAACAGGCTTACGCATACCCCTCACCCCTGGTTTGACACCGCTGGCCATCGGGCATGCCCTCATTTACCGAACTCTTGCTTTCCAGTTCCCTGGTATTATTCAGGATCTCTAGTCCCTTACTCAGTCTGCAAGCCCTGTATGACTGCTCTGCTGGGCAACAAGGGCTGCCCTTGGGGGTGGGGGGGAGGCGCTGCCTACTCTGCAACCACAGAAGCAGGGAAGCCTGGAGATGTGGGGGAGGGGGTTCAGGAGCTTGGAGTCTGGATATAAAAGGGAGGAAAGCGAGTGACTCCATATGTTGTCACTAGCTGTCAGAAGGCTGACAAAGGCTTCTGGTCTGGAACACCAGATCTCTGGTGCTCTTTTCAGGGCTGCGCATCCTTGGGCCTCAGTTTTCCCATCTATACAATGAGCGTTGACTTAGATGGTTCCAGAAGGTCCCTTACTCTGTAAAAGTGCTTAGGCTTTGAAACCTTAAGGATCTGGTTCCCGCATTGAGGTCACATCCACCCCCAAACCAGCCTGAGATGACTGACAGCCTCCCCCAACCAATACAGTCCTAAGACAAAGCAGGGGGCAGGGCAGACGCAGCTGAATTTACCCCCTACTAAAATCCAAACCAATCAGCGTCGAGTTCTGCGTGCGAGCAGGAGGGTGACTGACCGCTACTCTCTGGGCATGCGCAACCTCTCACCTATGGCCTCCTCCCGCCTCGCATGCGCATCGCACCTCAGAAGAGGGTGGGGGAGGGAAGGGGTGGTCACGAACCTTGGTTCCATCCTGAAAGTCGGGGAGCTCTCCTCGGCCTTCCTGTATCACCTGCTTTTGGATCCCGTCCTCTCGAAGTCTTGCGATGAAATCCGCCATCCTCCTTCCCCTCTGCTCTCTTTCGGCAACTTCCGGATTCGCTCGGGAGCTTCCGGATCTGCTTCGGCAACTCCTTAGAGCCTCGGCAGCTTCCGAGCAAGCGCCATTTTGACCGAGGGCAGAAGCCAAAAAGGGAGTGAGTGAGGAGAACGCGAGCGGCGATTGGCGCTCTGCTCTGGAGGAGCCTGAGCTTCCTGGAGGTGGGGCCGAGGGTGGGGCTCCTCCGCCCGGTGGGGCGCGGCCGGGTCCTCCCGGAGCGATTGAGTTGTTGATTTGATTGGACTGCAGCCCTCCCACGTGGCCGTGTGCCACTCTGTTTAAAGTTGTAGATGCCCTCTAGTGCGTTCCCGTTAAGAAAGTGAAAAACGAAAGAAAAGACCTAACCCGTATAGTGAGGCCCTTTGGGCCCCTTTATTTCGCATACTTGTATAATTGTGACTTTTACATTCTAGACTTTTGTCTTCAGAGAAAAGGAAGGGAAGCCAGTGTGGGGGCACACGTTTAAAATGCCAACCTTCAGGAAGTGGAAACAGGAGGATTAGGAGTTCAAGGTCGTTCTCGGTTATAGAGCCAAGTACTAGGCCAATCTGGGGTGCATAAGGTCCTGTCTCGAAGAAAAAGAAAGATAAGAAAAGAAACGGGTTGGAGAGATGACTTCATGGTTAAGAGCACTTACTGCGCCTGCAGAGAATCCAGATTTGGTTCCCACCTACATGACAGCTAAAAACTGTCCCTGACTTCAGTTCAGGGGATCTGGTCACCCTCTTCTGGCCTCCCTAGGCATTGCACACTCATGATGCATTTACATACATACAGGCAAAATACTTAATACTGGATAATAAATAATAAATAAACAAAAGATCTGTGCAGTCCAGGCCAACCTGGTCTACATAGCAAGTTCCAAGCCCACTGGGGCTACAGGGAGACCCTGTCTAAACCCCCGCCCCCCAAAAGAGAAAACGTGACTGTGGTGGGATGTAGCTTATTGGTATACTGCTTTTTGCCAGTGCTTAGCAAGTGAGGGCTTGCCAGTGGGAACCCTTGGTTCACCAAGGAACTAAGAGACCCCCGTAGGGTCCAGAGTGAGTCTATGGTCACCTCTGAATCCAGCATGGATTTGCACAGTAGGTGCCCATAAATAATTAGGGAATAGGTGAATGACAGGAAGGGGTACTTTAGGGTCAGAAACAGTCTCCCTTCCTTGGGAAACTATAAACAACAGCTGTGAGGCTTTGCAGCTCACTTCCAGGGTTTAGATAATGGAACAGAGGGTGTCTTGGGCTTCTGTCCTGTCCTCATTCAGTCACTGCAACCACTAAGGATCATCATCCTTCCCTGGAGCCCCAGGTGGTAAGTGGTTCACATATTCAAACCAGTACATTTTCCATCAGAAGTCCTCAGAGAAGGGTATGGCTTTTGAGGAGAAGGGGAAATAATGTTTGGGTTTGTTTCTTATTGGCACAGAAGGTTTACAGGCAAACTACCAAATTTTAGTAAAGAGTAGTCTATTGTGCAAGTTCCAGAAAACAGAAGAGAAAGTTGACCAACATGGATGCTTTGATTTGATTCTTGAACCAGATAAGCATACTCCGAGACAAGAGAAAATGAATATAGATATAAATTATTAAGCTAGGGTGCAGCTCAGTGGTAGAACACTTGCCTACCATTTGGAAAGCCCTGGATTCTTGTTCCAGTACACAAAAAAATTAAGTTAATTGAATACACTAGCTTATTAACTAGTATGTTAACCTATCGATATTCTCAATGAAATATTAGTCACAAAAAATACTGCATGAGTCTATTTACTGAGATGTCTGAACAGGCAGTGTGCAGAGAAAGAAAGTAGGATGGTGGGTGGGGGTGCAGGGAATGGGTAAATTCTTTTTTAATGAATGTTGTTTCCATTTTGTGCACTGAAAAAGTTCTATAGCTTGGCAGCACAACAGTGTGAATATACTTAACACTGTTAAACCGTGAAGATGGTAACTTTTATGTTATGTGTATTTTACCTCAATAATAAATTTTAGGGCTGGAGAGATGGCTCAGAGGTTAAAAACAAGTACCCAAGTTTGGTTCCCAGCACCCATGTTGGGCAGCTCTCAACCACCTGAACTTTTAGCTCCAGGAGATCTAACATTCTCCTCTGGACTCCACAGGCACCTGCCCTCACATATGCACATACCCCCCACACACACACAGATGCAACCATATACACATAATTAAAAGAATTTTTTTTTGGTCTTTTTGATACAGGGTCTCCCTGTAGTCCCAGCTGGCCTGGAACTCACTATGTAGACCTGGCTGGCTTTGAACCTGGACCCACGAGAAAACTGACTTCCACAAGTTCTCATCTGAGCGACGCATGTGTGCCGTGGCCTGTGCCTGCCCTCCTCCCCTTACAGGAAATAAATAACAAGGAAGAGTAGAAGGGAGGAAAGAAGGGAGGGGAGAGGAAGGAAACCTGGTGTGGTGGTACAAGCCTGTAATCCCACCATTAGAGACACCAAGGCAGGAGGCCCAGGCTACAGAGTGAGTTCCAGTCAGGGCTACATAGAAAGTCCATGTCTCCAACAACAACAACGACCAAAAAAAAAAAAAAAATAGAGAAAGTTAGGGAAGGCAAGAGGGCGAGGTAGGAGGGACCACCTTGCACTCATCAGATCTGCCAGCCCTTGGGAAGTAGGACACCAGGTACAGAGAGAAAACCAGAAATCTCATGGTGGGTATCAGCTTACAACTCAAGAGAGCATCCTGGGGCTCTGTGAAGTCACCAGGGCAAATGTACCATGGCCTGGACCTCAACCTGCTTAAGGAAGAGTTCTACCACCATTGATAGGGGACAGCAGTGATGCGGGCAACCCAGAGGCCAACCTGAGTGTTATCACTATGGGGCTGAGCACTGGAGGAAGCCCAGCATGGCGTACTGTGCCTACAGCTAACACAAACAACAAACACGACACGTGGAAACCATTAGCGCTGAGTGGAAAAATGTAAAAATGTAAACAACAGAATGAGCTTGATACATGACACCATGTTTATAAATTGCAGACACATCCACACAGGAGACAATGCCACGTGTGGAACAGGCCAGGCAGGGCCTGATGAAGCATGTTGATGCTAGGTCTGGGCAGGGAGGGGGCTGGGGGAGGAAGATGGGAAGTGGCAGAAGGAGAACAAATTCCATTATTCATTTACAGTGCTGAGAGTCATAAACTGAGAAGTGGGATTGACTCAGTTCTGTACAAGAGATCATAAAACAAGAGAGTGAATGGGCACTGAGGAGGACAAACGGTTTGTGAGCTGGGAAGATGTGGGTTCAAATCCCAGTTCAACAACTTGCATGCATCTGGGACTTTGGAAAACTGCCCATTCATTCCTGTCCACAGATATTTATTGAGCATCTATTCAGTGCCAAATTCTCTTCTGGGCACCGAGGATACAGTGGTGAATGAACTACTGCCTGAGGCCTTCAGGTAAGCACTAAGTATAGACCACACAGTCAGCAATGTGACCCCAGAAGTGATGGTTGAGCAAGGAGGGAGATGACAGAAGCCAGCTCTCTTCTGAGGCAGAAGGAGTGTGCAAACTCCCAGAGGTGGGAATAAATGGGGCCTGTGATAGAAAACTGCAAGAAAGCCAGTGGGACTGAGTGGGCTGAAAAGAGGGCAGAGAAGGACATGAAAGTGCGGCAGGTACACAGGCACACAGGCAGGACAGGTACACAGGCACACAGGCAGGACAGGTACACAGGCAGGACAGGCACACAGGTACACAGGCAGGACAGGCACACAGGTACACAGGCAGGACAGGTACACAGGCACACAGGTACACAGGCAGGACAGGTACACAGGCAGGACAGGTACACAGGCACACAGGTACACAGGCAGGACAGGTACACAGGCAGGACAGGTACACAGGCACACAGGTACACAGGCAGGACAGGTACACAGGCAGGACAGGTACACAGGCACACAGGTACACAGGCAGGACAGGTACACAGGCACACAGGCAGGACAGGCACACAGGTACACAGCAGGACAGGTACACAGGCACACAGGCAGGACAGGTACAGAGGCACACAGGTACACAGGCACACAGGCAGGACAGGTACAGAGGCACACAGGCACACAGGTACACAGGCAGGACAGGTACACAGGCACACAGGCAGGACAGGCACACAGGTACACAGGCACACAGGCACACAGGCACACAGGCAGGACAGGTACAGAGGCACACAGGCAGGACAGGCACACAGGCACACAGGCACACAGGCAGGACAGCATTCAGAGCCCTGTGAACCCTAGTCAAGGGTTCAGATTTTAGTCTAACTACAATGGAAAACCAAGGGAGTTTTCTCCTCCTCCTCCTCCTCCTCCTCCTTCAGGACAGGGTTGGGACAGGCTCTCCTGGTAGCCCCAGCTTGCCAGGAACATGCTATAAATTTATTTACTTGTAAATCCGGCTGGACTCAGTCTCACAAAGATCTGCCTGCCTCTGCTGGGACTAAAGGCATGTGCCACCACACCTGAATTTAAAGATATATTTTTATTTTCTGTGTATGAGCATTTTCTTGCATGTATGTAAGCACACCTGTGTTATGCAATGCCCTTGGAGGCCAGAAAATGGTGTTGGATCCCCTGGAACTACAGTTATGGACGCTTGTTAGTCACCATGTGGGTGCTGGGAACTGAACCTGGGTCCTCTGTAAGAACATCCAGGGCTCTTAACTGCTGATCCATCTCTCCTGCCCTTCTTTAAAAAATTTTTTATTAATTTATTTTTATTAATAAATATGTGCGTGAGTGTTATGCCAACATGTAAGTGCAACCATGTCATGCAGTACCAGCAGAGAACACAAGAGGGTGTTGGATCCCCTGGAACTGGAGTTATGGACAGTTATTAGCTACCATGTGGGAGCTGAGATTTGAACCTGGATCCTCTGCAAGAGCAGCCAGTGTTCTTAAACACTGAGCCAATTACTCCAGCCTCCTCTTTTTTAAAAGAGATCTATTTGCTAGGCATGGTGGCATACACCTTTAATCCCAGCACTTGGGAGGCAGAAGCAGGCAGATCTCTGTGAGGTCAAGGCCAGCCTCCTCTACATAGTGAGTTCAGGCCAGCTGAGCTACAGAGAGACCCCTGTTTCAAAAAAAAAAAAAAGACTTAAAAAAGAACCAACAAAAAGAGGATTATTTTATTGTGTGTATGAATGATTGCCTGATTGCCTGTATTTATGTATGTGCAATACCAGCATGCAGTGCCCATGGAGGCCAGAAGAGGGCCTCAAGAGTTACAGAGGCTTGTGAGCCATCATGTGGGTAATAGGAACTGAATATGGGTTCTTTGCAAGAGCAGCCTGTGCTCTTATCTGCTAAACCATCTCTCTAGCCCCAAGAACTTTTTTTTTGGTCTTTTTGAGACAGGGTCTCCCTATAGCCCCAGTTGTCCTGGAACTCACTATGTAGACCAGGCTGGCCTTGAACTCACAGAGATCCCCCTGCCTCTGCCTCCTGAGTGCTGGAACTAAAAGGCATGCACCACCATGCCCACCCAAGACCCTAAGGTTTTATTTATTTAAGAATAACACAGGAGCTGGAGAGATGGCTCAGCAGTTAAGAGCACTGGCTGCTCTTGCAGAGAACCTGGGTTCCATTCCCAGCACCCACATGGCAGCTAACAACTATCTATGACTCCAATTCCAAGGGTTCCAGCACCCTCTTCTGACTTCTGAGGGCATGCATTGCACAACACAGGTGCACTTTACATGCAGGCAAAACATTCATACACATAAAATAAAAATAAATCAAATTTTAAAAATAATATCAAGGTGACTCCTATGGAGAGGGTGAAGCAGGATTGCGAGTCGGAGGCCAGCTTGGAGTAGGTACTAAAGCCCTGATGCACCATAAAGTGGGGTGATGTGGCTCAGTTGATAATGTCCGGGTTCAGTTTCAATCCACATCACAGAATACTCCAGCCATGGGGTACAAGGGAGGTAGAGGCAGGAGAGGGAAAATCTCAAGGCCATCCTTGGCTGAATAATGAGTTCAAGGCCAGCCTGGACCACATGAGACCCTGTTCTCTCTTCAAAATATAAAAATAGAAAGAAAGCGAGTATGGTAGTGTATACCTGTAGTCCCAGCTGAGCCTGGAAGATCGCGAGTTCGAGGCCAACCTGAGCTACACAGGGAGACCCTCAAGAAAAAAAAAAAAAAAAAAATGGCTATATGGGAGTGCGGAAGTGGTTCTGGCTGCTGCGTGGAGACTGGGCTGCAAGAAACCGCATAAACTCTGAGCCTCAGTTTCCACGTTTTCAGAATGACAAAAACACTCTCTACTCCAGACCGTGGGAAGACGGGGAACCAGGTCCAAGAGTCTCCTTGGCCCAAGAGGTGCGAGCTGGCATGCAAAATGCAAACCTCTGGGATCTGTGGGCGCGGAATCCCCGCCCCGCGGCCCCCCGGCACGTGATCACAGCCCGGGCTGTCACTTGCCAACGCGGCCGCTAGGGGGCTCCCAGGGCCCCTCTCGAGATGCGATCCGCTCGGCGCTCGGCTGCCCAGGCCTGCGCAGGCGGGATGGGGCGGGGCCGTTTTGGAGAGCGGGGCTTCGGCCAGCGGAGCGTCCAAGGCGACGGGGGCGTGGCCTGCGCGCGGGGCGGGACGTGATTGGTGGGTGGGGTAGTGGCTGGCGCAGATGGCGGTGGCGCTGGGGGCCTGAGCGGGCTGGGGCCATGAGCGCCGCCCGGCCCCAGTTCAGCATCGATGACGCCTTCGAGCTGACCCTGGAGGACGCGGGGCCTGGGCCAGACTCCGGCGGGGTCGCCCGCTTCGGGCCGCTGCACTTCGAGCGCCGGGCCCGGTTCGAGGTAGCTGATGAAGACAAGCAGTCCCGGCTGCGCTACCAGGTGAACGGCCCGGCCCGGCCCATCTCACCCCCTGGCCCAGATAGAAGGGGACCCCAGGGCCGGCCCTGGAGAACCCCAGCGGAGCGGGAGTGTGTCCCTGGACGTGTCCGCTGGTCCAGAGTCCTATCCATGCCCTCTCTGCTGTGAGCTCGGTCCCCAGCCCGCACTGGACTGGGAGCTGCAGTGGCGAGCCCACCCATCATGGGGACTGACACCCACCACCATGACCCTGGGTTTAGGGAGCACTTCGTATTTGAACTAAATCTTGCCAGACCTTGGAGCCCAGGCCAGGTGACCTAAGAACTTGCATCTCCTGCCCCAAACATTACCCTAGAACTGCAAGTCCCCCTCATGATGGCTTGCCCACCTCTTGATTCCAACCAAATTCCTCACTGTCCAAGACGGCCTCCATCAGCCCAATTTTTTTTGTTTTTTTTTCCCTTCCGGACCTAGACCAGAGTCCCGTCCCCCAAACCTGAGAACCATGGGCCTCTTCTCTACTACCCCAAATCCAGAGCCTCAATGCTTGGGCCCCTGAAACAAATCCTGAGACCCCTATTTAGGTAATCACCCACTCCTGGATTCCATGCTGGGAGTTCTCCACCCACTCTTGCTGGTTCTTATGCTCTGAAGCCCCCAGCAGCCACCAACTTTCTACCTGGGTTTCAGTTCCTGTGAATCATCAAACCGGTTGTGCTGGGAGGGTGGAGAAGGCCAGGTGAACAGCTGTCAGGCGTGCCAGGCCAGATGGTGGCTGCTTCTCTCTCCCTAGAGGAGAGTGAAAGGGCCCAAACCTAGCAACGTCTCTGAACCCTGTATTCTGTAACAGAACCTGGAGAATGATGAGGACGGAGCCCAGGCCTCTCCAGAGCCGGATGGGGGAGTCAGCACCAGGTCAGGGCCAGGTGGGGACCCACCCTGCACCCTAAACCCCCGTCTGGTTTTTTATCTTCTAGGAATCCCCAACTTGACCTGACCTCATCTATCCCCTTGGCTTTTTTTTATATTTTATTTATTAGTTTTATATATATGAGTGTTTTGCCGGATGTTAAGTGTCATGCAATGCCCATGGAGGTCAGAAGAGGGCGTCAGATCCCCTGGAACTGGAGTTAACAGACAGTTGTTAGACCCCATGTGGGTGCTAGGAACTGAACCCACGTCCTCTGCAAGAGCAGCCATTGCTCTTTATCACTGCTGTCTCTCCAGCCCCTACCTTCCCCTTTTCATTCCTGTGGAAACCCCAAGCCCTTGAATTCACCTTCATCCCCTGTCCCCTAACGGGGCCTTCTGTCCTGTAGAGGCCAGCTTTAGTCCCTGCACCCCGACCCCACTAACATGTGCACTTCATCATGATTCTTGGACCCTTTCCTCGCCTTCCCCTCCCCATCCTGTGTCCTGCAGGGATTCTAGGCAAATGTCCATCCGTAGCTCCCAGTGGTCTTTCAGCACCGTCAGCAGCACCACCCAGCGCTCCTACAATGCCTGCTGCAGGTGAGACCCTCCTCACTTGTACCTTCTAACCCTGCCAGCCAGCCCTGGCTCCCCACCCTTCACCTCTTTCCTTCCATCCTGCTCTCTTGCCACCCAGCTGGACTCAACACCCTTTGATCCAGAAGAACCTCCGGGTAGTTTTGGCCTCCTTCCTGCTCCTGCTGCTGGGGCTGGGTGAGTGCCCTGAAGGCCTGTCTCCCCTCCCTTCCTTAAGCAGGCTCTGCATCCTCTCGGTACCCTGGGCCTTTCCCATCATGCTGTAGGTGAGGGACTGAGGCTGTGAGAAGAGCAGCCCCAGGCTCCTGGTCAACTGGTCAGAAAGTCGCAGAGACCTTTTTTTGGTCTTATTTTTATTTTGTGTGTATGAGTCTACCGCCTGCATATGTGTAGGTGCACCCGTGTCGTGCAATGCCCAGGCAGTCAGAAAAGATTGTCAGATCTCCTGGAACTGGAGATACAGATAGTTGTTAGCCGCCATGTGGGTGCTGGGAATTGAACCCAGGTTCTCTGCAAGAGCAGCCAGTGCTCTTAACTGCTGAGCCATCTCTCCAACCCCTTTTGTCTAGTTTTTTGAAACAGGGTCTTGTGTAGCCCAGGCTGACCTTGAACTTTATATGTAGCTGAATATGAACTTGAACTAATCCTCCTGCCCCCCACCTCCACAAGTGTGTACACTGCCACACCCAGCTTATCTTCTTTTTAAATTTTTTTAATTTTTGTATTTATTTTTATTTCACGTGTATGGGTGTTTTGCCTGCTTGTAAGTGCACCCCATGTTGTGTGATGCCCCCAGAGGTCAGAGAGGGCATCAGATCCCCTGGAACCTGAGTTAAGGATGGTTGTTCGCCACTACATGGGTGCTGGTAACTGAACCCTGCAAGAGCAGCCAGTGCTCTTAACTGCTGAGCCATCTCTCCAATCCCTTCTTTTCTTTTCTTTTTTTTTTTTTTTGGTCTTTTTGAGACAGGGTCTCCCTGTAGCCCCAACTGTCCTGGAACTCACTATGTAGTCCAGGCTGGCCTCGAACTCACAGAGATCCACCTGCCTCTGCCTCCCAAGTGCTGGGATTAAAGACATGCACCACCACGCCCGGCCCCCCTTATTTTCTTTTTAATTTAACCTGTTTAAGCTATCAGAGGCTATAACAGCTACCATATATTCTATGTTGACTGTTGGTAAGTTCATTTTCCTACCTCACAGAGGTCACCTGGCAGGTGAGAGGCAGGGTCTAGAACCTATGAATGAAGGCAGGCCAGGTGCTCATGGGTACCTGTGTCCCTGAGGCCTGCTTCCTCATCCCTGGAACCTGATAGCTGGAACGTATATATATATACACACACACACACACACACACACCATTGTTCAGTGGAGAAACTGAGGCCCAGCACAGGCAGATCTCACAACCAACTATTTCTGAATCCCAGACTAATGAGGCAAAGCCCTCAGAGCACCCAAGGTTGGGACCAACAGGAGACCATAAGGAAGGACAAGCTGTGACTGCTGCCCTAGACCCCTTCCCTTCCTTCTCAGGAAGGTCAAACCCCTGGACCAGCCAGACTCCTGGCATGAAACCCCAGCTCTACCTCCAGGTGCCTGAGTGGTGAGGAGAGAGCTGCCCCTGCCCAGCACCACTGCAGACCAGGCAGGCTGACACCTACTACTGCCTTTTTCTCTCAGCCCAGCAGAACCAGCATTGTTAGTGTCCTGGTTTGGGAAATAAGGATATGGACTCAGGCAGGGGGAAGGGCTTTCTTCCATTACCACTGAGAAGCAGACAAGCTGGGGTTTAGACCCACACCTGTGACTGCCAGGCCTCAGAGTCACCAGAGGCCTATCAAGGGCCCTAGGGAATTAGAAAAGTATTTGCTCTGAGACAGAGCCTGCAGCCCTAAGCCGGGGGTAGGCCCCTTTTGAGGTGCTCTGTGCAGACAATGAAGGAAACAAAAGTCCATGGTGGCTGCTGGGGCCCCAAGGCTGCACCCCATGATCCCTCTAGCTCAGGAGCCAGGACTCTTGGATATGAGAAGCGAATCCAGCTATGATCTCTACCTTCCACGACACCCACAGTCCATCTCTGTTTGGGTAACAGGCCCTTCCAGACTCCTCTGGCCTGGGTTCTCGTTCAGCCTTGTCAAGTGCTGGCGACTCTGCGAAAACCCCAAGTTCCTCCAGACTCTGAGCCTTTGTGCCATTCCTTCTGTCTGGGATTCTTTTCTCTAACTGGATGACACCCACAGCAGAAGCAGCCCCTACCACCAGCTGTAGCTCAGGGTTGGAGTCTGCCTCTCTGAGTCTCATGGTCACAGTGACAGTTCATAAAGGCAGTACGGGGCTGGAGAGTTGGCTCAGCAGTTAAGAGCACTGGCTGCTCTTGCAGAGGTTCCGGGTTCCATTCCCAGCACCCACATGGCGGCTAATGACCGTCCATAACTCCAGTTCCAGGGGATCCGACACCCTCTCTGACCTCTGTGAGCGCTGCAGGACTTACATACATTCAAGCTACACATTCATACAGGTAAAATAAAAATAAAATATTTTTTATCATTAAAAAAGTGTGTATAATGCATTTAGCCCAGGACCTACCTCTGCTATTGCCACTGTTACCCCAGCAGGCTTAGAGGTCACAGCCTCCACAAAGCCTTGCTCTGGTCCCTGGGTGACTTGAGACAGCTGCTCCAGACTCTCACGAAGGCCCCGATGGTCCTTCCAGTACAGAAGAGGACTGGGACCTGTCTGCCTTTCTGTTACATTTATTTGTGAGTGTAAAGTAGGGAGGCACATGGATGCCACACAGCACATATGGAGGTCAGAGGATGACTTGTGAAGAGTCAGTTCTCTACCATGTAGGTCCAGGGCATTGAACTCATATAGTTGGGCTTGGTGGCAAGCACCTTTACCCACTGAGCCATCTCACTGGCCCTCTGACCTTTGTGATGGAACTCTCTGTACCAGGCATGCAAGAGGTATTCCATAAAGTGATTGAAAGGCCTTACCAACAGCAGCAACAACTCTCATAGACATTTTCCAGGGCCTGCCAAGTGCCCTGCTCTGAAAACACAGCTTGGCCAGCATCCTGGGGACGGACTCTGCTCCTCAGGACATCCAGCTTAGGTGGGGGACACATCAGCACAGAGCCTGGCTGGAGGGTGGGGGTCGGATGTGGAAGGCCCCGCCCTCACTCCCTCCGCCCCCCCCCCTTGTGTAGTGCTGATCCTGGTCGGCGTGGGACTGGAAGTGGCCCCCTCTCCAGGTGAGCGCCCCCTCCTGCCTCTGCAGGCAGATGGTGCCCATGGGTCCCCGGCACGAATCAGCCTCCTTTCCAGAAAAGAGGGAGAGGCCTGCCCAGGTGTCCAGTGGTCCCGGGCCCCCTGCCTGACCCCCGCCTCCCTCTCCTCCAGGCGTCTCCAGTGCCATCTTCTTCGTGCCAGGCTTCCTGCTGCTGGTCCCGGGAGGTGAGAGTGGATTGGGGGCGGAGCGGAGGGGGGGCGGGGCCCCCCGCTGACAGACCCCGCCCTGCAGTCTACCACGTGATCTTCATCTACTGCGCGGTCAAGGGCCACCGCGGCTTCCAGTTCTTCTACCTGCCCTACTTCGAGAAGTGAGCTGCGGCCGGCCACCCGCGATCCCAGGCCCGGCTCCCGCAGTCTGTCTGCGCTGCTGCACGCTACTCCGCCCCTCGAAGATCAAGGAAAAAGGCCCTGGGGACCCTCACAGCATCCGCCCCTTGGGATTTACTCAGGAAGTTTGGAGCATGCAGACCTGGGAAGGTCGCCCTGCACCTGCCTTGTGCCTTAACTTATTCCCGGGCCCTGGACTCCTGGGCTGGTGTATTGTGTGCTAATAAAAGGATCATTAATTCTAAGTACAGAGCTCACTGGGGACGGACAGGCTTGGAGGACCACCAACCTCCCATGGCATCCAGGATAACCTGGATGCTCTCAGATGTGCCCAGGATCACCATCTGTTGTGGGTAGAGCTGGATGGGAAGAAGTGGTCCCAGGCCCTTTGTCCCCAGCCCTGAGCAGACTCACCTGCATGTGTCTGCCTAAGCAGATGGTACCAGCACCTCTACTGGCTGCCCTGGCGAAGGGCACTGAGATGATGCCTGGGGGCTGGAGGCTGGTATCCTGTTTCCAGCCTGACTATGGGGCCCTGGGCTGCCACAGCCACCTCTGAATGTGGGCAATGTAGAGACAGTGGTGCCCCTCCACCCACCGACTGTCCTACTTGCTAGACGCAGAGATTGGAAGAACCAGGGTGCAGAGAATGTGGGAAGCAGGCCCTCATGGCAAAGGACTTCAGTGATCAGTGACAGAAGACTCTTAGAAACTGTAGAGACACCAAGTGTTAGAGACATCTCAGAATTCTGGAGAATCAGAGCCTCACGTAGTCTTTGAAACTTAAAAGGACAACACCAGAATCTTTAAGGACACTGAAGTCTGAGTTCAGTAGGTACTATGTGACAGCTGTGCTGAGCATGGAATGCAAGTCCAGTCAGAATCATCACTGTCTGGACCACACTGTAGAGATGAGATGCCCAAGGCCCAAGAAGTGGACTCCAAGGTACAGATGAGGACCATCCTACCAAGAACAAAAGTACTCGGGGAGAGGGAGAAAGAACCAGCCTGGTGTCCCCTGCTGGCAACCAAGTGATGGTCCAGCTCCCAGACCGAAGCATGAGTGCTCACAGGATGCTGGACACCTCAGAATCCTGTGCCTTTGTTGAATGAATGGACATCCAGCCCCCTGCCTACCCAGACCTCTCACCCTGAGACCTCCAGTGAAAGCACCTTAATTAGCCTGTGGTGCTCCAAGTAGCCAGGACTGGTTACACTTCTTATCTGTCATGGACCAACATATTTATAAAATAAAGGGCTGGCAAGATGGCTCATCTAGTTAAAGCACTTGCAGCCAAGCCTGACTACCTGAGTTCAATCCCTAAGACCCACATGGTGGAAGGAGAGAACCAACTCCCCTTATTGCCGCACACGTGCACAGACACACACATACACATACGCACAGTGTTATTAAATGTTTTGATTTTTAACTTTATTTTTATGTGTATGAGTGTAATGCGTGCATGTATGTAAGTGCACCCATGTTGTGCAATGCCTGTGGAAGTCAGAAGAGGGAGTTGGGTCCCCTGGAACTGGAGTTACAGATGATTATTAGCTGCCATGTGGGTGTTGGGAACTGAATCCTGATCTTCTGCAAGAGCAGCCAGGGCCCTTAACCACTGAGCTATCTCACCAGCCCAAATAAATGCAATTTTTAAAAAATACTAGAAGGAAAGGAAACTGCAGAGGTTGGGGAGTCGGCATAGCGAGTAAAGCATGAAGACCTGAGCTTGAATTCCCAGAACCCACATAAAGCCAGATGTGGTAGTACATGTCTGTAATCCCAGGTCTTCCACAGAGAGGGGAGACAGAGACATGAGAATCCCTGAAGTTCACAGGCCAGCAGGGCCTGTGCGCCAACAAGATAACACGGCAGAGCTTGTCTCAAATGAGGGGGAGGATGAAGATCAGCAACCAAGACTATATCCTCTGATCTTCATACAGGTGCTGTGATATGTGTGCCTGTAATCATACACACACATAACGATATAAAGAAAACTAGGGACTGACTGCTCTTGCAGAGGACCCGGGTTCAATTCCCAGCACCCACATGGCAGATAACTCCAATTCCAGGGGATCCAGTGCCCTCTTCTGGCCTCTGTGGGCATTGCATGCATGAGTGCACTTTAGCAAAACAGAGACATAAAATAAGTAAATCAAAATGATGTTGATATAAAGAAAACTAGAAACATGAAACAAAAAGATATACAACTCCAAGCCCACAGCTTAGTTTCTATTATAGTTTGCACAAGTTATATTCCAATAGATATAAAGACAGGAAAAAAGGGAGAAATTAGAAAAAAAAAAAAACATTCATTGAAAAGCACACTGAAGGCAAGAGGACTCCACTGTGAAAGCATTTGCTGCGCAAATCTGATGGACTGAGTTCGATCCCCAGATCCCACATGGAAGGAAAGAACTGATTCCCTGAAGGTGTCCTCTGACCTCCACATGTGCAGATAATTTATACAGAATCACTACCAATAACTTTTTCTCATTCCACAAGCGTATGTTGCCATCAGTCCCAAGAACCTGGCATGCTGGGCAAGCACTCCATCACTGAGCTACTTCCAGCCCCACTTCACAGTTTGTTTTTTTGTTGTTGGTGTTTTTGTTTTTTGGGTTTTTTTGTTTTTTGTTTTTTGGTTTTTTTTTGTTTGTTTGTTTGTTTTTTTTTTGGTCTTTTTGAGACAGGGTCTCCCTGTAGCCCCAGCTATCCTGGAATTCACTATGTAGACCAGGCTGGCCTTGAACTCACAGAGATCCGCCTGCCTCTGCCTCCCGAGTGCTGGGATTAAAGGCATGTGCCACCACGCCTGGCTATAGTTCACAGTTTTTTAAGAAATATTTTATTATTTTAATTTTTCATGTATCAGTTTATTGCCCGCATGTGTGTAAGTGCACTCATATCCTGCAATGCCCACAGAGGTCAGAAGAGGGCATTGGATCCTCCAGAACTGGAGTTAAAAAATGTTTGTTAGCTACCATGTGGGTGCTGGGAACCAAACCTGGGTCATCTGTAAGAGCAGCCAGTGCTTTTAACTGCTGAGCCATCTCTCCAGCCCCATTTCACAGTTAACTAAACAGAAAGTTATCCCAAAGTGGTGAGTCCCAATATTGTATGTCCACATCAGGAGTCAGGTGGAGTCCACATGGTTCCTCTATTTTGTTATGTTGAGAAAAAGACGAAAATGACCATTAGAACTCATAATTTATAACACGTATATTGTACAAGATTCAAATTTTGTCAGTGAAGTTTTGGGTGTGTGGGGGGCAGACTGAATTAGGGCCTGGTGGTTTGGGAGTTTGTGTGTAGACAGGGTCCTTCTGTAGCTCCAGTTGGCCTAGAACTCACTATGTTGACCAGCCTGGCCTAGATCTCAGAGAGATCCACTTGCCTCTACTTCTCAAGTGCTGGGATGAAGGGTATCCCAGCCCTGCTTTGATTTAGTTTTTTCAGACAAGGTCTCAAGTAGCCCAGACTGGGCTCAAACTTGCTATATAGCTGAAGATGACCTTGAACTCCTGATCCTCATACTTGTACCTCCTGAGTGAGCCACCACACCCTACTATTCTTGAAGTCTTATCAGTTATGTCTCCAACACAGTCACTCCTATTTGTTTATACATGAACTCTTGAAAGAGCCTGTTGCAACAGAGGCCACATAGTCCTCCAAGCCTAAGCTATTTACTGTCTACCCATCTATGGAAGACAATTTTTGATCCATTTATGCACAGGGCTCCATTGTGTGTCACTCCATTTATTTATGTGTATGAATGCTTTGTCTGCCTGTATGTAAGTTCATGCAATTCCCATGGAGACCAGAAGAGGCATTGTATCCCTTGGAACTGGAGTTACAACCAATTGTTAGCCACCATGTGGGGGCTGGAAACTGAATTCAGATGTAAGAGCAGCCATTGCTCTTAATAGCTAAGCCATCTCTCCAGACTCCTCGTTTTTTTTGGTCTTTTGGAGACAGGATCTCCCTGTAGCCCCAGCTGTCCTGGAACTCACTATGTAGACCAGGGATCCACCTGCCTCTGCCTCCCGAGTGCTGGGATTAAAGGTGTGTGCTACCACACCCGGCTACCTCCTCCCTTTTTAAATATTTATTTTTATTTTATGTGTATGTGTGTGTGTGTGTGTGTGTGTGTATGTGCCTGCATGTGTGTATGTGCACCAAGTGCACACTGGTGCCCACAGAGCCCAGAGTAGGTTGTCAGAACCCCTGGAACTGGTGTTGGAATATGCCTGCTCTGGTGTCACTTAAATTTTAATGTGGGTCAGGCCTGGTGGTGCATGCCTTTAATCCCAGCAGTTGGGAGACAAGCAGGCAGAACTCAGAGTTTGAGGCCAGCCTGGCCTACATAAGGATTTCAGACCAGCCAGAGCTACACAGTGAGACCCTGTCTTTAAAAAAATATATATAAAATGCCAGGTGTGGTGGCACACGCCTTTAATCCCAGCCCTTGGGAGGCAGAGGCAGGCAGATCTCTGTGAGTTCGAGGCCAGCCTGGTCTACATAGCAAGTTCCAGGCCAGCTGGGACTACAGGGAGGCCCTGTCTCAAAAAGATAAAATAAAACTAATAATAATAATAACAAAATTAAAATTTAGGGGGCAGGAGAGTTGACTTAGTGGATAAGAACAAAGAGGACCTGGGTTGTTTCCAGCACCACATGGAGGCTAACAACCATCTAAAATTCCTGTTCCAGGGGATCTGATGCCCTCTTCTCACTCCACAGGCATTGCATGGCATGGCTGCACTTGTATACATGCAGGCAATATACTCATACACATAAAATATTTAAAAAATTAATGTGGGGGGCTGGAGAGATGGTTCAATGGTTAAGAGCACTGGATTGCTCTTGCAGAGGACCTGGGTTTGATTCCCAGCACCCACATGGCAACTAATAAATGTCCCAAACTCCAGTTCCAGGGGATCTGATGCCCTCTTCTGACCTCATTGGACATTGCATGACACAGGTGCACATTGCATGACACACATGCAGGCAATACACTCACACACATAAAATAAGAAAAATTAAATATTTTTTAAAAATTTAATGTGACCAATATGCTTTTTTTATTACATATATTTCCTCATGAGGGGAAGGCTCACATGTGCCATATATAGTGTGTGGAGGTCAGAGGACAACTTCGGGAGTTGGTTCTCCTTCCACCAATCCCAAGACTTGAACTCAGGTCATCAGGGTTGGTGGCAAGGGCTGGCTAGTCGGCCCATCCTTTTATTTCTTTTTGCCTGTAGTACTGGGACTCAGACCCAGGATCTTGCACAAATTAGGCAGGCACACCCGAGTCCAGGGCTTGACTTGCTGATTAAAGTATCTAACCCAGACAGCTCAGCAACACTTAAAGATGCCTGAGACCTAAACTCTAAATACTCACTATATACAGTGTTTCTTTATCTCAAGGACACATTGTTAGGAGGTGTAAAGATATACTTAGTGACCTGATGAGGTGGCACATGCTTTTAGACCCAGAACGTGGCAGGTAGAGGCAAGGGGGTTTCCATGAGTTCAAGGCCAGCCTAGTCTACATAGCAAGTTCCAGGTCATCTGGGGCTACACAGTGAGACCCCATCTTACAAAAAGAGTTCCACAGTGGACTATAACTCACACTCTGCCACGTGGCCATTTTTGCTCAGTAGCCCCAAAGTTCTACTTGTTTTCCTAATTTTTCCTGATATGTCTCTTTTTGTAAAGAGATTTTATTTTTTTTTTTCTCATTGCAGCTGGTTTGTTTGTTAGTTTGTTTGTTTGAAGCAGGGTCTCCCTGTAGCCCCAGCTGTCCTGGAACTCACTATGTAGACCAGGCTGGCCTTGAACTCACAGAGATCCGCCTGCCTCTGCCTCCCAAGTGCTGGGACTACAGGCGTGCGCCACCATGCCCAGCAAGAGATTTTATTTTTATGTGTCTGTGTATGAAGAAGCCCAAAGAGGGTATCTGGTCCCTTGGAACTGGATTGACGGGTGGTTGTGAGCCGCCAAAGTCGAGGCTAGGACTAGAACTCCTGTCCTCTGCAGGAGCAGTAAGTGCTCTTAACCACTGAACTGTCTCTCCAGCCACTAATGGTCTTTTCCCCAAGCCATTGCTTCCCACCATCCAGATGTCATGATGCTTTGAGTGTGTCCTGCATCCTGGATTCAGCCACCTCTGGGAGTTTCGTATCTGCCCTTCTGTATCTGCTCACGGATTTTTTTTTTTTAATTTTGGAGACTAGGTCTTATTGTGTATGTATGGCTGATTTAGAACTAACTCACTATGTAGACTAGGCTAATCTAAAACTCACAGAGATCAGCATGCCTCTACCACCTCAAGCTTTGGGATTAAAGGTGTGCACCATTGGGGGACTGAGGAGATGACTCGTGGTTAGGAGCATTTGCTGCTCTTCCAGAGGACCTGAGTTCTGTTCCTAGTACCTGTATCTAGTGGCTCACAACCACCTATAAATTCACCTGTTAAGTCCAGTTCCAAGGGATCCTAAGCCCTCTTTTGGACTCTTTACACACACATACACGCACGCACGCATGCACATGCACAAGTAAATACTAAAATAAATCTTTTTATTTAGATATTATTTTGATTTCATGTGCATAACTGCACCCATGTTGTGAAATGTCCAAGGAGACCAGAAGAGGGCATTATATCCCTTGGAATTGGAGTTACAGCAGTTAGCCACTGTGTGGGTGCTGGGAACCGAATTCTGATCGCCTATAAGAGCAATCATCGCTCTTAACTGCTGAGCCATTTCTCCAGCCCCTTCTCTTTTTAAAGATTTATTCTTATTTTGTGTGTGTGTGTGTGTATGTGTGTGTGTGTGTGTGTGCCTGCAGGTATGTATGTGTACCAAGTGCACACTGGTGCCCACAGAGCCCAGAATAGGTTCGTCAGAACCCCTGGGACTGGTGTTGGGCTCCGCCTGCTCTAGTACCACTTAAATTTTAATGTGGGCCAGGCATGGTGCACACCTTTAATCCCAGAACTTGGGAGGCAGAGGCAGGTGGATCTCTGAGTTTGAGGCCAGCCTGGTCTACATAGGGAGTTCAGGCCAGTCAAGGCTACACAGTGAGACTCTGTCTTTTTTTATATTTTATTTATTTTTATTTTATTTTATGTGTATGAGTGTATTGCCTGCATGCATGTTAGTGCACCCATATCTGCAATGCCCTTGGAGACCAGAAGAGGATGTCAGATCCCCTGGGACTGGAATTTTGTATGGTTGTTAGTCACCATGTGGGTGCTGGGAACCAAACTCAGGTCCTCTGCATGGGCAGCTCATGCTTTTAACTTCTGAGCCATCTCTCCAGCCCCTAAAATAAATCTTTTAAAAGGCCTGTACCACCATGTGCTGCTGGGACTGACTTTTTAAATTTTATTATTCATTCGTTTTATTTTTATGTGTATAATTGTCTTTGCCTGCATGTATATAAGTGTGCCTAGATCATGCAATGACCACAGAGACTAGACGAGGGCATTGGATCTCCTGGAACTGAAATTATGGGCAGTTGGGCTTGGTAATTTTTAGCTACCATAGGGGTGCTGGGAACCAAACCTGGGTCCTCTGCAAGAAAAGCCAGTGCTCTTAACTACTGAGCCATCTCTCCGGCCCTAGCACTGACTTAATTGACAAATTTAATATGCTTTTATTTGTATCATTTTTTATTTTTATATTTATTTATTTTCTTTGTTTTGAGACAAGTCTCACTCTGTAGCCACTCAATATTATAGACTAGACTGGCTTCCAACTCTGAGCAGCACTCTAATATATCTACCTTCTGAGTTCTGGAATTCAGGAGTGAGTCACAACTGTCTGTAACTCCAGTTCCAGGGAATCTGATGCCCTTTTCTGGCTTCCTCAGGCACTGACTAACATGGGTGCACTTACATACATGCAGGCAAAATACACATACGCGTTAAATAAATAAGTAGTTTTAAGCTTTCCCAGCTTCCCACTGGTTTTAATCAGAATCCATTTCTTTCCTTGCCTCCTCCATTGATGATGACTGGATAAGACTATTCTATTTCTTAACATTTTATTATTTTATTTTATGTGTATGACTATACTGCCCGCACCCGTGTTGTGCAATGCCTACGGAGGTCAGAAGAAGGCATCAAATCTCCTGAAACTGGAGTTATGAATGGTTGATAGCCACCATGTGGGTGCTGGGAACCAAACCCACGTCCTCTGCAAGAGCAGCCAGGGCTCTTAACTGCTGAGCCATCTCTCCAGCCCCTCAAGATCAGTTTTAAACTTTTAAAATGTATTTATTATGGCCAGCTGTGGTGGCGCACGCCTTTAATCCCAGCACTCGGGAGGCAGAAGCAGGCAGATCTTTGTGAGTTCAAGGCCAGCCTGGTCTACATAGTGAGTTCCAGGACAGCTGGGGCTACAAGGAGACCCTTTCTCAAAAAGACAAAAAATAAAATAAAATAAGATAAAATAAAATAAAATAAAATAAAATGCATTTATCTAGGGAGGGATGGGGCGTGGGCATGCCAGAGGACAACCTTACGGAGTTGGTTCTCTCCTTCTACCATGTGGGTTCTAGGGCTCAAACACAATTCATGAGGCTTGATGGCAAGCACTTTTACCTCCTAAGCCACCTCATTGGTCCCAAGTTCATTTTAAAGTTTTTTTTTTTTTACACATAAGCAATGGGACATGATCTGCGATCCTCTCAAGTCACCATGCCCTAGGGATTCCCCCAATACTACCCTTGATTATTTGAACGCAACTAGTGCTGGGTAACTCCCAACCCACCCAGGATCTGGAGAGATTCAAATCTCGATTTAAATGGAAAACTGCAGTCAGCTAAAGTTTTTCTCTCCATAGCTTGAGGAGTGGGAGATGAGAAGAGGATGAAGGCAGGTAGGCCACATCACAGGCAAATTCTGGGGCCAGGTGTGGTCAGAGACAGAAGCAGTCTGGGTTGGAGGGGGCTAATGGTCTCTTCTATCCCAGAGCTCCTGGGAAAGGCTGGGTATGTAGTCCTGCTGGTGTCTAGGCCTCAGGGGCAGTGGGTTGTCCCAGCTGGTGCCTCAGTGGGTGGATAACATCATCACAAATTCTGCAGGGGAGAAGAGTAGAGTTGGACCAGTCCAGGTCAGGGATCCCAGGAGCCACTGGGTGCTAGAGGCTCAGGAAGGATGTTTGGAAGCAGAACTCACCATCAAAGTCTATGGTGCCTTCGCCATTGAGGTCCATGTCTCAGAGCATCTCATCCAGTTCAGTGCCCTCCAGTGGTTCTGCGAACAGAGCTGGTGCTACCTGCCACAGCTCTGCCACTGTGATTCGTCCATCTCTGTCCCTGTCAAACTACGATCCAGGCAGGGCTCCTACCCTATGTTCCCTCTACAAGAGTAGTTGACTCTACTCTGTTTTTCTGTTTTTGTTGTTTTGTTTTGCTTTGAGACAGTATCTCATGTAGGCCAGGCTGGCCTCAAAATCATTATGTAGCCAAGGATAATCTTGAACTCCTTGTCCCCCAGCTTTCTCCACTTCCCAAGTTCTTGGGTTACAGGTGTGCTCCCTCAGTAAGTGTGGTGCACCACACTCAGTAAGGCTGAGATTTCCCAGGAAGGATGTAATCCAAGACTGCTACCCACCTGCCCACCCAAACAGTCTCCTTACCTCTTGGAAGGCAATGCACAGCTCTCTTACACCCAGCATGTGTGCAGTCTCCTCCCTCAGCTTGGGGCTTATTAGTTCTACGAACTCTTCAAAATCCACAAAGCCACCCACTGTAGACCCAGGCAGAGAGTAACAGATCTGGCGGTGTCACACCTAAGCTCGTCCCACCTGAGCCCTGAATTCCTGAAGGTATACCTGGTTACTTGATCAAATGGGTATTTTCTGGCTGTTTCTCTGCTCAGGGAAGCCCCAGGTAGACCAGAAAAAGACCTGTCTAGCTTCAGACCAGGCAGCCCAGGTTCAAACCGTCTTGACTTGTGTGGCCTTGGGTGGCTTAGCAACCCTCCCATCCTTACTCATCTGGGATGGGCTTAAAGAATCTATTCCTTGGGTTAGAGATCAGGCTATAAGAGGCAAGCACCATCATGTTGTCAGCCCCTCCATTCTAAAAACACCATCATTCTCCTATGACACCACTGGGCAAATAACAGAGCCACGTGACCCTGAACATGAGCATCAATGGCAAATTCTACCTACATTCTGGAAACTTTATTTATTTATTTATTTATTTTTATTTATTTATTTATTTATTTATTTTTTGGTCTTTTTGAGACAGGGTCTCCCTGTAGCCCCAGCTGTCCTGGAACTCACTATGTAGACCAGGTTGGCCTTGAACTCACAAAGATCTGCCTGCCTCTGCCTCCCAAGTGCTGGGATTAAAGGCGTGTGCCACCACGCCTGGCTGTTTTTGGAATTTAAAAAGGGCAGGGGCCTGGGGAGACAGCTCAATGGTTAAGATCACTTGCTGCTCTTGCAGAGGACTGGTGTTCAGGTCCCAGTGCCCACATGGTGGCTCACAACTGCCTATATATTTCCAGCTCTAGAGGATCCAAAGCCCCCTGGCCTCTGAGGGCACCTGGACACACATGGTGCATAGAAACTCACACAGACACACAAACACATAAATAAAAGCAATAATAAATAGGGCCTGATATGGTGGCACATGCCTTTAATCTCAGCACTTGGGAGGCAGAGGCAGGTGGATCTCTGTGAAATGGAGGTCAGCCTGGTCTACATAACAAGTTCCAGGCCAGCTAGAGTTACAAGGAGATCCTGTCTCAAAAAAACAAAAGCATGCTGGGCGTGATGGTGCACACCTTTAATCCCAGCACTTGGGAGGCAGAGTCAGGCGGATCTCTGTGAGTTCAAGGCCAGCCTGGTCTACATAGTGAGTTCCAGGACAGCTGGGGCTACAAGGAGACCCTGTCTCAAAAAGACCCCAAAAAAAAACAAAACCAAAAACAAAAACCAAAACCAAAACAAAACCATAATAATAATGATAATAATAATAAAATGCTTTTTAAAATAGCAAATGATGATGCACAAATACTACCCAGCACTAGTCACAGGGAACAGCCGGGCTCTGTTACATCAGACCTCATTGAGACCCCAGAGACTATATTCAGGTAACCTCAATTTAGCTGCCAGGACAGAGATGGAGAGATAATGGACAGACAGAGAGAGGAGAGAGACTGGAGCTTGGATCCTGTGTCCTCCCACCAATACCCTAACAAACTCCCAGAGATCACTTCCTGCCAGCCCCTCATGACTGCCATGAGCCGGAGGCAGACCAGGGGCCAGTGAGATGACTTAGTAGGTAAGGGCCCCTGCTGCCAAGTCTGAGGACCGAAGTTTGATCCCCAGGACCCAACTGACTCCTGAAAGTTGTCCTCTGACCCCCCCCACACACAATAATAAGTAAATAAATAAAGTAAATAAAATTAAGAGGTAGAGGAAGAGGAGAAAGAAGAAGGGGGGGACAGGGAGGAAGGGGAGGGAAGAGACAATGACCTGGGTGCAACTAGACTGGCTCCTACCCCAACCCCCCAGCAGGGCTTGGACACTAACTGCGCATCTTCACGTGCTGTGAAATCTCTAGGAGCTCCATCTCAGTGGGCATACAGCCCAGCGTCCTCATGCAGTCCCCCAGCTCCCTGTAGCCAATATAGCCATCCTGGTCAGTGTCAAACTCTTCAAAGGCAGCCTGAAGCTCTGCAGGGGTTAGCAGAGGTCAAACCGGGAGACCAGGCTCAGGGTCACCTAATACCCCCAACAACAGTGAGAGACACTCACCCTCCAGCCCCTCAGGGCCCAGTTCATGGTCCTGAATAGGGATAGACCACCATGTCCCAGGTTGCCACAGCTTCTCCAGCCCCTACTTGTCTTGCATTGGGCAGGACTGTCCCCACCACAAGAGCTGAAGACAGCTGGAGTCCTGCAGACTCCAGAGGCAGAGAGCCCACCCCCCATGCTCCTGGGGTCCCAAATGAGCTCCCAAAAAAGCCTGGTGAGAGGTCTGTTTCTGCTTACTTTACCAGTGACCATGAGACAGACCCCGCCCTGCCTGGGCTCCCCCAGTCTGGGGCACAAGAGGCAGGACACTTGAGAACTTAGGGGCAGGAAAGGCTAAAGCTAAGGGGCTCCTCAACTCTCCCACCCCTGAACCCCCTGACCTTCCCAAACATGCGACTGAGCAGGAGTCCATAAGTCCTTTGGGCAGCGTCCTGCTGGGGGTCAGAATGATGCCCGTGGGACTGTCGACGAGAGGCTGGCCCAGTGGATGCTGAGGGTGGTCCATTCTGTCTATCTCCAGTTCTTGGGGAGTTCTTGCTGCTTCCTGGGGCCTCAGAGCCCTGACCTGGGGATTGCTCCCCAGAATTGCCCTTCAGAGACCCTCGGAGCCGCCTCTCCTTCTTGCTCCTCCTCCTGGTCAAGTCAGAGCCCTCAGCAGCCCTCTCAGAAGATGTAATCCCTTCAGGGGGCTTCTGGGGGCCAGAAGCTGGGTGTGGGCTGTGCTCTGTGGCCATGTGGGGAGAATAACAGGACTTGGGCACAGGTCCCTGAAGCACCCTTGGTTCTTAGGACTCAGAAAACCGTTTATCCCCCTATCCCCACCCTGGTCCAGGCTTGATCACCTGGGATCCAAAGTGAGGGGGATTAGAGTAAGTGAGGCAGACAGCAGGGACCTAATCCTTGCCCTCTGCCCCAGGGTAGCCTGGCAGCACCAGACAGTTCCTAAAACCCATCCTCAGGAGTAAGGGTGCAGGACATAGCAAACACTGAACTTAGCCAAGTTCCAACACTTCTGGACTGGGAGAAGCAGCTAATTCATCTTTCCAAGTCTCAGTTTCCCTGTCTATAAAATGGGGGCAGACTGCTGCAGAGTAGAGCACTCATCCTAATGTGTGACATGGACAGGACAGCGTTGCAGAAAGGACCTGGGAAGGCACCTCAGGTGGGAGGAGACGTGCAAGCAAAGGCTAAGAGTTGCCCTTCTGGGTCTCCGAGGGGCGATATCCTAGTTGGGGTAGAAGGCATATAGAGTTGAGAAAACAGTCCAGGCCAGAGGCCTTGAATGCTGGTGGTGCTGTTGGGGGGAGGGTTCCTCCAGCCTGCCCTGGAAAAGGGTCCTGTTTTTCTGACCCTGTCAGGATGGGGGGGCCTGGCTGGTAACTTGGCCCTATGGGGCCATGCTTAGTGTTTCCCATCCCCATGAATAATCGATGCTCCCTCAGCTTGGGTTTCCTGCCTACCTGCCTCCACATCGCCACCAGGTGCCATGCAGCAGGCCCCACTGTGGGGCAGGCAGGCAACCCCTGCTCCTTCTGCCCAGCCTGTACCTTCCAGGTAAGCCAGGCAATGCTATGGGCCCTCGGGAAGAGGCATCCAGGCTCTGAAGCAATCAGGGCTGGAGCTTACAGAGGAGGCTTTGTCAAAACAGAGCTCGAAATGGGGAGCCATAGCAGTAATGGCTGCAACCATGGGTGCCAGGCAGGATCCAGCCAGTCCCTCTCCACCCTCAGAGGGCACTCTCTCCACTCCACCAGTTGGGGGAGATAGAGTAGGGACAGTGAAGGGCTCTTGAGTCGGATGTGGGTTACCCCCAGCCCATCTCACTATCATCACCCTGTGGAGCCCTCTGCCTCCTTCTCTATGCTCAAAGGACAAACAGGGCTACTTGTGCCAAGCTGTGGGGTGCAGGAAGGAACACGTGTGACAGTACAGGACACTGAAGAGGCACAAACTGCTCCCAGGACCCACCTAGTCACAGCCTGCCAGGGCCCTAAGGCTCAGATCTCATCTGGCATCCTGAGGGGTACTGCCTTCCTTCCTGGGAAGACTTCAGGACCATGAGGCCCAGAACACTCCACTCCTAGAACTTTTAAACACTTAGAATCCCAGGACATCAAGGTCTGAAGAGAGGAAATGGTGGTCAAATGGCTTCCTTCCTTCCTTTTCCTTGAGAAAGGATCTTCAAACCAAGTAGGAAAGGCTAGCCTTGAATTCCTGATCCTCCTGCCTACACCTCCTGAATGTTAGGGTTAGAGGGGTGTACCTGTTGTTTTTGCTGTTATTTGAGACGGGGTTTAAAATCTCTGTAGCAGGCTGGCCTTGAACTCATGGCAACCCCCTTGCTTCCACCTCCTGAGCGCTGAGATTAGAGGCTGCACCAATCTTGTCTGTCTTTAAATGGTTTTCAAACTGTGTCCCCTGGAACACAAAGGTGTGCTCCCGTGCCTTTAAATTTTTTTTTTAATTTATCGGGGAGGGACACACAGGTCACCTTGTATGTGTGGAGGTTAGAGGACAACCTGTAGGAGTCAGTTCTTCCACTGTATATGTCCCAGGAATTGAACTCAGATCATCAGACTTGGCAGCAAGTACCTTTATCTGCTGAGCCATCTTGCTTGCCCCCATGCCTTTAACCTTGAATGTCACTTTTTGTCCCCATACAAGTTCCACCACAGCATTTCATTTTATTTTTTAAATATTTTATTATTTTTATTTTATGAGTGTGTTGCCTGCATGTATGTGAGTGTACCGTGTCATGCAATGCTGTGGAGGTCAGAAGGCGGCTTCAGATTCCCCTGGAACTGGAGTTAAGGATGGTTTGTAGCTGCCATGTGGGTACTGGGAATCGAACCTGGGTCCTGTGCAAGAGCAGTCAGTGCTCTTAACCACTGAGCCATCTCTCCAGCCCGTCATTTTATTTTTCTGAGACAGGGTCTCACTATGTAGCACTGGCTAGCCTGGAACTTGATAAGTAGACCAGGTTGGCCTCAGACTCAGAAATCTACCTGCTTCTGCCTCCAGAGTGCTGGGACTAAAAGCATGCCCTGCCATACGGGACTAAAAGCATGCACTACCATACCTGGCCTTACTTTTACTTTGTAAGGATGATGATGATGATTATTATTATTGGTGAGACAGGGTCTCCCTGTAGCCTGGATCTCACTATGTAGAGCAAGCTGGCCTGAACCTCACAGAGATCTGTCTGCCTCTGCATCCTGAGTGCTGGGATTAAAGGTGTGTGCCACCTCCCCAACCCTAAATTTTTTTTTGGTCTTTTTGAGACAGGGTCCCCCTGTATCCCCAGGTAGCCTGGAACTTACTATGTAGACCAGGCTGGCCTTGAACTCACAGAGATCTGCCTGCCTCTGTCTTCCAGGTGCTTGGATTAAAGGCATGCACCATCACACCCAGCTATTTTTTAAATGTTTTATTATTTTTATTTTATGTGTATGAGTGTATTGCCTATATGTATATAAGTACATCTGTGTCGTGCAATGCCCTGCTGGTTGTTAGCTGCCATGTGGGTGCTGGGAACCTAACCCAGTTCCTCTGCAAGAGCAAGCAGTGCTCTTAACCACTGAGCCATCTCTCCAGCTCCCATTATTATTTTTAGTTAAGTGCATGAATGTGTGTCTGTGTATATCTGCCCATGGAGGCCAGAAGATGGTGTCAGACCCCCTAGAATTGGAGTTACAGGTGTTTGTGAACTGCTTGACATGGGTACTGGGAGTGGAATTTGGGTCCTCTGCAAGAACATTAAGCATTCTTATCCACTGAGACATCTCTCCATCCCCCAATATTTCATTTTAAAACAATATTTAACATGGTTCCATTGCTTAGTTGGTTAAAGTGCCTGTCTTGTAAAACAATAAAGATGGAACTGGGCATATTGGGGGTACTCCTTATAATCCCAGCAATCAGGAAGCAGAGGCAGGAGGATCACTGCAAATTTGAGGCCAGACTAGTCTATACATTAAGACTCTGTTTCCAAGAAACAAGAAACAGGGACTGGTGATATGACTGAGTTGGTAGAGTACTTGCCAAGCATGCATGTAACCCTGGGTTCTCTCCCCAGTGCTGCATAAACTGCATGTGGTGGCACATGCCTGCAATCCTAGTGCATTGAAGGTGGAGGCAGGAGGATCAGAAGTTCAAGGCCAGCCTCTAGTACATAATGAATCCAAGACCAGCCTGGACTCTGTGAGACCCTGTCTCAAAAGGAACAAACAAATAAAATATTCAAAGTTGCCGTGCATGGTGGCGCCCGCCTGTAGTCCCAGCACTTGGGAGGCAGAAGCAGATGGATCTCTGTGAGTTCAAGGCCAGTCTAGTCTACATAGTGAGTTCCAGACCAGCTGGAGCTATACAGAGACCTTGTCTCAAAAAGACCAAAAACAGGGCTGGAGAGATGGCTCAGCGGTTAAGAGCACTGACTGCTCTTGCAAGGGACCCAGGTTTGAGTCCCAGCATCCACATGGCAGCTATGAACTGCCTTAACTCCAGTTCCAGGGGAATCCAAAGCCCTCTTCTGACCTCCATGGCAATGCACAACACAGGTGCACTCATATACATGCAGGCAATACACTCATACACGAAAGACTGATGGGCGTGGTGGCACACGCCTTTAATCCCAGCACTTGGGAGGCACAGGCAGGCGGATCTTTGTGAGTTTGAGGCCAGCCTGGTCTACATGGTGAGTTCCAGGACAGCTGGGGCTACAAGGAGACCCTGTCTCAAAAAAGACAAAAAAAAAAAAATTCAAAGTTATGCATGGTGGTACATGCTGGTAATTCCAGCACTTAGAAGGCTGAGGCAGGAGAATTGCCTTAAGTTTAAGGCCATCCTAGTCTACAAAGCAAGTGCCAGGCCAGCCCAGCAAGGGTTCCTAAGTGAGACGCTGCCTTGAAACAGCAAAATTCAATGGCTTGCCCAATATATTTGAAATCTTCCTGTTTAGTCTGCTTGGGCACATAATTCCATGTGGCAGAACAGTTAAGTCTGATCTGAGTTCCAGCACCACTTTACTTATATACGACCTTGATCGAGAGTTAGTGGATAATCCCCTCCTCTCTCCTAAAATGTATTACGGGAAGACCTCATGAGGTCATCTGTTTAAATTGCCTGGCACAGGCTAATTACCCAAAAGTGGTGACACTGGCCCAGAGACCGGGAGTGGTTAGCCTGGAGGTGCATAGCACCATCTCGGTCATTTCGAGTCATCATGCTTTTGTTGATTCAGCAGGCCTGCAGTCCATGCCCAGCAGTACACAGGAGACCCAGAATGGACACTGTTCTAGAAGCTAAGCTGGGTGCCACTGGCCACGGTCCCCGCACAGACTTCGATGATGATGATTACCATCCTCAGGGCAGCTGGGACACAGTCTTCCTGGTCTCTCTGCTGCTTCTGGGACTACCAGCCAATGGGCTGATGGCGTGGCTGGCTGGCTCACAGGCCCGGCACGGGGCTGGCACGAGGCTGGCCCTGCTCCTGCTCAGCCTGGCCCTTTCTGATTTCTTATTCCTGGCAGCAGCGACTTTCCAAATCCTGGAGATCCAGCATGGAGGGCACTGGCCGCTGGGCACCCCCGCCTGTCGTTTCTATTACTTTCTATGGGGTGTGTCCTATTCCTCTGGCCTCTTCCTACTGGCAGCCCTCAGCCTGGACCGCTGCCTGCTGGTACTGTGCCCGAGATGGTACCCAGGGCACCGCCCAGCCCACCTGCCCCTCTGGGTCTGTGCTGGGGTCTGGGTGCTGGCCACCCTTTTCAGTGTGCCCTGGCTGGTCTTCCCCGAAGCCACCGTCTGGTGGTACGACTTGGTCATCTGTCTGGATTTCTGGGACAGTGAGGAATTGCCCTTGCGGATGCTTGAAATCCTGGGGGGCTTTCTGCCCTTCCTCCTGCTGCTGGTCTGCCATGTGCTCACCCAAGCTGCTGCCTGCCGGACCTGCTGCAGTCACCAGCCCCAGCCCCCAGCCAGCCATGGCTTTGCCTGCATAGCCAAAACCATCCTGTCAGCCTATGTGGTGCTGCGGCTGCCGTACCAGCTGGCGCAACTGCTCTACCTGGCTTTCCTGTGGGACTTCTATCCTGGGTACTTGCTCTGGGAGGCACTGATCTATTCTGATTACCTGATCCTGCTCAACAGCTGCCTGAGCCCCTTCCTCTGCCTGGCAGCCAGTGCTGACCTCCGGGCCCTGCTGCGCACAGTGCTCTCCTCCTTTGCAGCTGCTGTCTGTGAGGAACAGCCTGGAAGCTTTACACCAGCTGAGCCACAAACCCAAGTGGCCTCTGAAGGCATGACTCTGCCAGGACCAATGGCTGAGGCCCAGCCACAGTCAGATCCTGTGGTCCAGCCTCAAGTGAACACCTCACTCCAGCCACGATCAGATCCCATTGTTCAGCCTCAGGTGGACTCCCTGGCCCAGCCACCATTGGACCCCATGGTTCAACTTGAGGTGAACTCTCTGATTCTGCCACAGTCAGATTCCGTGGCCCAACCTCAGGCGGACTCCCCAGCCCAGCCACAGTCAGATTCTGTGGCACATCCCCAGGTGGACTCCCTGACCCAGTCACCATTGGACCCCATGGTTCAGCCTGATTTGAAGCCCCCAGCCCAACAACATTTGGATCCTGTGGGTGAGCCACAATCTAGCAATGAGACCCAGATCCCTGCCTGTGGAGCAGAGTCAGTCCCAAACCCTGGTGAGGAAGCCTCCCTTGGCCCATCCCCAGATCCCTCCCCTGGGGCCCCTGAGAACCCAGCCACACCAGCTGTCCCTGAAGGAGAAAGCCCCAACAGTGTTCCTCCAGAGGAGGCCCCCAGTGCAGGCCCTACATGAGTAGTCAGGAAGTCCAGGCCCACTAGGGTGGTAGAGTCAAGAGAGAGCAGATCAGCTAGGTGGGAGGGTAGAGGAACTCACAGTGAAAACCCCACTGAATCTCTCAGGCTTGCAGGGAGGCCTCAGGGGAAGTGAAACCAGTCCAGACAGCGCTATGAATATCCAGAGTCTGGGCCTAACCAGGTTTTTCTATTGCAACCCCCCAATACATGCAGCCACCGACCATCCCTGAGACACCGAGGATGGTCCTGCTGGGATCTGTCCTCCAGTCCCTCCAGATTCCTGCTTCTCCCAGCAAGGGCTACTTTCTCTGGACTTGGTCTGATCTGCTTTTAATCATTCCCTCCTTCTCTCCCTCCCTGTCTGGTCCTCTGGCCTGGCCATCTAAAAGAAAATCCCTCCAGAAAAGGGAGGCTTCCAGGAGCCCATGGCCCCAAGCAGGAGCCTGAGGTCCTCGGGGCCTACATGCTGGCCTTGCATGGCCACTCACCTGCCCCCAGCACACAATGAGCCTGGGACAAGACTTCCCCAGCAATGTGGCCAGAGAGGAGTCAGGAGCAACTGGATTTAAATCCAGCTCTGCCAAACCCTGACTTGGTGACTCTGAACAAGTTCACACTTCAAAAACTGTTTGAGTATTCAATGAGAAAGTGGCACAGCGGCCACGGAGCCTGGCACAGAGTGGGGCTCTGGAAACATACAAAATGGCCCTTCAGGGATTGGAATTGGGTGGCAGGAGGTGGCAGAGCCACCATCTGACTGGAGTACCTAAGAGCCTGTGATTGGCTGGGCTGCAGGCATCCAGACAGCCTGAGGGAGCATGAAGCCACCTCTGTGCCTTGAGGCTGGGGAATTCAAGGGATCTTCAACATCTGACTCCATTCAAGAGTTCAACAAATAGAGCCCCCAGGGAGGGTTGGACAGGCTGTGGAAGCTGAAGGTACACACTGCCCTGGCATTCATGCCCCAGGGGCACAGGTAGGAGGCTACCCAAGGGCAGAGAGCCCTGGGACCATGGGCAAAGATTCCCTGAGGTCAACAGTTCTCTCTAGGGCAGGACCAGCTCTTCCTGTCCAGCTGCAGATGCTGTAAGAAAAAAATACAAAACAGGAAATGCTGAGGGTCTTGTGGGACTCTGCCTCATCTAACAGCTTCTTTCTGCTTCTGTAATTTGCTTGGCTTAAAGATTTAACCCTTGCCATAACTCTAGACATCGCAAAAATGGAGGAATCAGCAGTCAAAATGGAGACAGTGCAGTTTGTCCCTCTGGTTCCCTCAAGCCAAGTGATTTATAAAAGTGAAAAGAGCAGTTAGTCCTAAATAGGGGCAGGGGTCTAGGGAGTCCAGGGGAGGGGGCCAAGGAGGAGGGTTCCACATCAGAAAACACTGACTCCATTTTGGCTGGCTGTTTCAGGCAAGCTCGGACAAGCCCAGGCATGTTGTAAATCTCGAGTTGCTACCCACCCCCCAAGCCATAGATTAAGCAAGCCCGGGCATGTAAAAGCCTTATAAGGTAGAAACAGAAACTTGATAACCGTCAATTGCTTGATTCTCTTGAGGCTGTGGCACGCGCCTGCAAGGATGTGTGGCCCCATCTGAAAGCCATTTATGAGACTGCTCCTCCTCCTACCCCACACAACTACGGGCCTGGCAATTGGGCCTACGTTCGCAGACACCCCAAGAGACCCTAGAACCTTGGAAAGGACCGTACGTGGTGCTCCTGACAACACCGACTGCAGTAAAGGTAGACGGAGTTGCCACCTGGATTCATCACACCCACGTCCTACTAGTGTATCCACACCCAGACCCAGATGATCTTTGCCCTCCGCCGACCTCTATGCCGGATCCTACAACATGGAAGGTCCACAAGGACACGGACAACCCCCTCAAGCTAAGACTGTGCTGCTCTTGATGTTTACTCTGCTGCTTGAAATGGACGTACGTATAACTGCTAACCCTCACCAACCCTACAATCTCACCTGGCAGCTCCTGGACACTTCTACAGGAGACATCCTGGTCTGGACGTCCAAGACAGCCCCACTAAACACCTGGTACCCGAATTAGGCTTCAACCTCACCGCTTACTCCCTGAACAGGACCACTGGGGACTCTGTCATGCTTATTTTATGTCTGTTCTGGGAGCAGGGGAAGAGACTGGAGAAAACGATGTGGGGTAGCCAGCGATTATTTTTCTAAGTCCTGGAGTTGTGTGAGCACGGGGGACATCTATTGGACCGCCTCCGTTACAGATGATCTTATCAAGGTGGTCCGTAATAACACACCCGATATCATTTAACGCGGCCAGAGGGTTGAAACGTGTTCTAGGAGAACAGGCTGTAACCCTGTTAAGGTGGTGTTTACTGATGCAGGAAAGAGACATCACTTGGGAGGCGGGGAAAACCTGGGGATTGAGAACTTTTAACTTTAGCCCAGGGGGTCTCTTCACTATCATCCTCAGAAAAGAAAACCCCAGTTCTCTGATATCCCAAGGAATTGGCCCCAGTCTGGTCTTAGTTCCCCTAAAACCCAACTTCAGCCCTAAGCCCCCACCACCGAGGGAAAATACAACAGTCTCTGGGGGGAAAACAGTAACTGCGGGGGCACCAGCCTCTCCAACCCTGGGCCACCCTATTTGGCCGTGAAGAGTCAAAATGCAAGAGTCAGAATACACTAACTCCATTTGGGCTAGCTGTTTCAGGCAAGCCTGGACAAACCCAGGCATGTTGTAAATCTCCAGTTGTTACCCCCCCCCCAAAAGCCATAGATTGAGCAAGCTCGGGCATGTAAAAGCCTTATAAGGTAGAAACAGAAACTTCTGGCCCTACAGATAACAGTCAGCACATTCCAATGCCCTAAAGACAGCCCCTACCAATAAGAATCCTCCCCATACTCAGAACATAGGACCATCCAATTTTTTTTTTTTTTTTTGGTCTTTTTGAGACAGGGTCTCCCTGTAGCCCCAGCTGTCCTGGAACTCACTATGTTATAAAAAGCTTGCCCCACCCTAGTTTGGGGCTCTCAGTACGGATCCACTCTGTCGGTGAAATCTGAGGGCCCGAGCTTAAGCCCGAATAAAGGCTCTTTGCTGTTGCATACACTCCAGACTTCTTGGTAGTCATCGGGGGGTCGCAAGATCTGGGCATAACAGCCACTGGTTACTACATCCTCAGAAAGGAAACCCCCACCTCACTGGTACCCCAAGGTGTTGACCCCCACCCAGTTTTAGTACCAACCCCTAGAATCCAACCCCAGCCCTAAGCCCCCACCTCTGAGGGAAAGTACAACAGTCTTTCAGAGAGCAGCAGTAGTTGTGGGGATACCTACAGCTTCACCCTCAGACCACCCTATTTGGCTGTTGATCACCTCCACTTTCAAGGTGCTCAATGCCTCTAAGCTGGACCTAACTGTAGAGTGCTGGCTTTGTCTGAGTGCTCAGCTGCCCTTCTATGTGGGCATAGCTGTAGTAGGTAATTACTCCTGAGTTAATAGTAACCAATGCACCTGGAGACAGCAGGGAAAACTTTCTCAACAGCAAGTTACTGGGGCAGGGACCTGTGCCCTGCCCTCTGGTGCCCAGGTACCCTCAGGGCTATGTAACCACGGAGTCTCTGTTTCAAATAGTACTTGTTACTCTGCCACTTCTGGATGGTGGGCTTGCTCCACTGGTTTGACTCCCTGCATTCACGGGACCATCCTTAACAACATGAAAGGTTACTGTGTCATGGAACAGCTATCCCCCAAGATGACTTACTATGAGGAGACCCAGATGGAACTAGCCTCCTCACCCCTTTCCACCTCCAGAACTAAGAGAGCCACAGGGCCAGCGGCTGTTTTGTTATCCTCCTTAATTGGCCTAGGTATAGCTGGGGTGACTGGAGTGGGTGCCTTGGCCTTAATTTTTCAGGACCAAAACTACAAGGATCTCAGGAATCTGGAGCAGTCTGTAACTAAATTAGAACAATCCCTAAACTCATTAGCTAAGGTCGCCTGACAGAATAGAAGAGGTCTTGATCTCCTTCTTGTGCAACAAGGGGGCTTGTGTGCAGCCTTAAAAGAAGAATGCTGTTTTTATGCTAATCATTCTGGTGTGATTAGAGACTCTATGGCTCTGCTCAGTCACTCCAGACTCCTTGGTGGTCACTGGGGGTCGCAAGATCTGGGGTTAACAATCTGTTTCCCACACACTTCCCTCCAATCACTCCCCTCTTCACCCAAACCAGCTTTCTTCTTCTCCCAACGCCCCCAGTTTTGCCAAAGAGGTCTCCTCTTTCCCCATCAACCTTTCCCATTAGTTGAGCACCGTGACCTTGATCCGCCGAGGGATGCCCACAGAAACAGCTGTCCATGAGAGTGAAGGTCTATGTGATGGCGTTTCCCCGGGTGCTTGCCTTGTAAAAAGGCAGTGTAGGCAGCTTGGAGAAGTACAGTTAGATCTGCATGTTGGTTGCTAGTTCCTAACCTCAGTTTTCTTATCTGTGTCGGGCATGGCTCACTCCTGTACTACCAGCACTCAGGATGCTGAGGCAGGAGGATTATGAGTTCAAAGCCAGCTTGGGCCACATAGTGAGTTCTAGGCCAGCCTGAGCTATATAGTGAGACCCTGTGTCCAAAAAGCAAAGGCTGGGGATATAGCCCAGTAGTAGGGTGCTTGTCTAGAATGCCCAAGGTCCTGGGCTCAATGACTAGCATTGCAAAAGCAATGGGAGTGTGTTCCCTTGCTGATGGTCACTAGTGTGGGGTACACAGATGAGAAGGGCACAGACTGGCCATGGAGGCTTCAAAGCATATTTGTAGCATGATGGAACCAAGGCAGGTGGGAGAGATTGTTCTGAAATACTTACTGAATGAATTCCTCTAACAAATATTTAATGAGGATTTACTGGATGCCTTTCTGACCAGCCTTCCATTTTTAGAGATACAAGGGTAGGGTTCAGGGTGTTTCTAAGAGTCATTTGAACCCTGGCTCTATCACTCACCCATTGTGTGGCCTCCAGCAAAGCCCTTGAACTTTTTTGGGACTCAGTTTGCCCATCTGTAAAATGGGAATGATGATAATGTTTGATTCCCTGCCCCCTCACCAACATGCTTGACTCCTGAGTACAGAGTAAGTGTTCAATAACTGACAGACATTAGTTTGATATGTCAGTGAACACCCTGGGGGCCAGGTATTGGCCTCCCTGCCCTGCCTTAGTGCCTCCTCCCCATGCCCCTGCACATTTGTTAGAGTTCACAGTCTTTGAGAACAGGGCCTAGATTTCTGTCCCCCTTGGGGCATTCTGTATTGACCTGCTTCCTTCTCCTGATGGGGGATCCCAAAGCCACTTCAACCTGGCAGACAGATCAGTAAATAAAATCTCAACCTCACCTACCTGCCTTCAACTCTAACCCAATCCCCACCCCCAAGCCCTGCCTCTTAGAGAATGGGCCAGTCCCTCTTCCCAGGTTCCTAAGGGGAGTCCCACCCACAAAGGGAGAATTGCTGCTCAGAAGAAAGAGCTATACCCTGAAATACTTTGCAGGATCCAGAGGAGTTTTAGTGGGTCATGAAAGAGGTTTGTAGTAGAAGAAATGGAACCAGGAGGGGAGGGCTCAGCCTCAAAACAGTCCCCAGCTCACCCCAACACGCCCCATGGCCTTCTGCGGGGACTCCCTCTTCCTCCAGGTGAGATCCCCATGTTTTCTTCAGAGACACCAGATATTGGTTCTGAGAGCTTTGAATATAAATATTTTGCAGTTCTATATTCAAGCCTGCTGCTCCTTCATTCATTAACTCAGCCTGATGTGGTCTACTGCTGGATGCTTGGTCTTCTGGGCACCGGAAGCACAGCAGGGGAGAACCAAGACAAAGTTCCCTGTCTTCCACTTGCAGGCATCCTAGCCCGGTGCAGCTAGGATACAAATAATTACACAATGTAGCACCTGGGGGTGACTAAGGACAAGATGGTAGGAACAGGGGAAGGCCAGACAGTGACCTGGTGAGAGCAGAATCTAGGAGAGCCCTCAGGGGAGGGGACAGTTGAGCAGGGGCCTGGAATCAGTGAAGGATGGGGCTTTCTCAAGGCCCAGAGGGAAGAGCTTCCAGATGGAGGGAGGGAACGGGATGTGCAGGCCTGGGGCGGGAGTGAAGGCACTGTGCTTCAGGCACTGGAGACTCTAGATATCACTGGGCCAGAGAGAGGGCAGTAGAGGGTGCAGAGGGGTCAGACAGGAGGCTAAACGGGAAACACAGCCACCGTGGATTTTATTCAAACTGTGGCAATGGGGGGTGGTGGTAAGAGAACTGTAGGCTGAGCACAGAGCCTCACCCACTCCCCAAATCAAGCCATGTGGCCACTTCCTAGTTCCCACACTCCAGTCTGCCTGGCCCCCAGGGTTTATGAGCTGTGGGAAATGCAAATACTTCGGAGCCAACAAATTGAGATTGAATCTCAGCTGGTGGACCACAGGCCTCTCTGGGCCTGTTTCCTCACAGAGTATGGGGACCACTGAGATGGGACACAAAATCCCTCCAGCCTCCCCCACACAGCTGGGGCTTCATGCAGAGATTTTTACCTCTGCTCTTCCTTCCTACCCTGTCTCTCTTCTCTCTCTGGGAAAGATCTTGTTATCACCACTGGTGATCCAGGATGGTGGACAAACAGGAAGAAGGGAAACACTACCAGATAGGGACCTAAGTCCTCCCTGGTGAGACTGGATGGGGGCAGATCTAGGGAGGCCAATCCAGGGCTGCAGTAGATGGAGGAGAGGAAGATGCTGAATCTACAGGTCATCCTCCACTTCCATTTTTAATAAGTCTGGACAGCTTCACAACTGCTTCCTTTAGCCTCTTCAGTTTACATAGCTGAGAGCATGAACTCTCAGCCTTAAAACATGCATGTGAGGGAGCTGGAGAGATGGCTTAGTGGTTAAGAGCACCAGCTGCTCTTGCATAAAACCCAGGTTCAAATTCCTGCACCCACATGGCAGCTAACAACTGTCTGTAACTCCAGTTCCAGGGGATTCAACGCCCTTTTCTGACCTCAGAGAGCATTGCATGACACGGATGCACTCACATACATGCAGGCAACACACTCATACACAGAAGAGGGCTTCGAATTCCCCTGGAACTGGAGTTAAGGACAGTTCGTAGCAGCCATGTGGGTGCTGGGACTCGAACCCGGGTCCTCTACAAGAGCCGTCAGTGCTCTTAACCGCTGAGCCATCTCTCCAGCCCCTTATAAATAAATAATTATTTTTTTAAAAAATGCATGTGAAACTGACCCAGTAGACAGTTTTGGAGGCTGGGAGGGGGAACCCCGGAGTTGGCACTGGGTGGGGGAATCAAGGGTCAGGCTTCACCTCTCCAGGACACTCCTGAGGATGCACCGGCCCACCTCCCTGGCCAGCAGCACCCAGGCCGTCCCCCTGCAGTCGCCGCCCTAGCCAGGGAACAGCTCCAGAGCCGAAGCTGCCAGGCCCCGCCCCTGGAGGGCGTGGTCTACCAAATCTCCGCCCCCCCGCCTTCTGCGCGTGACCTCGCCTCGCCCCCGCCGTATTCCTCTGTCACTTCCTGATTCCCGCTTCCTGCTTCCCAGAAACCGGGATCCGGAGCCGCCCGAGGTCGCCGCAACCCCCGGCGCCCCTGGCGAGCGGCGAGCGGTGAGCGTGGCGAGGCCGGGCTGGGGTCGCGAACGCGGGCCTGGGCCCTGGGCGGGGGGCGCGAGCCCGAGGGCCGCGTCCCCGCGGGGCACCCCACCCGGATCCCCCGGCCCTCCTAGCCGTCCTGGACCATCTGGGAAGTCGGGTTTCTGGTTCACCTTGGACCGGGTTCGGGAGCCGTCCTGGGATGCTCGGCGCCTGACAGCGCCGCCCTGTCCTGTGCTCCTCCCTGGGTCCCTAGGCCGGGCGTCCTGCAGCTCTGTGCCCATTCTCCGGGTCTCAGAGCCTAGGGGAGACCTTTCCGACCTCCTCTCCTCCCCATCACCCAAGCCTCCAAACTCTGAGCATGAAATGGTGCTTTGGAACCAACTGGGACCTACAGAAGACCTAAGCTCTCTCTCTCTTTCGCCCCCCTCCCAACACATACCAGAGCCTGGTTGGGATTTGGGAGAGTCTTTGGGTCTGCACCTGTGAGCCCATTCTATAACTGGGGAAACCGAGACTCCCCAGACTTGGTTAACCGAGACTTGGTTATTAAGACCAAGTCCCCAGTTCCATGCTCTGCGTGTCTCTTCTTGGTGTCTCTTCTTGGAGGCCCCGGAGGGCTAGGAGTTGTTGAAAGGGCAGAACTGATTCGGGTCTCTCTGCCCTGCAGACATGTCCTTCCGAAAAGTGGTGCGGCAGAGCAAATTCCGGCATGTGTTCGGGCAGCCGGTCAAGAATGACCAGTGTTACGAGGACATTCGAGTGTCCCGGGTTACCTGGGACAGTACCTTCTGCGCGGTCAACCCCAAATTCCTGGCAGTGATTGTAGAAGCCAGCGGTGGGGGTGCCTTTCTGGTGCTCCCCTTAAGTAAGGTGGGCCCACAACTGGTCAGGGTGGGGAGGAGGAATGGAGGCACCCTGGTCACACCTGTGGGTGTTTTGTGCACTTGCTGGCATTCTCTTGCCCTGTGGCCACTGCTGGACAGGTGTCATAATCCAGATTTATTGCCCCAGAGGTGTTTGCCCAGGTAGGAAAAGTATTTATTGCCACCAAGTCAGGCTAGAAGGTTACAGGTGTTTCTTGTTTGGTGGTGGTGGGTGGGGCAGAGTCACATCTAGGCCACTGGGAATCAGGGTAGGCACATCATTCTTACACCATGGAGGGGGTCACAGATTCTGGGAGGAATGGAGACCACAGGGTCTTGGGTCTCCTCTGCCCCTTTATGCCTGCAGACCGGCCGCATTGACAAGGCCTACCCGACAGTGTGTGGGCACACGGGACCTGTTCTGGATATTGATTGGTGCCCCCACAATGATGAGGTCATTGCCAGTGGCTCAGAGGACTGCACAGTCATGGTGAGCACAAGACTGTTCAGGGGAGGGTCTTGGAGTGTGGCTAGAGGCTGGTGGCTTGAACCTGCTGGCAGCAGGGGCAAGCAGAGGCCTGAGCCCATCATTCCCTCCCCACTACAGGTGTGGCAGATTCCAGAGAATGGGCTGACCTCCCCTCTGACGGAGCCAGTAGTAGTGCTCGAGGGGCATACCAAGCGTGTGGGCATCATCACCTGGCACCCCACAGCCCGAAATGTGTTACTCAGTGCAGGTCTGCACCACCTCCCACTGCAACTTTCATACCCATCTCCATAGGTGGTTCTGGAATAGTCCAGAAGCCTCTCCCAGGCCCATCAGACAGATGGGGAAGCTAATGCCTATGGAGAGATGGAAACCTGGTTTAGCCCAGAAGAGTGAGCAGATTATGTCTGGTGGGCTGATGGCCTGAGCCAATGGTCCCTTGCCCACCAGGTTGTGACAATGTGGTGCTCATCTGGAATGTGGGCACTGCAGAGGAGCTGTACCGCCTAGACAGCCTGCATCCTGACCTCATCTACAACGTCAGCTGGAACTACAACGGGAGCCTCTTTTGCTCGGCTTGCAAGGACAAGAGTGTCCGCATCGTCGACCCCCGGCGGGGCACCTTGGTGGCAGTAAGTGATCCTGGAGGGCAAAGACAGTGATGGACAGGCTCAGGGGTCTTGATCTGCACTGTCCTGACCATTTGTCCCTCCCACAGGAACGTGAGAAAGCTCATGAAGGGGCCCGGCCCATGAGGGCTATCTTCCTGGCTGATGGCAAGGTGTTCACCACGGGTTTTAGCCGCATGAGTGAGAGGCAGCTGGCACTCTGGGACCCAGTGAGTGATGGAACTGGGAGGAGGCAGGCTTGAGGCCTGGGCCCCCGCCCTGGGATGCTCCACCCTCGCCAGGCAGGCAGAGGTCAACCTGGAGGAGAGGCCTGTAGTGTTTAGATCCTCAGGCTGACCCTTGAGACTCCTAGAACCTTGCCTGACCCTCACTTCTCTGCTTCCTGTCCTGCATGGCATTCAGCCAGTGCCCCCCACATCTTTGTCACATTGTTACTGCCCACAGAAAAAAGCTCTTCTGCTGGCATGAACCATGTAGGTGCCCTCCTCCAAGAAGCACCTCCCTCCCCAGTCCCTGCAGAGCTGCACTTTGTCTCTGCAGAATATTCCTGCACAGTGAACTCAAGGGCCCCTTTGAGGCCTGGGCTAGTGCCAACTGGACCCCCTCAGCCTTCCTGTGGCAGGGACTTCCTCAGTACATACCAACTGACTCCGGAATAGTCTTAAGGCTTGGAGGAGGCTGGGCTAATGGGGCCTGGGAATAGAGAAAACAAGCATGTTGGGAGGTGTTGCCAGTTGTATGAGACTGGCCAGTCCTGGAGTGTTTGGATGGGAAGAGTCTGGTTTGGCCTGATTTGCCCCCATGTGCTAGGAAAACCTGGAGGAGCCCATGGCCCTACAGGAGCTGGACTCGAGCAATGGGGCCCTGCTGCCATTCTATGATCCTGACACCAGTGTGGTCTATGTCTGTGGCAAGGTGAGTGGATGGAATGGCTGGGTGGGGCTTGTGGAGGTAGGGGAAGGGCCTGGCTAAGTACTGACCTTCCCTACTCCCACAGGGTGACTCTAGCATCCGGTACTTTGAGATCACAGATGAGCCCCCCTACATCCACTTTCTGAACACATTCACCAGCAAAGAACCTCAGAGAGGCATGGGCAGCATGCCCAAGAGGGGCTTGGAGGTCAGCAAGTGTGAGATTGCCCGGTAAGAGGGGCCTCCAAGACAGCTGTCTGTAGGGAGAGCTCACTGGGACCCACTCTGGGGGTCAGGCTGTGAGCAGGGGACAGGTCATGGGCATCCAAGGTAAGAGTTCTGATCATGGAGGCTAAGCTGGGCATAGTGGCTAGTGTGTACCTGTAATCCCAGCACTTGAGAGGCTGAGGCAGAATAAGTATAGAGGTCAAGCCTGGGCGATGTATGAGTTTGAAGTCAGCCTGAACTGTTTGTCTCAAACAAAACTAAAACACAGGAAAAAATGGGCTGGAGTATAGCTCAGTTGGAGTGCTTGCCTAGCATAAAGGTTTGGGTTGCATCCCAGCATGCCTGTAATCTCAGTGCTCAGGAGGTGGAAGTAGGAAGATCAGAAGTTCAGGGTCACCCTTAGCTACATAGTGAGTTCAAGGCCAACCTGAAAGGGAGTGGCATGAACCATGCAGGCCTTAAACCAGTACACTGGGAGGCAACAAGTGACAAGTGGATCTCTGACTTCCAGGCCAGCCAGGGCTATGTAGTAAGACCATCTCAAAAAAAAAAGGGGGGGGAAAAAGAAGCCACAGAGGTCAGAGGTTATCCAAACCAAGGGATCAATCAGTGGTCAGTCTTCTGGGACCCTTGAGGCAGAGTAGGCTGTGGGCCCAAATCAGAAGGCAGCCAAATGTGGGGTCTCAGGTCAGCCTGTGGGAATGCCTTGGTGGAATGATGTGGGGGTGGGGGAACTGGAGAGGTGTAAGAGGTCGACCCATGGCTTCTTCCCCTTTTCCAGGTTCTACAAACTGCACGAGCGCAAGTGTGAGCCCATTGTCATGACTGTGCCAAGGAAGGTGAGGCAGCTGACTCCCCAGCCAGCCCACTCCCTTCTCTCAGAAGGGCCTGGCAGAGGTGATGGGGGAGGCTGGTGAATGGGTGTGGCCTATGGGCTGGACAGATGCCAGGGAGGGCTGAGCAGCCAGTTGTTGCAGCAGTGACACCCAGGGTGAGCTGAGGTCCTGCCATGGCAGAAGTCAGGCCTCAGCAGAATAGCAGACTGGGATGGTGCCCTCTGGGGGAGGGTAGTGGGAGGAGGGCAGGAAGTGAGAATGAAGAGAGACAGGGGCTTTGGCTGTGATCCCGGTGGGGAGGGACCAGGCCACGTGTGGCTTGGCCTCCGATGCTCAGCCAGGAGCCTGGGACATACTCCCACTGTTCTTCAGTTGGTGTTCAGGGTGCCAGGCACGTCCTTGAGCAGAGCTAGAAAGGAGAAGAGGGCCTGCTCCAGAGCTCACAATCTGTGGCCCCCAGAATCCCACAAAGCCACAGAGCTGGCCTCTGTGGTTGGCTGGGGAGGGTGGTGACTCAGGAAGGTTGGGCAGGGCTTCATGGGAGCCCTTGGTGGCAAGTCCAGAAGGAAAAGTGAAAAGGGAGATTTGAGCTCTGAAAGGTCCCTAGAGACAAGGCCATTGGGGGAGCACAGCCAGGAGGGTGTGGAGGAGGCAGCCACTCAGGCCAGATGTGAGACCCCTGGTAGTACCACCCAGCTGATTCTGACCTTCCCCTTCCCCCTATCCCCACCACACAGTCAGACCTCTTCCAGGACGACCTATACCCTGACACGGCTGGGCCGGATGCAGCCCTAGAGGCAGAGGATTGGGTGAGTGGGCACGATGCTGATCCGATCCTCATCTCACTACGTGAAGCCTATGTACCCACCAAACAACGGGACTTGAAGGTCAGCCGGCGCAACGTGCTGTCCAACAGCCGACCTGCCAGCTCCAGCCGCTCTGGAGCTTCCACACCCGCTGCCATTGCTGATGCCCCCAGTGGCAGCCTTACTGGGGCTGGGGTATGTACTCGCCAGTCAGGGGAGGTATCAGTCCAGTCTGTTGAGTGTGCTTGGACCATTTGCTGGCCCTCTCTGTGCGTCTGCCCTGGAGTAGTTTGGGGAGGTTGTGGCTGATGGCCTCTGACCCCCTGATGTCCTTGCAGGAGTCTGGGAAGCTGGAGGAAGTGATGCAGGAGCTGCGGGCACTGCGGGCGCTGGTCAAGGATCAGGGAGAGCGCATCAGCCGCCTGGAACAGCAGCTTGGCCTTATGGAGAATGGGGATGCATAGGACAACCAGCCAGGGACCTGCTCCCAACATCGCCTCCTCCTCCACCCCCTTCTCCCCTAGCTTCTGCTGCCAGGTCACACAAGGCAGTTGGCTACTCAGCACATCTGGGGCAAGTCGTGGCCAGTTTGCACCTCTCTGCAGGTTGGAGGCACCACCTGGCTTTCAGGTTTTTTACCATGGCAAGCTCCCAAGCACTCTAAGGGACCATCTCCCCCACCTGCCCAGCTGTCTGCCCCCTCACCAGAGAAAGCAGCAGAAATGGATTCTATATTTTCGTTCCAAATAAAATTCTCTTTCTAAAAACCAGGTTTGACCTCCTGCTGTGGGGCAGGTTGGGGCGGGTGCCAGGAAGGGAAGTCTACAAACCTGAGGCAGATGAATGTGGAAATCACAGATGTAAATTGAGCATGGCTCACACCTTTAATCCCAGCACTTGGGAGATAGAGGCAGGTGGATCTCAGAGATCAAGGCCAGCCTGGTCTACCTAGCAGGCTCTAGACCAGCTGGGGCTACAGTGAGACCCTATCTCAAAAAACCAAAATAGTCACACATATGAGAAAGACCCAGAGGCTGGGAGCAGCCCCATTTAGTACATCTGAATTTTACCATGCAGAGAAACGGAAGCAAAAGGCTCCTACAGGGTCAGTGAGATGGCTCAGTGGGTAAAACCACTTGCCAACCTGACAAGCTTGATGGCCTGTGTTCCATCCCTGAAACCTACAGGTGGGGGATAGACACCCAACTCCCAAAAGTTGTTCTCTGACCTCCACACATGTGCTTGTGTGTCCATAAGCACACACACACACCATTACCCCATTTTTTTCTTAAAACAAGCTTACCAGAGCCCAGGTGTGGCGTACACCTTTAATCCCAGCACTTGGAAGGTAGAGGCAGATGGACCTTTGTGAGATTGAGGCTATCCTGGTCTACATAGCAGCTTCCAGGCCAGCTGGGTCTATAGTGAGACCCTGTCTTAAAAAAAAAAAAAAAATGGCTAATAGAGGATGTATCCAAAGCGGTGTCCTGCTTTGAGATAGGTGCCCACTTCCCCCACCTTTGGAGGCCTGGACACAAGCCCTGTAGCCCCAGCCTTATCCAGAAAGACCTGGGAAGATTTGGTATGGGTCTTGGGTGGTTTTGAGAGGCTGAGGCCCCAAGAGGGTCCTGTGACAAACTAGAGTGGGTGGGGTATTGTGGGCAGGAAACGGAAGCATCAGTAACTCCCACCAGCAGCTGAAGGCAAGAGTTCTGAGCTCACTTCGTGTTCAACACAGCCAGAGCCAGAGGTGGGTGCCCTCTCAGAGGCCAGCAGATCAATGGTGAGCAAGAGCGTTCTGGGAAGTTGGGGGACAGTGGGCTGGGGCTGGACTATCCCTCACAGGGACCTGGACAGAAGCAGGACCCAGGACTAATGTGGGGTAGAAGCTAGGCCTCCCCTCAGAGCCTGGCTCTGGGATGCCTCTACTGCTTTACTCTAGGCTCAGCTCCACTTCCAGATGCTTGGGATAGCCCCTCATCTGGTCCCCTCAGGAGCTGAGCTTGGGTAGGACTTCCACCCTTGGAGCCTGATGGGCTAGGAGAAAGCTATACCCAGCCGCCCTCCCCCTGCTACCACCCCTCACACACACCTGACTTGTTCCAACCGCAGGCTTCCTCTGACAGCTGCACCCCCGCCCTGGCCCTGCACACTTGAGGCCCTCTGGGGCAGGACAGATGGGGAGCTGAACGGAAACCATGCAGTTGGGGCAGCCCCACTGCTGAGAGGTGGGGAGTCTCAGGGATCCCTGTCGCGGGACCCAGCAAAGGATGGGCACCTAGGGGTTGGTGCAGCTTCCTCCATCCTCAAGGCTCCTTCCCTCCCTTAAATATCCCCCACTGTCCAGACAGGCAGCTAAAACATGTCCAGCTAATGTTTATTGAACATCTATCTACATGCCACATATGGTTTTAGATGTTTGCCCCCCAAATCCCATCATCTTGTAGTTTATTCTGTTGGACAGTTAAGGCAACAAATAACAGATTTCTCTCCTGTGTGGGGTGTGGTGGGAAAGACAGAGTGGTCAGTGGACCTGGGGGTGCCAAGGGGGTGGGCTGGTCAGAAGCAAGTTAGCTGTCAAGGTCTGGTGGGGCCTCACCAGCGAGGGCTACGCCAAGGCAAGCAGGCAGCCATGAGGCTCTGGGGTGCAGCATCTAGGCAGGGGACAGGCAGTGCACAGGCCTCAGGCAGCTGCAGACTCAGGAGAGTGAGAGGGCTGGGTTTAAAGCTGATCTTGACCAAATAAGGACTGGAGCTTTTCTATTTGATTCTCCCTACTTTGCCTGAGAGGCAGCTGAGGACCCTGTGAGGAAGTCTCCTCAGGTGACAACTCCCCCTCCCCACTGTCTCTCACAGGCTCTGCCCGGTGCCCTTGGCCTTGGGGCACTGCTGGCCCTGCCGGGGGCCCTGGGCTCCGGGGATGGCACCGAGGACGGTGAGGGCTCCAGCTCTGTGACCATTGTACTACTCCTTCTGCTCTTGCTGCTGCTTGTCACTGGCCTGGCCTTGGCCTGGCACCGCCTCAACCGTGACTCCGGAGGCTACTACCACCCGGCACGCCTGGGTGCTGCCTTGTGGGGCCATACCCGCCGCCTGCTCTGGGCTAGCCCCGCAGGCCGCTGGCTTCGGGCCCGCACTGACCAGGGATCCCCAGAGGACCCAGAGCTGCAGGAGGATGAGCAGGACGCAGAAGATGATTTCATGATGGATGGTGGCCCAGCGGGGACTAAACCCCGGGAAGAGGAGCAGCAGTGTGAAGCAGGCACCCAAGCAGCGCGAGCCCCAGAAGCACAGGATACGGACAGCGAAGGCGGCCTGGACCTTGGCTCCCAGGGGCCAGTGGGCTCAGGCAGTAGTGCCGAGGCCCTTCTGAGTGACCTACATGCTTTTTCAGGCAGTGCGGCCTGGGATGACAGTAGTGGGGGAGCAGGGGCCCAGGGCCTCCATGTCACCGCACTGTAGGAGCCAGCTTGGTGTCCTATCCCTGCCCCAGCCTCTAACAATGCCCGTGCAGCCATGGTGGAACACAGCATGCCCTGGACTTGTGGTCATTCCACCCCCGCCATGACTGTCCCCTCTATCAGCTCCCAGTGCGTGTATCCCCACCCCCTCCTGAGGGCCACCCATCCCACAGGTACTGGGCAGCCATTGGAAATAAAACCCCTCAGGTCTGTGGTACGGCCCCTCCTCTCCCTAAACGGGCTGCTCCTATGTCCTGGAGTTCAGCAAGAGCCACTCGGTGTCGAGACTCAGTTCTTTAATTCTGCAGGGGTACAAGCTGAAGGCTGAGCCTCTCCTGATGGGGTGGGCATTGGGAATGCCTGCCATACTTGCAGCCTGCAATCCTCCATGATTCTGGGACTCAGCCACCCACCCACCCCCGCAGAGGGGGTTCTCACAGCCTATAGGGAGAGGGTCCTGGGTGCTGCCCTCCTCCCCACATCCTCCTAGCGGCCTGGGCGTCCTCGGCTCTTCTTGGATTTCTTGATCCCTGAGGGGGGACGGATGGGAAGGGGGGCAGTGCTTGTGGGTGGTGGTGGTGATGGTGGCGGCAGAAGTGGAGGTAGAGGTGGCTCCATGGGCTCTGGTGGGCCAGGGCTGGGCCGGAACCCCTCAAAGGGAGAGAACTTGAGGGGGCTGCAGGAGAAACAAAGTCAGAGCCTCCTGAGCCTGGCCAGGGATGTGGCATGAGTCAGGAAGGGAAAGATCTTTATCCACTTGGATGCACAGGCCATAAGCCCCAAAACTACCATTTCAGCAGCCCCTGGTACAGGTGTGTAAGGACTGGGGTCGGTCCTACAGTGGGCCGAGCCTCACGCTAGCCCCAGAGAAGAGTTCAGCCAGGGCAGCCCAAAGCTACTGGTCAGTGTGTGCTAGAGAGCCCTGCCCCAGCCACATCCTTGCCCTGCCCCTAGGTACCTGATAGGGGTGCGGGGACTGCTGTTGAGACGCCTGGGTGAGCGCAGCTTAGGCTGGAAGGAGAAACCCTCCTTGATGCTGTCCAGGACAGAGGGTGCCACATATGTGAAGCCCTGGGTAGAGAGGCCAGGCCCAGTGATGCTCGGCATTCCCACCCCCTTAGCTACAACCCCTGCTCTGGTCCCCCTAACGCCCAGGCTCTCACCAGGAAGGCTTGGTTGGCACTCTCACTGAGGGCTGTGTCATCTGGACTGTCCACTGGAGTCTGCCGTGTGAAGCGGGCGTCAAACTGGCTCACGTCCTCTTCTGACTGCTATGGGCACATCCACATGGGGGATTCAGGGGAATCCAAGGTGTGGGGAGCCTCTACCTGCCTCAGGGCCAACAGGACCTGAAGGTACTCACCAGGCTTGGCCTGAAGGGAGGGTCCACGCGGCGGGCCAGGAGGTCATCCCAGTTGATGTGCCGGAAAAAGGGGTGCTTCTGAGGGTAGAGGTTGCCCCGGAACATGTCAGTGATTCACCTCTGGCTCCCTGCTGTAGCCCACTCTGTCCTTTGGCCGCACCCCATCATGGTGGTCCTAGACTCACCTGTACCTCAGCAGCATCTCCTGGACCACCCCCAATCCGCTGGATGGGATTCCGCTTCAGAAACTGCAGAACCAGGGCAGGGGTGAAGGTGAGGGAGCTACTGTGGTGTGTGCCCAGACCCCAGGGTGAAGGGAAGGCAAGCAGAAACGGGGCAGGCTCTGGAGTCTGGCCTCTGTCTACTGAACCCCATAATACTTTGGTCCAGCAGTGCCTTCTTCAGAAAGCCTTCACAAACTCCCACTCACAGCCATCTCAGATGGCTTAGGAAGGATTCATACCAAGTTCTTGTGGGCCTGCCCCTCCCCTTCACAGGCTGGCGCTGGCCTTTCTGATGGAAAAGCGCCATCACCACGCCCTGCTGGAGAAGGCTCAGGCCCAGGGATGTTCAAGGGCAGCAGATGGACTGTTAGAACCTAGGCCTGGCCTTCTCCAGGGCCTAGGGAGTTATGAGAATGTGTAGAGTGACTGATAGGGCCTGGGAGAAGAGATGGGGCCCTAACCCTGGACAGGAGGCAGCCCCACCTTTTTGGCAAGGTCCCGGGCATCTGGGGTGAGGTAGGGGGGCAGCACCAGCTTTCCTTTGATGATCTTATCCATGGTTTTCTTCCGATTCTCTGCGGTGAAGGGCGGCTGGAGGAGGCAGAAGGTGAGGGCGGCCTGTGGGCCTCCCACCCGGTCCTGCCCTGGCCTGGGAAGAGGGGTCTCTCCAATACCCACCCTCCTCCCAAGGAAGCTGGACTTGCCGATCCAGTGAGCATGTCGTACATCAGGGCCCCCAGGCTCCACCAGTCCACTGCCCGGTTGTGGCCACTGTGCACCAGAATCTCAGGGGCCCTAGAAGCCAGGTGGGATTGTCAGTCAGGCCAGGCCCTCTCTGGCTATCCTCCCACCCACTGGGCAAACCAGGTAACACTTACATGTACTCAATAGTGCCACAGAAGGTGTGAGTGACAGCGCCTTCATGGATGGACTCTTTGCAGAGTCCAAAGTCTGTCAGTTTGATATGGCCTGAGGAAGAAGATTGGAAGGGATGATACAAGGCCCAGGCCCCTCCCTGCTGACCCTGGCTAGGCAGTTTTGTGTCTACGCATGTGTGCATGCAAGCAACATGCTCACCCTGGCTGTTGAGCATGATGTTCTCTGGCTTGAGGTCCCTGTAGATGATGCCTTGGGAATGGAGATGGCCCAGGGCCAGTGTGATCTCGCCCAGGTAGAAGCTACAGAGACAGGACAGGGTGAGAACTGGGCAAAAGTGGAATGAGGGCAAGGCTTTGCACCCCCAGAGACCCACCAGGCTGTGTCTTCCAGGAAGATGCCTTCTCGCTCCAGATGCGTGAAGAGTTCGCCACCTGTGACACAAACACATTAGCAGTTGTATGCTGAGACGGAGACCATCGCTCTCTGACTGCCGGTTTCTCCTTGGGAAAAATGGGGCTTAGAGATCCTGCCCTACCTGCCTCCCAGAGCTGCCGTGGGGACTCAATTCAATTCAGCAAACATCTACGGACGACTACTTGGTGTCTGGCCCTGTGCTGGGTGAAGCTGGGGCAGAGATGAGGAGACCCAGCCATTGCCCTCAGGATGCTCAAGTCTAATGGGGAGACAGACATGCGCACACCGCTCTAGGATGCCAGGCCCAGGTAACAGTTCTTGAGAGTTTCATCAAGGAACCTCACAGTGCAGAAGTGCAGAGGAAAGTCATCTCAACATGAAAGACGGGAAAGGGTGGAAGGTCGGGGGCATGTACAGCACGAGCATGCGGGAGAGTTGTAGGGCTCAGCTGGTCCATGATGCAGGTACAAAGGATGGCCAGGATCACACTCAGAGAGCAGTGGTGACCACCTAAAGAGCCCAAGGCTTCATCTGGGTAGATGCTCTAGGACGATGACCTTGGCAGTTGGTGGGGGGAGGTACCAGAAGCCAGGTTAGCTGGGCCCTTGAGGCCAGTTTAGAAACAGTGACCTCCTACTTGACCTCCAAGAGAACAGAGGTAGGAGACACTGCACAGGATGATCAGGATGGGACCCTGACTGGATGCCTGGCACACAGGGGAAGGATAGGCAGAAAAGGCAACAGGAATGGGTGAAACCACCCTTTGGGAGTCATCTTTATAAGCTCCCACCATCCCCATCTACCCTCAAATGCTAGGCACTGGACAGACGTTTGCTGAATGAACAAATGATGGGAGAGACAGATGGACACATGGATGGGTGTGTGTATATATGAGGGCCTCCTAGCTACCCTCCACAACCACACCTCTCAGGATCCCCAACCCCAGTGCTTCCTGTGCTGGCCTTCTGCCACCCACAGCCCAGCCTGGCCAGCACACCTACCACTGAGGCACTCCAGGATGAGGTAGAGTTTGCCACCTGTCTGGAAAGCATAGGCCAGTTCTACAATGAAGGGATGCTTCACAGATTCTAGAATGTTCCGCTCAGCCCGGGTGTGTGCTGTGTCCTTGGCATTGCGCACAATCTTGGCCTAGAGATGCAGGAATGGGTTAGAAGATGAGGTACCTAGAGCTCCTGTTTTGTAACTGAATGCACAACCCAAATATTCAAAAGTGTGAAAGGGCTCGTGCTCCAGAAGCAGGGAGCCATGACTCTAGTCTCAAATAAATATGAGACATAACTTGGTCATATAAGTGTCTAGACTCTAGGTCTGTGTAGCCCATGGACCTACAGTGACATCATGATCACCCTGTCAGTAACCAACACATGGAATCAGGGTGCCAATGGTAGAACACAATCACAATGAGCCCTTTTTCTAGAGCCTTCCACAGTCCACTCTAGACAAGATCTGGCCAGGATAAAGATGACTGGAGAGCTGAGGACACGGTTCAGACAGTAAAAGTGCTTGCTATGCAAGCATGAGGACATGAGTTCAAGTCCCCAGCCTCACATGAAAAGCCAGGCATGGCTGTGGGTGCTTATAACCCCAGCACTGTGTATGGGGCTTGCTGGCCACCAGCCTAGCTCCAGGTTCAGTGAGAGACCCTGTCTCATGGGAATAAGACAAAGTGATAGTACAGGATACCCCATGTCCTCCTCTGTCCTCCGCACATGTGAATATACCCACACACAACACACATACACACAGGCTACACACCTGCCAGAGATTAAATTAAAATGATAAGACCAATGGTCATGTAGTTAAGCATTCTATGTCATTCTTTTGGTTCTCAGGCATAACCCTATTTGCTCTTCAGTCACTCTGTTGAATTTCTCTGTAATTTTGCTGCCGTGAGCAGTCAACCTTTTCAAGGACTGGTTTATCCTCTACCACAAAGCTTCTCAACCTCTCAACCTTGGCTTTTTAAAAAAACTTTTTAGAGACAAGGTAACATTATATAGCCTAGGCTGGCCTTGAACAACTCACAATCCTTCTGCTTCATCCTCTTAAGTTCTGAGATTACAGGTGTTTACCACCAAGCTGGGCTAAACTTGACACTACTGACAAGTTGGGCCAAATGATTCTTTGTTGAGGAAAGAGTTTAGCTGCAACAGTGTTCCCCTCACTAGCCGTGACAATTAAAAGCTTGTCAAATGTGGGGGTGGAGAGATAGCTCAGCACTCAAGAGCACTTTTTTGCACTTGCAGAGGACTTGGGTTCCATTCCCAGCACCCACATAGCAGCTAACATCTGTTAACTCTAGTTCCAGGGTATCTGATTCCCTCTTCTGGCCTCCATAGGCATTGCACAACACAGATGTAGTTACATACATGCATGCAAAACACTCATTCACATAAAATAGAATTAAAAAAGTTTAAATAAATAAAACTTTTTTCGTTGTTCTTTTTGAGACAGGGTCTCTCTATACCCCTAGCTGGCCTGGAACTCACTATATAGACCACAGGCTGGTCTTGAACTCACAGTGATCTACCTGCTTTTGCCTCCAGAGTGCTGGGATTAAAGGCATGTACCACCACGCCCAGCTCAAACAAAACTTTAAAGTCAAATGTGCCTTTAATCCCAGCACTCGGGAGGCAGAGGCAGGCAGATTGCTTTGCGTTCAAAACCAGCCTGATCTACATAGTGAGTTCCAGGACAGCTGGGGCTACAGGGAGACCTTGTCTCAAAAAGACAAATAATAATAATAATAATATTGTTCCTAAAAGGCAAGTTGCTACCATTTAGGAATTACTGCAGGGGCTGGAGAAATGGCTCAGTGATTATGAGCACAGACTGCTCTTCCAAAGGACCCGAGTTGGAGTCCCAGCCACACGGTGGCTCACAACAATTCTCTGTTCCAGTTCCAGGGATCCAATGCTTGTTTGGCTTCCTCCGACATTTTACAACATGGGTACACTTACATGTATGCAGGCAAAATACTCATACACATAAGATAAATAAAATACAGGAGGCTGTGATGGGCGCCACTATCAGTATTTGCTGGCTGAGCAAATGACTCACCTTCCTCAGAACTTTCATGGCATATATTCTGCCCAAGTTGGTGCCTTGCACCTTTCGCACCTGGAACACCTGTAGGGCAGGGGAAACTGGATCAACTTCCCTCTCCCCAACCTATTTTCAAGGAGCCCCACCCTGAAGCTCTAGCATTGGGACCCAAAGGCCTAGGCTCAGTTCAAGGGTGGAGTAGTAAAGATCTCCATCGGAATGTGCAAGGAGCTGCCCCTCCCTGCCTCAGGTCTCCAGCTCTGAATCCCATCAGAGGCTCTACCCATTTACAAGTCTATTGGGTGTGGAAGATATAAGCTGCCTCAAGGCTGGAGCTGGGGGGTGGGGGCACGGGGTAGTGGGGGGACCGGTACCTTGCCATAGCCCCCCTTGCCAAGCACACTCAGGAGTTCAAAGCAGTGGGGCCCAATGCGCTCAGGACCCAGGTTCACGCTGCTCTCTGTCAGCTCCACCTCCTCATAGTGTCCCATAGGCCTAAAGTTGAGGGCAAGGCTGCAGTGGGCCCCAAGTCCCATTCCCCACTCCATCCCCCAACCCTCAGCAAGACCCTCACTCACTCCAAACCAGCAGTCCTCAACTCGGCGAGGGGACACACGTCCTGTGAGAAACTGAGGGGTAAGAACCAAAGAAGGTGCAGGGATATCTGCCCCGATCCTAAGCTGACAGCTTGGACCAGGGGAGGGGAGAACCAAGGATAGGAGGTAGCAGGAGATGGGCAAGGGCTGTGGCGGAGAGGCCGGGGGCAGGAGAGGAGGGATCAGGACCCGGGCTGGGCTCGGACTCACAGGGGTCGGACCCACCATGGGTGGAGGGGGGTGGCGTTGGACTGGGCCGGCTGGCAGGCTGGGGTCCCCGGTCCAGTCCCGCCCAAAAGCACTCACCGCAGGGCTGAACTCTGGCTCGCCCTCCGCCTCGCTGCCTTCCTCGGTCTCCAGGTCTAGATCAAACACGGCCGCCATAGCCCAGCCGGCCCCCGCGGGCCCCTCGCCGGGGACCTGGCGGAGCTCTGACTGACAGTCCCAAGTTTTGGACCTTACGTGATCACTCCGCGACTCCAGTCCCGAGCGAGCGCCAATGACGTAAAGTAACTTCGCCCTCTCTCCGGCTCGGCGCTTTAACTAAGTCTGGCAGGGAGGAGGAAAAAAAAAAAAAAAAAAAAAGACTCCTGTCGCAAGGCTTGTCGGGAGTTGTAGTTCCAGGGATTTGGGCCGCCCATCCCTCCGCCTTCTGAACGAGCTTTAACTGACCTTCTCTTCTGAGTCTGGTCCCCTTGGGTCCGAACCGGACAGGAGCACAAAGGTGTCTATTTGAACTCTGGGAAAGGTTAAATTTGAATGGGCAGATATTAATCTATTGTTAAATATTTTATCATTCGTATGAAGTATGAGTGTATTGCCTGCATGCATGTAAGTGAACCCATGTCCTGCAAATGCACGCCGAGATCAGAAGAGGGCGTCAGATTCCCCTGGAACTGGAGTTAAGGACAGTTGTTAGCCGCCACGGGTGCTAGGAATCGAACCCCGGTCCTCTGCAAGAGGAATCAGTGCTCTTAACCACTGAGGCATCTCTCCAGCTCCGCGGGTATGGGTTTAAATAGCAGTCCTCAGCCCTTCTGGAGCCGTGAGCTGCCTGGCTGGGTTGAGAAAGGAACGTCCTGTCTCTTCTAAGGCATGTTGTGTCTGTTCCCGCCATAAAGGCAGATATCTGTATTAGAGCCCTCAATCTCCCTACTTCTCAAAGCTCCTACAGGTCAGACTTTTTCTGGGTGACCAGCTCACTGCCTGGGCTCTGTTATCAGGCTGCTTTCCAAAAGGGCTCAGAACACCCATCTAAATATGGATTTTTATTAATTTAAGCACCTTGAGTAATCCCACTGCCTGGCTCTGAATAGCCACTTTAATAGAGTATGGTCAAGAATGAACGAGGGGGCTCTGTGGGTAAAAACACTTGCCATGGGCCGGGCGTGGTAGCACACGCCTTTAATCCCAGCACTCGGGAGGCACAGGCAGGTGGATCTCTGTGAGTTCAAGGCCAGCCTGGTCTACATAGTGAGTTCTAGGACAGCTGGGGCTACAGAGATACCCTGCTTCAAAAAGACAAAAACAAAAACAAAAACAAAACCCACTTGCCATGCAAGTCTAACTACCTGAGTTTGATCCTCCAACCCACAGTGGAAAGGGAGAACTAATTCCAGAAAGTTGTCCTCTGACCACCACCCCCCACACACACACTCGGGTCCTCACACATACACAATAGTGATAAAATATTTTGAGGGGTGGGCTGCAGAGATGGCTCAGTGGTTAAGAGCATTGGCTGCTCTTGCAGAGGACCTGGGTTTGAGTCCTAGCACCCACATGGTAGGTAACAACTGTCCTTAACTCCAGTTCCAGGGGATCTGACACCCTCTTCTGACCTCCACTGGCATTGCAAGACATGGGTGCACCTACTTATGTGCAAGCAATACACTCTTACACATAAAATAAAAATAATAAATAAAATATTTAAAAACTACTTTGAGAGCCAGGCGTGGCCTTTAATCCCAGCACTCCGGAGGCAGAGGCAGGCAGAGCTCTGTGAGGTCAGCCTGGTCTCCATATCAAATTCAGGCCAGCTGTGACTACAGGAAGACCCTGTCTCAAAAAACAAAAAAGACCAAAAATAAAAATAAAAAATACTTTGGGGGTTGGAGAGATGGTTCAGTGGTTAAGAGTACAGATTACTCATCCAAAGGACCTGAGTTCAATTCCCAGCATCCACATTAGGCGGCTCACAAGGCCTCTAACTCCAGTTCCAGGGGCATCTGATGGGCACCTGCACTCACATTTCACATAATTAAAAATAATTTGAAAATCTTTAAAAGTAATAAAATATTTTATACACTAAATCTTCACATGACTTTACATTAGATATAGGTTTATGTTCGATGAGATTCTGCGGTGAATTTGGGCCAGACCAAGCCTTGTGTGGGTTTTGATTGGGGTCTGTCTCCCCATTGGGACACCATGCAAATCCAGATGGACAGAGCTTAGGGATCTCCAGGTCATCAAAAGGTTTCCTGCTTGGATATGTCCTTCAGCTGAAATCCCTCTAAAAACAGATCTTCAGGTTTAGGCCCCAATGTGGGTATAAAGCAGGCTCCTGCCAAAGATCAATGGGGTGATTTTCCCACTTCTCCTGAGAACTCCCACTTCCCATTCCTCCTCCAGAACCTGGAGGCACTGTCCATAGCAAACCTACAGATACTTTACTAGTCCACAATCCTTTATTTGGGCAGGCGTGGTTGGGGAGCTGTCCACAGTTCCTGTGCTGGGCAGAAGCAGGAATTCTTAGTGCAGCTTCCTTGAACAAAGAAGGGATATAAACCAATGTCCCAGGCCTCATTAAGTATGCTAGAGGCCAAAGCACCAAAGCTGGTAGAGAAGATGTGTGGTTCCATAAGAGGGGGACATTCGGGAGTCCTGGACTTATGAATCAGGGCAGAGAGGGGAAGGCACCTAGAAGATGAGTGGGCATGTAAGACTTAGTAAACAGAAGAAAGCTGGCCCTTGCTTCCTATCCATATCCACTCTTGGGGGCAGTCATCTTTCCTCTCTGAACCATCTTCCTTATGTGCAGCATGAGGGCGGTAGTGTTTGCCTAGAGGTGAGAAAAGAGGCGATTACCCCACATCATGGACCATCTATTTCTATGGCTCAGGCCAACTGACACAGGTGAGGCACTGCCAGAAGTTTCCAGCGGGCTCTACAACTATTACTCTGCTGCTGTTAGTTCTTTGGGGCTAGAGTCCTGGGGCCACCTGGGGGCTAGATGGAGGCTTTCAAGAGGGCAAGAAGACCCAGCAACTCCCAGATACTTGTTTTATGGTCCTTGAGCCCAGGTGTCAACATGACCCTACTGTTCTGGAATAGACCTGAGACATGGGAGTGGGCTAAGCCAGGATTTGGGCAGGGTGATAGGCCGAGAGGCAGGAAACAGAGAACCACAGCTCCTTCCCCCAGCACTTCATCCCTTCTGCCTCCTGACCTCAGTGCTATCTGAAATGAGATAAGAAGTGGGCAACTGGGTAGTCGGGTTTGTCAATGCCCAGGCCCTGACAGAGGCCCAGCAGGCGGAGACGGGCCTCAGCAGGGTTAGGCCCAGCACAGGCCACGTTGCAGTAGGGTTCCTCATACTGGCCAGGTATCAGGGCCTCCTCCAGCAGGTTGAGCCGCAATAGACCCTGGTCATGGAGGGCCTGTAGGGTCTCTCGACTGCCAGGAGAACTCAGCAGATCCAGGTGCTGGGATACCAGGCACATAATGCCCACCAGGTAGCCACGGGCACGTGGGTAAGCAGGGAGGGCAGGCTGCAGCCCACAGGCCACCATGGTAGAAGCCAGTAGTAGATCCACACCATAGAGTTCTAGGATCCAGTCTCGCAGGTAGAACCCTCCCATTCGAGGGTTGATCTCAATGAGCCTCGGTCCAGCTCCAGTCATCTTGAGCTCCACGTTGAAAACTCCATCCAGCAGCCCACAGCCCAGGCAGCAGCGAAAAGCTGCCTGTACTATCTGGGCCTCCTGTTCTGGTGCCAGTCCAGTGGGCATGCAGGCCGCAGTCTCTGTGAAGCCAGGCAGCCTTGTGGGACCATTGTCAGAGACAAAGGCAGCCAGCAGTCGTCCGCCAAACACCACCAGGTCCACATCGTGTTCGGTGCCCTCGACAAATTCCATCAGGAGCATGGCATTGCCCCAGCCCAGCCCTATGCCTGGGTGGTCAGCCTCACCCTGCAGGTCATGGAGGATCCGGGAAAAGTGCTCATGGCACTGTGGCCCGTCTTTCACTAGCTGCACACCTACTGCACCGGACCCGAACTCCAGCTTCATCACACCTGGCAGGGGTACCTGATAGATAGCTCTCTCCACATCAGCCTCACTCTCCAATGGACAGCAGGCCACAGCGTGGAGAGAGGGTGCAGGCCAGGGTGGGCCCTGGTGGCGTAACAGGTGCAGCTGGGTACGGCTCTTTTGCTTGGCCAGGCACATGGCAGCTGGGGAGCTGCAAGGCAGACCCAGCTCCTGGCAGAGCAGAGCTGTAAGCACCAGGCAGTCATCCCAGAAGGAGAAGCAACCATCTAGCTTCAGGTTGCGCATCCGTACCAGCTCAGCCAACAGTCGTGCATTCTCCTCATCCCTACGGTGCTCAGTCACATCAAAGTGGATGAAGGTCTGTACCAGCTCAGATGCAAAGTGGTTGGGATCCGACTCCACCAGGTGCAGCTGCAGAAACATAAGACAGGACATTCGGGTCAGCAGGTGCCAGGAGGGAGACTGGTTCATAAACATCAGGCACTCAATATATGTTTGTTGATGACTTATTGAATAAATGGAAAGTGGAGAGGTGAGACACTTAGCCCGGAGGGAAGGGAAGTCAGAAGAAAAGACTGCAGGAGGAAAGAGCAGGCTAAGTGGGAGGGGTGGGGTGCAGGGGGCAGGCCATCAGAGGGCTCACTGGCATATCCCCACAGGCAGCCTCCCTGCAGGGCTCAGAGGCCAGCCACCACCAGGGTTGGGACTGCAGACAGGTGGCTGGGTTGTTATTCATTCTACATGTTCCACTGAAATGTGACATGGACTGATCCTGTGGGGCTGTGTGTCCTCAAAGCTTATGGCTTGCTGGGGGAATGCAGACACAAAGCAACTGATGCTCAAGACTGAGGCAGCCACTGATGAGGGAAGGGAGATGGCTCTTCACATGGTAACTTGGCATCAGGACTGAGGTGGCACTCCAGCTGGAGAACACAGGGCATTAGGCAGGAGCAGAGAGATGAGGGCTGCTGGAAGGGAGTGCCTCAGGGGCCATGCACTGTGGGAGACAGGAGAGGAGGCCACTGTGGTGGACTAAGGCCAACCTGGAAAGACCTCAGCCTTCTTATCTTCAGATTCTGCACTGTAAACCCATGGCTGTGAACTTGACTTGAGATCTGTGAACCTGCCTAGGACCCTGGGTGCCAATGCAGGAATTCAACTTCAAAGGCCTAGCCCTTTCCCCAGGACAGAGCCAGACTCCTTAGCATGTTGTCCAAGACCTAGACTCTGCAAGGCTTAGTGGCACATGCCTGTAATCCCAGCACTTGGGAGAAATAGGCAGAGGACCTTAGAAAGTTCAAAGCCAGCCTGATCATATCAAGTTTCAGGCCAGCCTGAGCTACAGAATGAGACCCTGTCCTCATAAATAAATAAATAACTACCAAAATAAACCAAAATAATTAAGAAAATAACACACTTGTAGTCTCAGCACCTGGGAGGCAGGAGGATCAGTTCAAGACCAGATTCAGCTACATGAGGAATTTGAGGTCATTGTGAGTTATGTGAGATACTATCTCAACAACAACAAATATCTATCTATCTATCATCTATCTATCTATCTATCTATCTATCTATCTGGCTGGAGGGATGGCTCAGTGGTCAAGAGCTATTAAAATTAATAGCTTCTTTTTAATTTGGAGACAGGGTCTCACTATGCAGCCTTGACTGGCCTGAAACTCGATCAGTGCTGTGACTAAAGGCGGGGATCTCTGTGAGTTCGAGGCCAGCCTGGTCTACATAGCGACTTTCAGGCCAGCTGGGGCTACAGGGAGACCCTGTCTCAAAAAAATAAAGGTAAAATAAAATAAAATAAAATAATAAAAGCTGGGGGAAGCGGTTGGTGCAGCCCTGAGCCCTGAGCTCTGAGAACACAGGCCATCACCAGCTCATCTATTCCCTATTCCCGCCTACTCTTTTTTTTTTTTTGGTCTTTTTGAGACAGGGTCTCCCTGCAGCCCCAGCTGGTCTGGAACTCACCATGTAGACCGGCCTGGCCTTGATCTCGTCCTCAGAGTGCTGAGATTAAAGGCGTGCACTACCACGCCCAGCCGCCTCCTCTACTTTCTATGGAGGGCTCTTTGCCCTCTTTGAGGGGCCTCTCACTCCTGGCCCTTGCACCCGTATAGTGGCAGGATAGAGAGTTCCACCTGGCCCCCTCGAGAATGCCCCAAGAGGATGTCGGGTCCTCCGGAGAATACCCCGACCTCCCCGCCCGCCGACAAGGCTGGCCCCGCCTCCAGATGATAGCTCCGCCCCTTCGCGCAAGGCCCCGCCCACTATCCCCGCCTCCACTCAGGCCGCGCCTCGGGTCCGGGCCCCGCCCACTATCCCCGCCTCTGCTCAGGCCGCGCCTCGGGTCCGGGCCCCGCCCACTATCCCCGCCTCCGCTCAGGCCGCGCCTCGGGTCCGGCCCCGCCCACCTGCAGCCCGTAGTCGCGTGCTGCCTCCCACACGAACTTCTTGCTGACGCCGCCTGCGCCGATCACCAGCAGCTGCTTTCCTTCCATGAGGCACCGTGCCGAGCGCCGGAGCATGGTCTCCACCAGCGGCGCGGCCGCTGGTTCTTCCGCCGCTCGCCCGGGGCGCCGCGCCACCCACAGTCCCTCGAGCGCGCCGCACGCCTCCAGGCAGAGGCCGCTGCTGAGCTTCAGGGCGGCGGGCGTCAGCGCGCGGCCGACCACGGTGAGGACGAAGTCCACGCCTGCGCGGGACACGGATCAGCACGCGCGGTCCCCCACGAGACCCCCTCCGCCCTCCCGGCCCCGCCGCCCTGTCTCACCCAGGACGTCGGTGTGCACCCGGCGGCCGCCGCGCTGCTGGGCGCTCAGACCGGCCTCCAGCGCCAGCACGGCGGCCAGCGCGGCCTCGGCAGCTTCCTTGACGCGCTGCGCCAGCGCCGCCACCTGTGCCTGGTCCTCCAGGCCGCACTGGGCCAGCGCCACGGCCAGCGTCCTCGTTAGGGTGTTGTGGTGACGCACGGGCCGGTCTCCACGACCCACGGCGCACACCACCTGCGCACAGTGAGGCTCAGGAGAAGGGGCGCTGGTCCAGGAGAAGCCCTCCCACCCAAGACTTGACCCTTCTAAGTACCCCCTCGCCTCGTGCGCATCTTCCCTGTGCCAAGATCCAGGCCTGATGCTTTCAAGTTACTCCTGTCTTCCACCCTGACTTAAACGATAAATCACGCTCTGCTTTCAGCCACCCATCTGGGTCCCAGATCCCTCTGGGCTGTGCAGGCTCCCAGGCCCAGCTGGAGGACTCCAAGCATGCTCGTGCCTACTTACTACAGCCACCGTAGTTTAACCCAACCTTAACATGTCTCCTGGCAGGTCCCCTCATCTCCCCTGGAGTCCTGAGTTGGGGTGGATGTCTCCCTTTCAGCTCAGCTTAAAGCTGGACACCCAGGAGTTCCCACCCCTCCCCCCACACTGTCCCCAAAGCCTTCTTGAGTTCCTCAGCTTACAGTCCCTACTATGGTACTGACCCTAGGTCACTAGGTCACTTTCTTCTGCTGGGCAAAGGAACTAGCCCCCTGGGCCACAGAAATAGGGCTGAGCACAAGGGCAAGTGTACCTGCTATAGGAGGGTTGGTTAGGGGAGTGAAGAGGAAGGAAACTGTCCCCTCAAAGATCATATCCTCTCTGCCCTGATCATTCAGATTAGTGGACTTGGGCAGGGCTGGGGTGGACAGGATCATGTCTTGGACGTGAGCCCCTCTCACCTTGCTTAGCAGGGGCCTATCACCCTGAATCCGACACACCACTGCGCAGATCCGCACAGCCAGCTCAGGGCCAGGAGAGGGACTGCCTGGGGGAACATGAGAACGTTTAAGCCCAGCACAGATAGATGGTCCGGGAGGCCAAACTCTATTCCCACCTCCTGGCTGGCACAGGTGAGAACCTGGTAAGGGCAGTCGGACAGGTGGACACATGGCCTCCACCAGGACACTCTCTTCCTCCTCCAGTGTCTCCAGCAATGTCAGCACCGTGTCCACCACCGTGGACGGCTCCACCCTCAGGTGCAGACGTAATGCCTGCTGTCCCCGCCAGCGCCAGCCACTGAGTCTCACAGTTACCTACGGCAGAAAGAGGAGAGGTCTCTCCTCACTACCACCCCATGTGCCTGAAAGGTAGGATTCTCATGTCACAGGTGCTAGTGAGTGAACTGAGATAGGAAGGCATGAGAAATGAAACAGTGATAGGGCTAAGAGTTTGGAACCATTTCCCAGCAAGATTTGGTAACCACCACATGAGTCCCCTCCTGTGGGTGCCTGTATCAGCCTCAGGATGGAGAGGGGCCTGTTGTTACCTGTGAAGCATCACCCAGGGCCTCAGAGTGCACAAAGGCCTCTACTTCCTTTTTCACCAGGGTCTCCTGGCCCTCTTTCCCACTCAGCTCCACCAGCCGTAGTCCAGGGCTCACATCCCCTCCCCGAAGCAGCCCTGGAGGCTTGTAGGTGAAAGCCAGGGTAGCTGGCACAGCCACACCACTCTGCTGAGACAGCAGGCGCCTCATCAGCAGCCGGTCCTCCAGCAGACGTGCTAGCTCTGCGGAGGCTCCTGTGGGGCAAGTGAGGTTCCGGGCCAGCTCAGCTGCCTCTCTGCCACGGCCAGATTCCGGCCCCAGGCCTGCCAGGAAGTAGGTGGCCTGCCGAGGGGGTACAAAGTCATCCAGGAATGTTAGGCCCCCTGGATAGAAGCTCACAGCCTTCGAGACCAACAGGGTCGCCTCCCCTTCCTGGCCTGGGGCTGCCACTTTCGTCAGCCAAGCAGGGGACAGGCAAAGGAGCATATTTCCTGTAGGCAAGGAGAAGAAGACTGGCCAGGGAAGGTTTAATGGCCCCAACACCCTCCACCTTCAGCCTGGGTGCCCCTGTCATGGGGGGCAGTGGCTCCCAGAACCCACCCCTACTCAGAGCATGGCAGCTGGTCATGTGGAATGCAGGCGATTGCCAAGGTTGGTGGGTATTTTGGGATGTGGCTGGGCCAGGGCGGGGCTGCCCTTTCTGTAGAAGGGGGTGGGGAACTTGAGCACACACTCACCAGGGCTCTGGACCCCACCCTCCAGCAGCAGGGACAGAAAAGTGCTGGGGGGACCCAGGATACACAAGGTCACCTCTGCCCCAGGGCAGCCTGGGAGAAGAGAATATTGCCAAACACTCACCAGGGGTCCTCTTGATGCTCTTCTGCCTCCTTTCCCCACCTTTAGCCCACCCACACACACACTTCTCAGAGGTCAAATGAGAAGAAAGCAGGAGGCAGAAGAGGGGACAGTATGGGAGGGGGAGGTGCCCACCATTCTGCCTTGGGAGACTGGTCACTTTTCTCTGCAGCTGATCCAGAAGGCACTAGAGGTTGGGTTACTGAGACCTGAGTCTAGTCTATGAGTTTGGATTTTGTGACCTCTGAAGGGCCACAGTTTCTCTGACCCTCAGTTTTCCAGTCTGTACCATGGGACCAAGTCTGTGATTCTCATGCATTCTAGCTGCAGATCATTTGGTCCACACAAAATTGTTCATGACCCACCTGATCCATGAAACAGGGGGGCATCCTGGGATTTCAACTGTTCGGCTGCCTCCATAGCATCTCCTAAGACATTGCTCTAGAAGTTTCAGCTCCACAGAAGGTGCAAATGATATCTTGAATTTCCAGGGAGCCAGATGGGGTTGGATAGGGTGTGGTAGAGAACCCTGATCTGACTTCACTGGTGCTAAACTGCCTTGGAGACAACACCTGCCTACTTATGGCCCCTGGTTTTGCCTTGAGCTGAAAATAGAACCTGGGGAAGGGGCCAACCTGGGCAGAGAAGGGGAAGCAACTGGACTGAGGGTCCCTCCATGTCCCTGAGGGGGGGATCCCCCATTCCATGAGCCCTCAGGCACCTGTGCGAGGTGCCTGGCTGCGGTCCTGGGTCTCAGGAAGGCCAGCTTGCTGTAGACAGCTCTGAAGGAGGCTGTAGTAGTGGAGAGTCCAGGCCCGGGCCTCAGCCTCTTCTGGGGAGCCCTTACAGTCCAGGCCCACGTCTTGGCACCAAGGGCCAGGGAAGCAGTCTGTGGGTGGTGGGCCAGCACCCCCTTTCCATGGTCCTTCCTTTCCATCCAGGTCCTTGGTACCCAGGGGGCAGTCCCACTCAGAACCCAGTGGATCCAGACAGAGCTGAGCAGAGAATAGAAATAGGAGGTCTTGGGCAGGACTGGCAAGGGGGTCCCTCAGTGGTCCAAGCCCCTCTCCCATGCTCCCAACTTGGGTCAAGTTCAAGGGACCAGGAGAGGAAGGAGTTGAGTGGAGGGGAAGGTTTGTCAAGTGGGACATTTGGTTAGATGTGGTATCCTCAGCCAGAGAACAGGAAGTGATGTCCTCCTGATTGAACTACTGACCCCCATCCCACTAGCTGGGTTCACGGTTCATTCATCACCACAGTCCCAGCCCCACACAGTGCCTAGCAGACAGTAACTACTCCACAAATGTTTGCTAACTGAAATCTCTACTGTAAACGAGCCTGTAACTACTGTCTAGCTTTCCTCTCTTGGACTCATCTGCCTGCATGGACTTGCTGCCACCTATTAGGTGAATCTGTTTCCTGATCATCTCTATTTTGGCCCCTGGTGAGGCGCTGGGAGCACAGAGAGCTAGCACATGTACACTTTTTTTTTTTTTTTTTGAGACAGGATCTCATGAAGCCCAGGCTGGTCTCAAAGTTGCTACATAGCTGAGGATGACCTTGAACTTCTGATCCACCAGCTTTTACCACCTGAGTGCTGGCCACTAAGTCTGGTTTGGTTGGGTGCTGGGGATTGAATCCAGAGTCCATTACATGCTAGGCAAGCTCTCTACTAAGCAAGCTATGTCCCCAGCCCTGCTTTTGGTTTTTGAAAGACTAGGTCCTGATGTGTCGCCCAGGGTGGCCTTGAACTGGCAGTCTTCTTGTCTCGGTCTCCTGAGTTGCTGGCACTATAAATACTTGTCACCACACCTGGCTCACCTTCTTTTCATGTGTGTGTGAGTCCTGGCACTGTTTTTTCTGCAGAAAGTCTGATACCCTGACCTCTCTCCAAGGCTGGATGATACCCTCATGGGGTTCCTGGGAGCCTCTATGCAGAGGTGGAGACATTATTATAGTCCCTTGGCCTATACAAGTCTGACAGGTGAGTCTGTGTTCCAGGAGACAAGATGGGCCACTTTGGGTAGATCGTTAAGAGCTCTCTGGTCTAGTGATTGCCTAGTGCCCACCTTGTCCCACCCCACTGGCTCTAAAGAGGCATGGCTGGCCTGGGGGATCACTTGGTGTCTGAGAGACTGTATGTCATGCTTGGATCTCAGGACCCCAGAGCCCAACTTTGATCCTCTGTATCCTTTCCTAGAAGGGAAGGCCTTGGAAGCTTGGACTGTGTGTTCACTCCTCTGTTCCCAAACCCGTAACTGTGCTGGGTATACAGATGGTACTCAACAGATGCTGCTGGAATGAGGAACTGTCATTGGGCTGACAGCACCCACCTTCCAGAGATGACCAAGGTGAACTGGACACTGGGTGGGGTCAAGAAGGGAAGCTAATCATGGGTTTGAGCTGTCAGAAGCAGGCAGTTCTCAGGGCTAGGTCTCTGGGTACCATCCCTTGCCCTCCCTCTATCCAGGGACTTGGGCCTTTGTGGGAAGGGACCACAGGAGACTCACCATTTTGTAGGTGGAGAGGCTTGAGACTGAGGGACAAAGACAAAACAGGGATCAGGGCAGCCAGGTCCCTACCTGACCTCCCAGCTCCTAACACTTCAAGGAGCCCAGAAACCCTCTGTCCTGTCCCTGCCCTACCCCCAACCCAAGGAAAAGGAGGGGTTTCTACCAGAGGGACCCCACGAACCCTGCATCTCTGAGCCCTCCAACCTTTGGTTTTCCCAACTGCTGGGAGGGATGGATTTAGCTGAGCCCCCTCCAGCAGGGAGGGGGCAGCACCCGGGGTCCCCTTGGATGTGTAAGGTTAATGTTGTGGAGTCCCACTGAGGAGTGAGAGCTCAGGGTCCCTGACCAACAGCCTCCCTTCCTGGCTCCCCCCAGGGTGGGGCAGAAGCCGGGGTACCTGCGGTGGCGGCAGCGGGACCCAGCTGGGCAGCTGGGCAGGCTTGAGGAGCTGGGCAGGCAGGTGAGGAGCAGGGGAGAGCTGTGGAGGCAGCCGCATAGCCGGGGCTGCAGTGATGTTGCTTTATATAGCCCCGATGGCCCCGCCTCCTCCCCCAACCCTCCTGATCCCAGGCCTAGGACACGGGACATGTGGGCTGCTAGGCATTGGGATCGAATGGCAGGACCAGCCAGCTCCGTTGAGAGGCAATCCAGGGACAGCGGGAGATCTTCAGGCAGATCCGACCAAGAGTCAAGGGCAAAATGCATCGCACTACGCACTATCCAGATACAGGGGCCAGGTGAAGAAGACGGGATCGACAGGGCGACACACTGGAGGAGAGACAGAAAGGGAGGAGGGGCAGGGTGGGGAGAGAGGGGTAGAGCGGGCTGAGCCTGGTACTGGAGCCACCAGGGGAGGGGGGAATGGGGGCACCCTGCCACAGCCTGTCCTTAGATGGAGCAGAGCTATACCCAGCCAGGCAACTGCCCTGTCCCCAGCCAAGAGTGCCTTGCCCCAGGGCACAATCCCTCAATGTCCTGTCCTATCCTTCCTTGCAATGAGGATCCAGGGTGAGGACAACCCAGTAAGATGCTCAGGAGAAGCCAGGGATACATACCACTGACAGAACAGAGGTGCTGTAGCCGCCAGCAGGGAAGTAGGCAGCCAGGTGCTGGGGTTCCAGAGGGACTGCATGCAGGATCCAGGCTCAGGCAGTTACACCCACACACTCCTGAGACCCACACACTCACACAGAGTCTCCTGGGGTGTGGGACCTGGGTACCTCCTCTTTCAGTCCCCAAGATCACTTCTGCCCCAAATGGCATCAGTTCCACCATATGGTCTGGCCTCACACTGCCTCTACCTCACACCAAACCCTCAAACATTCTTCACATCAGACCCCCCCACACACACCCTGCCTTCTTCCCAACAACCTCCATTGTTTCCAAGAGCATCTTGGGCTGGGAGAATACTAAGAGGTCAGAAGTACTCTGTGGGGACAGGGGTGGCAGCTTTTGTAACACCTTTGCAACTGCAGTCACAGTAGGCAGCCTGTGAAGACCCACATCTCTACCATTTAGAAGGGGAAGTAGCTTATACAGGGTCCCCACACCTGTCCCCATATTCCCCCATGGAACTTTCTAGATGCTATGGGTTCCCCCAGCTCCAGGTCCACATGCAGCCTTTGCTGTCACCACCCAGTGACGCGCAGCCACCTCAGAAGCCCCATATCCTTGCTGCATATGTGGCCTGAGTTTGGAGGGGGATCCCCACTGTATGGACAATGTGGGGCATGGATGTCCAGGAGCTATTACAGCCTCTAGGGACTCAGTTTCTCTTATTCAAATGGGAGGGAACTGTTCACACTTAACACAGATATGGCTTGGTCATGGAGTCCTGATACTAGGTGAGCCTTAGGTGCTCTCAGCAAGAGTTTCTTCTCCTTGGGACAGGTACCTTGTGCAGAGCTGTGTGTGTAATATCTCACTTTACACTTAACATTGTAGCCTTTATGCTCATGAAAGTGAGGCTCAGAGATGTGGCATGATTTGTCTGAGGTCGCACAGCTTTTCCTCTGCTAGAATGCATGCATGCATGCCCAGAGAGCAGCATGGTGCTCTCCTATCCCCAGGCCAGTCTGCATGGGCATCGGCTTACTGGTGTTTGCCTAGTAGGTGAAAAAAGAGAAATTCTGAGCCGTCTTAAATTTCTTTACAAATGATGGGGGGGGGGAGGAAATAATAGAAGTGAATCAGCTTGCAGCTTCTGGCCAAACCAACCAAAATCTGCTTCCCATTCCTAAACATATGTTGAAACCCTAACTCCACACTCCAGAAGCTGGACCATGAGGGTGGCATCATTTTTTACAACCCAACCAATCAAGAAGCAAAACTATTAGGCACAGTGGTACAACCTGTAAATCCCAACACTAAGCGGGAAGAAGGATTGCTGTAAATTAGAAGCCATTCTGAACTACATAATGAGACCCTGTCTCAAAAAAACAAAAACAAGACTAGCCTTGGCTACACAGCAAATTCAAAGCCAGCCTAGGCTACTTGAGAACTGGCTCAAAAGAAACAAAAAAAAAAAATTAAAAACCAAACAACAAAAAAACAAAGCAGGAGAAATGGCTTATCAGTTAAGAGCACCTGCTGCTCTTCCAGAGGACCCAGGTTTGGTTCCCAGCACCCACATACATGACAGCTCACAATCCTTTTGTTAACTCTAGTTCCAGAGTATCTAATGCCCTCTTCTGGCCTCCGTGGGCACTGCATATATGTTGTACACATACATACATGAAGAAAACACTCATACACATAAGATAAAAATAAATCTTTAAGGGCCGGGCGTGGCGGCACACACCTTTAATCCCAGCACTTGGGAGGCAGAGGCAGGCAGATCTCTGTGAGTTCAAGGCCAGCCTGGTCTACATAGTGAGTTCCAGGACAGCTGGGGCCACAGGGAGACCCTGTCTCAAAAGGACCATAAATAAAATAAAATTAAAATTGAATAAAAATAAATCTTTAAGGACTGGAGGGATGGCTCAACGGGAATACAACACCCTCTTCTGTCCTCTGAGGGCACTGCATGACACAGGTGCACTTACACACATGCAGGCATAACACTCATACATGTAAATTTTTTTTTAAAAAGGAAATAAATCTTTAAAAAAGTAAATGTGGGGCCAATGAGATGGGTCAGCAGGTGAAGGCACTTGCTGCCAAGCCTGAGGTTGATCTATGGGTCCCACATGGTGGAGAGACCTGACTTCCACAAGTTAGTCTTTGACTTCCACACTCACTGTGGAGAACACACACACACACACACACACACGAGAGAGAGAGAGAGAGAGAGAGAGAGAGAGAGAGAGAGAGAGAGAGAGAAATCAATCAATGTTAAACAACAACAAAGCCCCCTTCTGTTTGCATATGACTCCCTTACCCCAAACTGCCTGCTTTGCATTGCCTGGCCCCTGGCCCCTTCTGTGCTCTAGAA